GGAAATAACACTAGACTGGGGAGGAGGGGAGAGGCCCTGGGGAGGTGATCTGGGAGGCCCAGACAATGGGCTCATGTGTCCAGAGGATGTTCCCTCCTGAGTAAGTGGCTCAGGAGCTTTCCTGGTCTCACCCCTCATTCGTCTTGGGGGAATGATTGTTCTGGGGGGTCTTGGCAGCTGCCAGGACAGTGTGACATGGCCCCACAGGCAAAGCCCCAGCCCTAGGAGACAGGTCAACCATGAACACAGGCAGCACTGTCTCCAGCCGCCTCCCCTGGAGAAAGGGGCTGAACTGGCATGGCCTGGAGGGGCAGAGGGAGAGGGCACTGTTGGAGGCTGCCTCTCGCTGCAGCCTGGACTTCCGTTTGGTTCTCTCTACTGAAATGCTGGATCCCAGGTGCTGGGAACCCCGCGGTGAGGGGGGTGGAGCGCGGCGAAGGCATCTGCAGCACCTGAAGTTGGGCCTGCCACACAGCAGGCGCCCAACCAATGTGTTCATGGGGGAGGGTCATGATATAGGAAAGGGAGCAGGTGGCAGGGGGAGCCAGCCTGCTCTAATCTGGCAAACCTTACTCCCATTCGTGTATTCGTCCCTTCATTCCTTCCTTCCATCTTTCGCTCAGCATTTACGGAGTACTTCCCTGTGCTAGGCACTGTGCTTCAGGCTGGTGCCAGAGCATCAATATAGCAACTGCTCACAGCAGGGACCACAACTTACATTTGCCTGTGACCAGTGCCAAGCTCAGGGTCTGATGCATGGCAGCGTCTCTCCAAGTGACCAGGGGAAGAATGACTCTATTATTAGACACGTATCATGTGCACACATCCTATGCCCCATGCCATGCAGGGCCCACATATGAAAGGAAGCCCCATCTTGTTGTGCCCAGCAGCACAGAGCATGGGGAAGAATAGGGGCTGGTCTGAGACTAAATCTAAGGTTGTGAAGACTAAGGTTGGGGACCTGCGTTCTGGTCCCAGTTCTGCAGCACCAGTTAAACCAGCGTGATTTGAGGCGGGCCTTCCTGACCTGCCGTGTCTGTCTGTCTCCCTGCCGGCCTCTGGCAGGGGACCACCGCACCTCGAGAGCAGCAGGCACAGCCTGGCACACAGTGCATTCTCAGAAAAAGCTTATGGAGAAGTCGATGCACACCTGGGCCGTGTGCAGCCCTCTGTTCTGCGGGCTAAGACTTCATGAGTGATTCATTCATAAGCATTTATTGAGCACTTGCTATGTAGGTGTCCACCATTTAAGCTATTGAGATGAACAGTCTCTCTCAAGGCAGTATGTGCCTCAGAGAACAGTGGGTCCATGGCTGATCTGTTTGGGCAGGGCATTAATTATGTGGCCCTTGAATCTCCACCAGGCCAGGAACTCCTCTGCAGAAAGAACTGTCTGTGCCCAGTCACTGGGGGTGTGCCAGGAGCCTCCTTGGCAGGAAGGTTGGGTGTAAAGAGGCAGTAGAGGCAGGAAACAAGGTCTCTTCCTCAGAATTCTTATCAGCGTCCATGTGTCCTCCTCCCAGCTCAACATGAGCTCCTTGAAGCACATAAGCCTCCTTTTTCCGCACAACCTAGCAAAATGCAGCTAGCGCTCCATAAGCATCCACTGGGTTGGATTTATTGTTAAACAACAGTCTCATCTTCTTAAGTTCAAAGGGCCCATAAAGATGATCATGTTCGATGCACCTATTTTACAGATGGAGAAAGCAAGGCTCTTGAAAGGGACACCATCAATGCTTATGGGCTCTGAGGGGTTTCCCATGGTGGAACAGGGCTCCCTGGGGCTCCCCCACTGCAGACTCAGGTTTGGAGTGAGATTTGGAAAGATCTTGGTGCTCAGCCACTGACCTGCTGCCTGACTGCTGAGGAAATGCATCTCTTGCCTGGAAATGGCTTTGTGGCCAGTGAGTCACAGGACATCACCCACACTGTGCAGTGGGGAGAATTCGATTGCTTCTCCACCGTGCTCTCCTCACTCCTCTTGCAAAACCTGCCTGAAATTTACTTCCACCCTCCTGACCCTTTTTTTTGACTCTTCCACCTGAGCTGTCCTTCTCCATGGCTGCATGTGTAACCAGCACATCCTTTAGGAGCCAAAGGCCACCTCCTCCTGGGAGCCTTCCTTGGTTTCTCTCGTTCCCTTGGTCTGCTTGACAGTTCCATTCATCTCCATCTCCCTGATAACATCTATCAAATTTTCCCTGTTATCTGTATGTGATTGCGGGAGGTTCCTTGTGGCATGGCTGTGTCTGATGTCTCCCATATAGGCTCTCTTCCCTGCCCCACGTTGCTGTGTGTGTCTTCTGTCCACATGTGTGTGCTCGGAAGGCAGGGCCGTGTGTAAATTTACTTGCCTTCACTCCCACAGTGGCGGACCCTCTTCTTCCCGCTTTGCACAGGGGTTTGCACTGTATGAGTTGGAGGAAAATCATTGAAATCATGATGGTTTGAGCCTCTCTTGCGCCCCAGGCTCCCCACTAGGTGTGGGGGTCTGACAGTGACAGTGTGGTATGATGTGCACTACATTAAGGTGTGAGGCAGAGCCTTGAGCTCCACCTGGAAGGACAGTGAGGCTGTGAACAGGCAGGAAGCGTGGTTGGAGCGAGAGAGCCTGGGAGGAAACAGCAGTGACAAGGCCTTGAAGTATCCCAGCTTGTCCAGAGCCTGGGCCCCGGCATCAGAGGGAGTGGAGCCTGGGGCAGGGCATGAAGCTGGGGAGGCTGGCAGGGATCTTCTCAGACCCTCTCAAAGGCGAAGATTTGGATCTTCATGCTCAGCTGCAGGAGACAGGAATCAGACGACCTCAGTTCACATCTCACCTCCTCCTCCAGCCAGTTAGTGGTCTCAGGAGAGTTACTTAACCTTTCAGAATCTCGCCTTTCTCATCTGTAAATAGAGATAGCAGGCCTCCCATAAACAGTGACACTTAGCACAGGGCTGCACCTGGCCAGGGCGAGGTTGATGAGGATGCAAAATACTAGGCAATACAAAAACAAAAAGACCCAACCCTTCCGTATTAATGCAATACTCTAAAAATGTCAAAATTAATGCAAAAAAAATCCACGATTAACAAAATGTCAAAAAAAAAAAAAAAAGTAAATAAGGACAGGATCCACTTAGCACAAAGCATTATGCAGCTCAAAAAATGTTAACTATGATCGGACTGGGAGTTCTCAACCTACCAGAGCTGTGGGCTTCGGAAAACCTGAGGAAAACCCATGGCCCCCTCCCCCAGAAGAATGCTTAATTCGGTCCACGTGGAGGTTTAGAACTCTGGTTCAAGGTGGGGGTGGGGGTGGTTCCACGCGCCATCCTGCCGCCTGTGGGTTCTTCAGGCCTCCCTCCTGGCAGCCGTGGGCGCTCTGCCCCCTGCAGGAAGCAGAGCACAGCTATGTGGCTTCTTTTTCTTTCTTGCTTGCTCCCCCCGCCCGCTCCCCCCCCCACCCCCCCTTCAGCTTGGGACTTTTCCTAAAGTTTGCTGAAACCAGACACCTTGCTCCACCGAGCCCGCGTGCAGCCACGGTTTAAAAGGCCGCCTTCAGCGCACCCTCCCCGCCCCCAGCGGAGACTTCAAAAGGCCCGGCGGGCGCCGTGGCCCCAGCACCTATGAGCCGCCCCCTGCGCCCAGAGCCCGCGACCGAGACCGAGGACGCAGAGCGGCCGAAGTCCCAGCGCAGGCGGACCGGGCAGGCGGTGCAGCCCCTTGCGCCCATGCCCCTCCCGGTGCCGCTGCGCTCCGAGCGCCTGCGCCCAGTTTAGGGAAGGGGACCCCGCACCCCCCCTGCCCCCGCGCCCGCGCCGGGGCTGCGGGGACCCATGAATACAAATGCCGTTAGGCGCACAAGGAAGGACCGACCGTCCAGCCTCGCACCTAGGGACCCAGTAAGTGCCCCGGTGCTCCTGGAGTGCTGGGGGTACCGGTGTGTGTGTGTGTGTGTGTGTGTGTGTGTGTGTGTGTGGAGAGAGGGGGGTTGCACATTCGGGGAATAATTGTGTTTGTGCCCGCATGCGGTGGGCACTGGCAAACTGTGTGTAAGTGGGGGTGTGCCCTTATATGTGCACTTGGGGGTGTGTACATGGGGTGTGTGTGCACGTGAAGGTGTGTGCGCAGGGTGTACTTAAGAGGATCTGGCTCGGCTAGTGTGCATTCGTGCGCATGGAAGCACCAGTGTGCATGTGTCTGCGTGTGTGGAGTCTGGTGGGCGCCCTGGGGTGTGTGCGCGTGTGGCTGTGTTGCATGTGAATGAGTGGGAGCATGTCTGAGTGTGGGTCCGCGTGGATGTGCGTGTGTGCACCAGTGAACAAGTCGTGGAGGTGGAGGCGGAAGCAGATGGGGCTTCTGATGCCAGGGCTCCGACTGGGGTTGCGGGTATGCGAATTGGCTGGGTGTTTGCCAGGGAACTGAGGTGTGCAGTTCTGTGCTCCAGTGTGGGATCTCAGGGAGGCTCTTCGATAGACTGCAGGGCGGGGGGCGTGCTAAGCTCTCATTTCTTACCGAAAGGAGAGGGGAGAGTGAGCAGGCTGACCAGCATTTAACAAGCACACCCACTGCACGCCCAGGAGTCTGTTCTCCAGGGTGTTCTGAATACGGGAGGAAAAGTGTGTGTGTGTGTGTGTGTGTGTGTGTGTGTGTGTGTGTGTGTGTGTGTGGTAGGACACTGGGTGGGAGTCTGGACGCTGAGTCCTGGTCTCACATCTGCCCTTGGAACTCCGGGTTCCTTTCAGCATTTTCTGTCCTGTTTCTGCCTCTATCTCCTCCTCCCAACTCACAATCCGGAAGTCCCGAAACTCTGACCTGTGATCAGGCCAGTGAACAGCCCTGGCCAACGCATCCATCTCCGTGAACCTCAGTTTCCCCATCCTTAGAGGTGGTAGATGTCTCAGCCGGCTGCAGTGGGCAGGTCCGAGGTGTGTTCCCGGCTACGGCCGGCAGGGGGCAGCAGGGGGCAGCAGAGGGCGGCCCAGCGCTGGGAGGAGAGAAGGTGGAGAGCCACGGCGGGCCGAGACTTTAAATCGCCTTCATTTCCCCCAAATCCTTCCTTTTCCTCTCCTCCCCCAGGCCGGCGGGGAGGCTGCTTCCACCGCCCTCCGCGCGCCCTCGCCCGGCCTTGCTCTGTCTCCGGGGACCAACAGCAGCCCGCCTCCAAAAGTTTGATCATCTCTCTCTCTCTTTTTTTTTTCTGCTGCTGCTTTTCGGTGGAAGCAGAAAAAGAGTGAGGCAGGGGCGAGCGCAGCGCCGGGACTCCTGGGACCATGGGCCTGGCGCGGGCGCTCGCGGGGCCCCGGCCGCGCTGCCTGGCTGCCCTGGCGCCCCTGGGCGCGGGGCTGTGCTGCGGGTGCGGGGGCCGCGCGCTCTGAGCCGGCCTGGCGTGGCGGGGCGGGGGGTTGGCGGCCCCATGGGGCGCGCCCACACTTGCCCCCCGGGCTCGGGAGCATGAAGTAGGGGCCCGCCATGGGAGCGGGAGCGGCGCGGGGGGCCCGAGGCACAGCGGCGGCGGCGGCGGCGGCGGCGGCGCGCGGGGGGTGAGTATGAGCTTGGGGACGCCCCCTCCCCAGCTTCCTGCTGCTCTAGCCTGGGGAAGAGCTGGGGTTCCCTCCTGCGCCGGACGCTTCCAGCGGAACGTCAGCTTCCTCTCCCTTCCTGCGCCCCTTGGAGGCGGGCGGCCAAGGGTTAACACAGGCTGCGCCCCCGGCCCCAGGGCTGGCGGCCCCAGGGTTGGCGGGCGCTGCCTGCTCGGCGCTGCCTGGCCGGCCCCATCCGCGCTGGGGCGGGGGCCGATCCGGGGAGGGTCGCTGAAGAGCCTGCCCGGGGTCGGAATTGGGGGTGGTGGTGGCGCCTGGAGGGGGGCTTTTGGCTGCTTGGGGGCGGAGGGGTCTCCAATTCTGCTGTCTCGGTGTGTCCCGTCGTCAGGTCCCCAGCCTGTAAGTCTCCGTTTCTGGCTGTTCTTGGGAAAGCGCCCCCAAGTTTCTAGGTTTCCACGCCTGGGCTTCTGCTCCTGCCTGCGTCTGTGTGTGTCTTTGCACGTCCCCGGTCTCTGGAAATCTTCGCGTGTGTGTCAAGTCTGTTTGGGCTGGTGTCTTTGTGTTTCCCTGCTTCTCTGGGGTGGGGGTGGGGGTGGGGTCTCCGTTCCTGTTGCTTTCCCGCGTGCGAGAGAGAGAAAGTGAGAGCCAGCATGTCCGAGCGGGAAGGGCCCTGGGAGAGCACCCGTGGAAGCCCTCGCTGTACATGCAGATGCGGGGACTGGAGGAGGGAGGGCCCGGGAGGGACAGGGAATTCCTAGGAGGGGCTAGGAGAGCTGGGACCCAGGGGCTCTGAGTCCCGCCTGTGCAGTAGGAGCTGTGAGAGAGGAAAGGCGTGTGAGAGCCAGTCGCTGCCCTGGGGGTAAGTGTGGCGGGGAGCTAGCGTGGAAGGGAGCAGCCCCTGGGGCTTTATGGACTGTAGCTCATGCTCTCTGCCCAGGGAAGCACAGAACTTGCTGGCTTTCTGTCCTGCCCCCAGGACCCAAGGACACTCCCAAGAGGCTGGTCCGCGCGGTAGCTCCGCCCCCCTCCATGCCCTGCCCCTCCGAGCTGGAATGGAGGAGGATGGCCCCCCTTCTTTCCCATGTCTTGGAAAAAGAAGGCTGGCTGAGATCCCCTGCCCCCCACCGCACCACACACACACACACACACACACACGCACACGCACACGCACACGCACGCATGCGCACACGGCACCAGTAAGCACACTGCTGACTCATTTTCTCCAGAAGACCCGTGCCAGGGCAGATGCCAGCGGTTGGGTAGAAAAGTGGTGCCAGGCGAGCACCCTATAGTGGGGCCCAAACTTTGTGCAAGTGGGCAGTCATGCTGCATGGAGGCCCAGCCTCTGCATGCTCCTGTCTTTCTGCCTCCATCACCACTACAGGGCCCCAGATCCTGTGCCCTCTGGTCCCGGTGTGCCTGCCAGCCTTGCTCCTCCACACCTCTCCCTAGACCACCGAAGTGCCATCTCAGTGGGTGGCGGAGGACTCACACCGGTGGGAGGCAGGCTGCAGGGCAGAGAGGGCGCTGCCACCAGGGGCTGTGACAGAATCCTGACACGGCCCTGGGAGCTTGGACAAGCCTTTCTGCTTGTTTTTCTCACCCACAATACGGGCATCTTCATTCCCAACTAGCAGCTGGGGGGTGGGGGTTGTGAGGATTACAGGGACTGTGCTTATAAAAGGTGCAGAACAGTGCCTGGCTTATAGTAAGTGCTCAGTAAACGGCAGCTGTTGTTTGTATTATTATTCACCTCATCTTCAATGGATGTGTGAGTCAACTGGAAAATTCTAGGCTTCATCCTGTCCAGTCAGATGACCCATCTGTGTTCCCGTGGAAGAGGTAGAAGGTGTGAAGGAAGGAGTCTGGGTGGGACTGTCTGGCCACATGGGGCCTGGCTAGTCCATGGAGGCAGGTGGCACAGGCCTATCGCCCTTTGCTGTTCTGTGTCCTCTGGGCAGCTTCTTTCCCATCTTACCCCTTGAGAGCACAGCCAAGCCCAGGGGCCTCGGCGCCCCCTTCCTTGTGTGTTTCGGGGGTCCCAGCACCCTGAGTCTCAGCTCTGAGCTTTCAGTGGATGTTCAAGCTGGTATGGGTCTCCAAGATCCTGTATGTTCCCGGGTAACAAGGATGGAGGAAAACCATGCAAGCCAGCTACACCTTCCAGCAGCCTGGTGGTCCAGGAGTAGCCACAGTTGATGTACTGGCAGAGGGCTTTTCTCAGGGGAAATGACCGCCTGGGTTTCCTGCTTGGAGGGCCGTGTGGCCAGGCTGTGTCTCCAAGGTCAGGCACCTAACGCGTGGCTCCAGTTTCGGCGGCCCCCTGCCCGCTCTGGCCCCTATGCTCTGGTCTTCCCGACATGCTGGAGCCCCCCGGCTTCACCGAGCCAAGGCCCACGGGTCGGTGGTGAAAAAGAAGTCTAGAAGAACAAAGCCCTGAGCCAGCGCAGGCACAAAACATTGCGAGCAGTAGCCTACGCAGGATTGGAACGGGAGCAAAAGGATCGGCAGGGCCTCCCTCCGGGAGCCAACTTTCCAGGCCTGGAGCTCGCTTAGAGGGCTGTTGGCTCCCCGGCTGCATCTCTGTTCCTGTTGGTGAAGGCTGGGACTCTGGTCTCTGACAGGTCCCTGTAAGTCTCCGCCTTCTCCATGGGAGGCAAGTCCAGTGAAAAGGACTGTGCGTTGAGCAGTGGAGTCTGATGATATGGTCACCGACGCGCTGTGTAGCTTTGGGCAAGTCGCTTCCCCTCTCTGGGCCTCAGTTGTCCATCTCTGCAATAAAGAGATGGGACTAGAATCTGACTCGAGAGGAACTCAAAGGGCCTTCTCGCACTCTATACTCCGCATTATGCTTTGGAAGTTTATGGGTCAAGTGCACACAGAATCCAGGTCTGACGTGGTCAGTGGCATTTGTCAAGGTGAATGGACGGGGTGGGGGGGGGGCAGGCGGGAGGGGACAACAAATACTTTTTGTAATAGATTCTGATCCTAGCTGCCCTCTCTCCCCTGTGAGTCTTCTTTCTCTTGAACTTTGGAGATTAAAAACATTACCCCGCCCCCTAATTTACCCTCTTATTCTCTACAGAGTAGTCACCTTGGCATCACACACAGCAGGAAGAGCTGACCGGGAGTGCCATGTGTGCTTGCTGCACCTTCTCTCTGATCATTGGCAAATTCTCTCTGGCCTCTCTTGAGCAGCTTGGGAAACATGCTAATACAAGTGTTAGGCTTAACACAGTGCGACTCGAGGAGTGAGGGCTGGTGCCTGGGGAGAGCTGGGAAGAGAGGGGGCTGGAAGGAAACGGAATGGAAACTAGTGAGGTTTCAGGAACACTGGAAAGTGAGGGGCAGCGTCTTCTGAGGGAGCCTTCTCAGAAAAAATGAGTTCCGTGGTCTAGCTGAGTGACAAAATGTGCAGTCAGTTCATTCCAGGACTTCTCGGAGCCCTTGGTGTGCAGTTGTGCTATGGCACCTGCCAAGATAGGGATACAGGAGACGGTTCTTCCCCAATATATCTGGCCAGTTTCCTGTAACGTCCTCCTGGTGGATGGAGGAAAGAGTACGAGAGAATTATGACCCAGAGCCTGCCCAGGGTGACCTTGAGGAAGTACCTGCCCTCCCTAAGCCTCCGTTTTTGTCAAACAAAGATGCCTATTATTTCTTTTCAGGGATGATGGAGCTGCCATTTGATTCAAGTGGGCAGATCATACCAGAAGGCCAGCCTGTGCCCTTCTCTCCAGGGCAGCTAGGCACTCTGACCTTTAGTCGTTGCTGGAGATGAGTGGATCCCAGCCTGTGTGTCCCAGCCTTGGCCCCCCCTCTCCTCCCCCGTCACAGCTCTCTTGGCCTGCATCCTGGCCAGCCATCCCCGCTTGGCCTGCATCCTGGCCAGCCATCTCTGGCCACGTGCCGCCCTCCCCTTTGCCTGCTCGAGGATCAGATGCCCCAGGTAGCTTCGGGTATCACCAGTGGCTGCTCCCACAGGAAGGTGAAATCAGATCACTGCCTCTGCCCATCTTGGCAGGAGCCACTGAGCAGAGCATTAACCCTTCCAGTCCCCGGACTGCAAGGGCAGCAGAGACTGTCTAAGGGGCACTGGCATTGCTGGTGGCAGGCCAGGCCCTTGACATGCATGAGCTCATTTAATCCTCACGCCTGGCCATGCCAGCCATGTTTCAGAGGAGACAGGCTCAGGGAGGCTGAGTGACTCATCCAGGGTCACACAGCTGGTAAGCAAGGGGGCCGGTTGCACCTGAGCTTGCCTGACTCCCCATCGTCTCCTCTCTTTTCTCCTCCCATTTTCTATCAGCGGGAAGCCAGCTGGGCAGCTTCCTGAGCACACACTGGTCCTGGTAAAGGGGTCTTCTCCTTGCCTTGGGCCTGGACAGTGAGTGTTTATCTCTCTAGCCCTTTGAGGATGATGGCCATCCCAACAGACCAGACTGGTCTTCCTGTGGAACTTTCAGCCCTGGCTGTAGTACCCATCGGGCCTCAAGATCATAGGGCCATAGTACCACGGGGAGACTGATGCCCAGAAAGGGGGAAGGGCAGGGGCTGGCTCCTTGTCCCCCACTGAGTTGGCGGCAGATTTTGAACTGGACCCTGGGTCTCCTGACACCCAGGGCAGAGCTTCCTGCCCAGTGGCCTTGTTTTATCATTCTGTAAAAAAGCAGGGTTGTATGTGTACCATATAAGCAGCTCCTGTCCCCAGAGACCCAGGAGTGTGGATTATTCTGATAGGGTCCTAGAGCCTGCACCTTGCCTCCCAGCCCCCCTGGGCGACACTGGGGTGGGCAGGGCTGGACGATCCACTCCCAACTCCCCAGCCGGATCTGGGCCGAGGGGTGGAAGCTGATGCCGCCTCTGCTTGTGTCTCCTGGTCTCTAGGGGGTTTCTCTTCACCTGGATCTTAGTCTCATTCGCCTGTCACCTGGCCTCCACCCAAGGAGCTCCTGAAGGTAACTCTCTCTTCTCTTTGTCCAGGGAAAGATGGGGGGACAGAAGGGATGGGAGAATGCAGGGGTAGGAGATATCCGTGCCCCGAATTGGAACCCGATGCCTCGGTTTTCTCATCAGTAGAATGGAGTTGATCACTGGCAAATCCTCTCTGGTCATGAAAGAAACATGTTTGATGTTTTGTAAGGGGTAGGAAGGGCTCAGTGCAGAAATGTGGAGGGGGGAGCCTTTCTTTCCTCTCCGGGGCACAGTGTGGGTTGGCCACTTTGGGCCAGTCAGCCTCAGTTGCCCCGATTTGTCCTGGGACAACTGCTGAAAGGAGACATGAAGGCCAGGGCTATCATTGCCCAAGCCTGTCACTGGCCCTCCCCTTCCCGTGAGATCCTGCTTTTCCCAGCGATCCCTGAGGAGCTGTCCAGGGGGCCAGGGCGGCAGTGGGCTGGCTACACAGCTGCCCGGTGAAACTGAAACCTCTCCCACATCTGTTTGTCAAGCAGCCACAGGCCTCTTAAAATAGCAGCCCTTCCCCCTTCTCCACACCCGCCGTGTGCGGGGCAGGCCGCCGGGCACTCCCAGGGCCCCTGTGGCCTGACCTGGCCGCTGGGCAGGGATTGGGCCCCTGGGAGGGGAGGGCCATGCCCGGAAGAGACTCCTGCTGCTGCCCGGCAACATTTTGTGCAAATGTCACATTTTCCGAGCTTGCTGTTTCCCCCACAAAGTAGGTGAACAGCTGTCCAGAGTCCTGAGTCAGGCGCTGGGGGTTGGGGAGAGGCTGGAGCTGTGTGGAGCCAGGTTTATGTAATAAAGGATCTTGCTGCGGCCAGCTGGCTGGGCCCTTCCATCTTGGCGTTGGGCTGCATTCATTCCCCTGTCCCCTAGCTCCTCAGCTCTGATGGGATTCTGGATGTGTCTCCACCCTGCGTTCCAGCCTGTCTGAGGGCCTCCAGCACAGGAGAGCTTCGTGGCTAAGAACAAAGACCCAGGAGCCAAGTGGTCAGGGTTCCAACTTCAGCCGAGCCTTTTATTATACGCTCCATGACCTTGGGCAAGTTATTGTAGCGAACTTTCCTGACCCTCATCTATAAAGTGGGAATAACGAACAGTACCTGCTCCATAGATGATTGAGAGACTCAGTCGAGATAAGGCATGTCAGGCACTTGGTACAGAGTACGTGCTCGGTAAATGTTAGTTATTATTAACGACGTTGTTTACCCGAAAGTTTGGGCAAGAACAGCCCCTCTCTCTCCGCGGTGGAGCCCACAGGGATCAGAGGCTCCGGAAGCTCAGCGGTGACCACCTCCGCCCCAGGAGTGAGAGTTCAGGGCTCTGCCCCAGGGGGAGGCTTGGAGACTGGTTGGTGTCGGCGCTGAAACCTGCCTTGGCAGGATGATGAGGGAAACGCCATAAGTGCCACCTGGCCAGTTGTCCGTTTCCCTGGGTGAGTGCCAGTGGCTGCAAGCTGCGGTATTCGGGGGGAGATGTGTGCAGGCCCGGGGGCCTCCTGGGGCTGCCGAGGGGGAACAAGTGGCTCCCCAACAAATGGCTCCTCCATTTTAAGTTGTTTATAGTGAATTATACTTTGTGATAATGAAGCGGTTTTCAGTGATTAAAACGTAAAATATACTACTACTCAGAGAACCCTTAGCAGTTTGATTTAGCTTAGGACCTGGGGGCCAACAGAGGTGGGAGAGAGGAGGAATGTGAAGTGAAATGAAGGCCCTCAGGTCACAGGGAGGAATAAAGGTCTTCAATGCAAGTGGCTGAAACAGCAGCCTGAAGCTACAGAGCTCTTAGAACAGGGCCATTTCCAGGTCTCCTGTCCCTTGTCTTACAGGCCGGGAAACTGAGGCCTGGGAGTCAGGAAGAGCCTGGGCCAAAGTTTCCTGGTGCAGTGCGATGGGGAGGAGATGGGGAAGGCTACCATTGCATCTCCCAGCAACCCTATGATGGAGGCACTTCTTGTAGCCCCTCTTTACAGAGGGGGAAACTGAGACTCAGTCAAGACTCATGGTGGTTTTGTCTGGCTTTAAGGTCTGGCCTTCTGCCTCCAGAGCCTGCTGTGCAGCCATTATGCTGCCCTATTGCCAGCATCCAGGTTCTCCGTTTCTCCCAACCTGTCTAGCTGCCCATCTACCCATCCACCTGTTCATCCGCCTCAGTTGTCAATTGAGGGCCTACTAAGCGCTGAGTGCAGCATTCAGCCCAACGTATACCCGTCCCACTGGGTAGTGAGAGAGCATTCCACACTCAGGGGCTAGGTGCTGAGCTCAGGGGAGGGGCCCTGAGGACTGACCCAGACCCCAATTCCGGGGGCGGCCTCTCTGCTGGCCAAGACAGCTCAGAGTCAGAGTCTGCAGACACTGGTAGCCCAGCTGATTGAAAGCGGCTGAATGGCTCGTGAGGCGAGTTCAGGTCGCCTTTCCATAAACACCCTGGAAGCCTCCTCTTGCTCTGGCGAGCCCCGCCGCCGTAATTACCGGGCGGATGTGACCTGGCCAGACCGCGGTCTGCCAGAGGACAGAGGCTGCAGGGGTGCCCTGATGACTTCCCCGGCTCTCTCCAGAGCCACCCAGTGAGGGCGGCGACGTTGGAACTGTCCTCTCCCTCCCTTGCAGAGAGAAGCTCCCCAGTGCCTGCTCCAGCCAGACAGAGACCTCGGGCGTGGGAAGGGACTCAGTAGGTTCCTGAAGGTGGACATCCTGACCAAACTCCAGTGGCATGTCCATTCCTGTCACCCTGCTCCCTCACTTGTGGGCCTGCTGCCTGGAGGAGACAGCTTTTGAGGCAGAGAGAAAGGGAAACAGGTCACATTGAACACAGCCTCTGATACTCAGCGCTAGCATTTGGTGATGATCATTATTTTTAATATTAATAGCTATTTGAAAATGCTTATTTTGTGCCAGGCACTTTTTTTTCAAGTGTATTAGCTCATTTAATCCTCGCAGCATCCTTCTGAGTGTGTTGCTGCTGTTATCCCATTTAACAGATAGGAAGACCAAGGCACTAGAGCAGCGGTTCTCAACCTGTGGGTCGCTACCCCTTTGGGGGTCGAACGACCCTTTCATAGGGGTCGCCTAAGACCATCGGAAAACACATATATAATTACATATTGTTTTTGTGATTCATCACTATGCTTTAATTATGTTCAATTTGTAACAATGAAATTGGGGGTCACCACAACATGAGGAACTGTATTAAAGGGTCGCGGCATTAGGAAGGTTGAGAACCACTGCAACTAGAGTCAACAGGGCTAGTAATGATGGAGCTGGTATTTGAACTCAGGACGTTTGGCTCCAGAGGCTGTGTTTCCTGCCACCATGTGCAAGATCATGCAGCCAGACAAGGAGCTGGTTCCAGCGCCGCACTCTCAGCCACACCCATGGGGCAGCGGGCAGCGGAGGCCGATGGTCCTCACTGCCCGCGCACCTGCAGGGGCCTGGGCTGGAGCAGGCCCTGACCGTGCCCTCTCCCCTCCGCCCTCCCTCTCCAGATGTGGACGTCCTCCAGCGGCTGGGCCTCAGCTGGACCAAGGCAGCGGGCGGCCGGAGCCCCCCGCCCCCAGGGGTCATCCCATTCCAGTCGGGCTTCATCGTAACGCAGCGGGCCCGGCTCCAGGCCCCCACGACCGCCATCGTCCCCGCCGCCCTGGGCACAGAGCTGGCGCTGGTGCTGAGCCTCTGCTCCCATCGGGTGAACCATGCCTTCCTCTTCGCCGTCCGCAGCCGGAAGCACAAGCTGCAGCTGGGCCTGCAGTTCCTCCCCGGCAAGACGGTCGTCCACCTGGGACCCCGGCGTTCCGTGGCCTTCGACCTGGACGTGCACGACGGGCGCTGGCACCACCTGGCCCTGGAGCTCCGCGGCCGCACGGTCACGCTGGTGACGGCCTGCGGGCAGCGCCGGGTGCCTGTCCCGCTGGCTTTCCACAGGGACCCCGCGCTGGACCCTGAGGGCTCCTTCCTCTTGGGGAGGATGAGCCCACACGCGGTCCAGTTCGAAGGCGCCCTGTGCCAGTTCAGTATCTACCCTGTGACGCAGGTCGCTCACAATTACTGCACCCACCTGAGGCGGCCGTGTGGACAGGCCGACATGTACCGGCCCCAGCCGGGACCCCTCCTCCCCCGGGACTCGGGCGCACCCTTTGCCTTCCAGACTGACCTAGCCCTGCTCGGCCTGGGGAACCTGACCACTGCCATGCCGGCCCTGGGCTCGTGGCCAGCAGGCAGGGGACCCAGAGGGACGGTGGTGCCCCCCACACCTACCAAGCCCCTAAGGACTAGCACCACAGACCCTCACAGGCGTGTCTCAGTGGGAGACCCAGCCCGGACCCCACTGCCACCTGCCAAGCTGTCAGCGAGCCAAGTGCTTCCTCCCGTGCCCCGAGCCCCTCCTGCGAGCTCCCCCACATCTGTCCAGTCCTTGCAGAAGAGCACAGCCACCAAAACCCCCAAGAGCCACCCAAGCAAGCCTGCAGCCCCTTCTCCCATTGCCCCTGTCAAAAGCCCCCGCCCCGCCCAGAAGGCAGCTCTCCCTTCCTCCAGAAAGTCAGCCCCTCCCACCAAGAAGCCAGTGCCACCCACTCTCCACCCAGTCCCTGCCCAAGTGTCCCGTCCCACAGGGAAGCCGGTCCAGAGGAATCCTGTGACGCCCCGACCCCCACCTCCCAGCGCCCGGCCCCTGCCCCCCGCTGCCGGTGCCTCTAAAAAGCCCTTCCCCCCCGTTGTCCAGACAGAGGCCAAGATGAGCAGCCGTGCCCGTGAGCCGGCTCCCGCCCGCACCAGCACACACAGACCTCCCCAACTCACTGTTTTGCCCCCCTCACCTGCCCCCAATCCTGGCTCTACCAGGACCACTCGGCCTCTAGCCGCAGCGATGCCTCCCACCCTCACTCCTGGTTCAGTCCCCACTGGAAGCAAGAAACCCACTGGACCAGAAGCCACAAAGAAAGCCAGACCCAAGAAGCCCGTCCCCCTCAGACCTGGGAAGGCAGCCAGGGATGTCCCCATCAGTGATCCAACCACGGGGCCCAGCCCCAGCCAGTCCCGGCCCGGCCGGCAGACCACCCCGGCCCCAGCGTTGGCCCCGGCGCGATTCCTGTCCTCCAGCCCCTGGCCCACGAGCAGTGGCTATTCGTTCTTTCATCTGGTGGGACCCACGCCTTTCCCGCTGCTGATGGGGCCTCCGGGGCCGAAGGGAGACTGTGGTTTTCCGGTAAGAATGGGCGAGGTGTGCGTGTTGCCAGGAGCTCGAGCGGGTAGCGGGGGCAGTTCGGTCCAGTGCTTGTTCCTGGCAAGGGTGGAGGAACAGAAGCGGCTTAGAGCAGGGAGCTGCTGATGAGCCGTCTTGATGCGAAGTCGGGTCCCCCACTCCTCCACCTCGGCTGTGTTCACGGGTGTAAGTCCTGCTCTGGATTCATGACCCACTGAGTCAGACTCCGGTCAGGTGGAGAGCACCCTTGGGCTTTGTTTGGCCCAGGCCCCAGGTCATTCTTTGCTGCTCCAGCGATAAAGGTCAAGTGGCTTAAGGAGAGCCATGAACTGGTGGCCCGGGTCACACCGCCTCAAGGCAGCTCCTGACTCTGAGGGCAGAGCTCCTCGGGCCACCAGCTTGCCTGGGAGTCCCACGTGGGTAGCCCTGATGTTTTGTTTGGCGCATGCAACATGGTTTAAACATTTTTAATAAGTGACTCACATTTTAAAAATGAGAGATTTCTTAGAAAAGACCCAGTGACCCCAGCTTCTCTTGGAAGTGGCAGAGATGCAGGGGCCCTGGGCTACAGCCAGGTCAGGGGGGCCCCCTTAGACAGGCCCGACCCACTCCTGTCTGTGCCTGTCCCCACATCTCCCGATTGGGTCTTCCAATCACCCATGTATGTTACTTGCCTGAATCCTGTAGAGTCCCAGTGGTTCTCAACCTTCTGGCCCTTCAAATACAGCTCCTCATGTTGTGCCCCAACCATGAAATTATTTTCGTTGCTACTTCATAACTGTAATGTTGCTACTGTTATGAATTGTAATGTAAATATCTGATATGCAGGATGGTCTTAGGCGACCCCTGTGAAAGGGTCGTTCGACTGCCAAAGGGGTCGCGACCCACAGGTTGAGAACCGCTGCTAGACACTGGAAGTGTGGCGCCTGGTAGAGGAGTTTGGGGTGAGGAGAGTCAGGGTGGACCCAAGCAGGAGAAAGAACATTCCCTGTGCAGGAGACATTCTCAGGGTCAATGCCTCTGGCTTGCCTGGGACTGTCTCCAGGGGCAACGACCTTTCTGCTGCTGGAGGCCAATTCCTGCAGGCCGGGAGTGATGGGATGGAGTTTCCAGGAAGCCTGGGCCTCGGCTCCGTTCTCCTGCCTTGGTGATGAGCACCATGTGGTTTCCTCCTTCTGGGCTCTGCATTTGACATCAGGGCTCCTTACAATGCGGAGACAGTGGCAGATGCTGGGGATTCCCGGGCCTTACCAAACACACTTGATTATTTTTAATAATCATTAGGAATAATATTTATTCAGCCTCTCTGCAAGAGGACTGAGGGCCCATTTTTATTATAACCATATTGTAGAACGTATGGAAATTGCATGCATTGCTTTGTGATTATGTCAACATTCTGCTCAAGTCCCTGAGTTCTGCAATGGGCAGGGTAGAGAGTTGGGAGCTGAGGAAGTGAGGAATCCTCCAGGCGACCCGGTCCGACTCAGGCCCCAGGTGCCTGGGGCCCTGACAGCTCAGCTCCCGGGCTGCAGGGGTGCCGGCTCACTGGCTGTGAGGTTGAAAGGGGGTGAATTGCCTCCCTCTGACAGAGGGCAGTGAGGTGCAGGGTGTCCACTCTGCCTGGTGGAGGAAGAACCCTGCCTCCCAAGCTGTGTACAGTGTGGAGAGAGGCCCTGTCCGAGCCAGCAGAACCGCAGCAGGAATGGACTTTTCGGGTGTAGCATCTGCCTTTGGGGCCGGTGGATGCCCGAGCCACACACTTGCCTCCTGGGTCTGGTGATGTGGGTCAGCAGGAGGTGAGGCCTCCTTCCAGATCGCCTGGAGCTTTCCGGTGACCGAAGAAGGTGCTGGCATTGTCCTGTGCCGTAGATGGGTGCTTAGGCCTCATTCCAGTTCAACTCTCCTCAGTGGGCAGGGGAAGAGCCTGGAGACTGTGCCCAGAGAGGGCCAGGACTTGCCCAAGGGCACACAGCACGTAGGAGGCAGAGTTGAAGTTTATGCCTCAGCTCCAGACTCCAGGGCATCACATCCCCCCTCATGAATGTCCACTCCAAGACCCCAGGGCCTAGAGCTGGGAGGCTGGGGGGGTTTCAGAAGATGTGTCAGGCCCTGTCCTTGGCCTCCAAGGAAGAGCTCATGCTGAGACTTCTGTTTCTCTCCCCACCATGTGTATGAGTTCCCTCCACATGTGTGCACTTCCCTCTAGCGCCTCCCGGGGACTGGCTCAGGAGGGGCAGGATGTGTGTGTTAATCCCTGCTCTGCCGATGAGGACACGAGGGGGAGAGGGACAAAAGACTTGGCCCAGGGCTCTCAGCATGTTCTTACAGGGGCCGGGATGCCATGGCCCTTCCTGCTCCTCCAGCCCCGAACGGATGAGGGCAAGAGCGGGGACAGCAGGCTGCCCAGGTGCCATCCCGCCTCCAGCCCCATGCTCTCCCTAATCCCACCCTTCCCTTTCTTGGAGTCTGGCCTCACTCCAATAGGACCCAGAAGCTTTGGCCAGTCCTCGGTGTGGCAGGGAGCAGGCTGGTCATTTGTATGTCACCAGATGCCAGAAATTATGAAATCAAAGTGGCATCTTTGAGTCGCGACAGGAACTCCTGTTCCTTCCGTCCTCTCTTCTCTGCCCCCAACCTCCCTATACATTCAGAATCGAGTCTCAGCAGAGCAGAAGCGGTGCTGCCTGGGACATGGGGCTTAACTGTCCCCAGACGGGGATCATGGAGACCTGGGTTCGAATCCCGGCCCCACCGCTTACGAGCTCTGTGGCCCTGACTCCCCCTCAGCCTCAGCTTCTGCAGAATGTCAGACAGAGCTGCCAGCTCCTGTGAGGAAGCAGGCTGGATGCTCTCCAGGGCCGCCTTGGAGATCGAGTTCGCTGGGTGACGTGGGACACTGCTCTCTTCTCTCTGGAACTGTCTCCTCCTGTGACATGACATTGGAAGAGCTTCCTCCTTAGAAATGACTGTGGGACCTTTCAGAGCCTGGGAGGGTGTGTGGGGCGGGTTCTGCATGGCTCCCCAGGGACATGGGATGGGCTGAGGGAGGCTGGGACAGAGCACTAGGCCTGGGCCTGCCAGGAGTTGTAGCCACTGAGCGAGGAAGCTCTGTGGGAGCCCCAGGAACGGGGGGAGCATGGAAAAGCTGACTGGCCTGGGCTGGGGAGGGGCGGGGAGCCTGTGGTTCAGAGGCTGCACAGAAGCTGCACAGAAGCCCCACGCCTGGGAGGAGGCGAGTCAAGGCCTTATTTATTCACTCGCGGGCCGCTGGCATTTGCACGCGCATGTGCTTTTTGCAGGCGTCACCTCGGGGAGACCCGGCTGAGGGCCTGGCCCACAGCAGACGCTCCATGACTATCTGTAAATGAAGGAATGCGATCCTCGCAAAAAACACACACACACAAAAAAACAGGTTGTCTTGACTCACGGGCTGGGTTGCTTGAGGTTACCCAGATCTTTGCTGGTGGTGGGATAAGGAGGCCGCACGGAATGTAAAGGCCTACAGACTAGATTTGGAATGACCTGGGTTTGAACCATTCCCTTATCCAGCCGTCCTTTCCTTCTTTCAACGAACGTTGATTGAGTGTCTTCTTGGTGTCTGGTGCTGTGTGACCTTTGGCAAGTCACTTAGCCTCTCTGAGCTTCAGTTTCTGCCTCTGTAAAATGTGAGTATGGTACCACGTACCTTTCCAGGGTTGTTGTGTGGATGCAGTGAGATGCACCCAGCACTAGAATCGGAGTCCCAGCGGGTTGCTGTGGCCGATGTGCTGATTGGTGAGGTGGGGGTATTGTTACACTAAGAGAACCAGGAGGGTTGGGCACAGGAGGACCATCCTACTGTTGACGGTTAGGAATTGGAACTAGACCTTGAGAAATTCACCCCTTTCGTTAGTACAACCCAGCACCCAGGAGAATGGAGGGGTGTTTTGCTGTCTTTACCATATGCTTTGGAGCTCCTACTGTGTGCCTAGCTCCGTGCTAAGCAATCTGCATGATGTATCCTGTGACTCCGGCGGGGGGGGGGGGTGGGGTGGGGGGGTGGGGGGGGCGGGGCGGAGAGGGTAATTGAGGAGAGTTTCGGGAAGGGACTATTTGCAGAGCTATGGGCAGCATCAAAGGAACCTACAGGGGCTGGCATCGCACAGGAATCCAACCTGAAGGTACAAGGGGAGGGGCAGGCGTTACCAGAGCCCAGCAGAGTTAAAACATGACCGGGGTTCTTTGACAGGAGTGGGGGCCAGACTACAGCCCAGCAGGGAGGGAGCAGGGAGAGAAATACCCTGCCCACTCTCTCCTTCTGCAGTGGCCTCTCTCGGCCAAACCCAGCCAGGGCAGAGAGCAAGGAAGCCTGTGGGTGCAGCCTGTAGGAGCAGCTTCCCAGGGCACAGAGTGGATCTTGGGAGCAAATGGAGAATAACCAGCACACACACATGATTTTGGAAGATGAGTATTATGCCCCCATTTTACAGCTGGACAAACTGAGGCCCGAAGGCATAAGGAGATAACTTGCTCAAGGCTACACAGAAAAGCCCTGTCCCAGTAGGCTCTTCCCTAGGACAGAGACTGGGCACCCTGTGCGCCATTCTTGGGAATAATCGGGAGCTCAGATAGAGATAGGAAGGCCCTTTGAGATTCCCTGACTTCTTTCCCTAAGGCTATAGGCACTGAGCAGAGGTCCAGAGACTGAGAGTTCATTGCTAAGGGTCTCCCTGCAGTTAGCAGCACACAGGATTGGACTCAGGTCTCCCAGATCCCAGGCCTGTGAAACCTCTCCTTGCCTGCCGCCAGGGGCCATGCCAGCCAGAGCTTACTTCTCTCTGCGAGGCTTGGCAGGCGGGCCCTTGCAGATGGACACAAGGGTGGACTTGTTCCATCGGATGGGGTTCCCCTAGGCCTGGCTGTTGGAGGCCAGGACCCTTGGGGGAAGCCCAGAGTGGGGGTTTGCTTGTTTCCATGGCTCTGTTTGCATGAGCCCTGAGCCCGGGCCTCGTCCACCTCCCGCAGATAGGCCAGCAGCCCCCGCTCCCCTCCCCCCAGCTCTGGGCCCTCTCAGAGGCCCCGTTGTTTGCATCGTGGAGTGGAAAATCCCACCCCAGCCTTGTGAATCATCCCAGAGTCACCCGCTCAGGCTTCAGCCCTGGAAAGAAATGGCAGCGTTTTTCCACTGCATGGAGAATAGGCAGGGTCTCGGACCAGGAGAGAGGGGCGCCCCCCTCAGTCACCCACTAACAAAGTGATCGCTGAGTGGGGGAGGGCCAGGCCTGTGGCTGTAGCTGGGCGTAGGGTAGTCCGGCCCAGGTGGGTAGAGCAGGGCTGGCCGGGCCTGCCGCTGGGGGCTGGGCTGCCATGTCAAGGAGTCAGGCTGTGGTCTGACATCACCAGGCCGGGCCGTGGGTCCCAGCTGGCACTTAGAGTCTGCTGTGCAGATGTTGTGAATGAGGTCAGGTCCCAGCTTGGATGCCCCTGTTTCTGGGGCAGAATAAACGCCAAGAGGGAGTGTCCAGGCCCTCGGCAGTGGCGGCCCTCCAGGGTCATGAGGGAACTCCACCCACAGATTGTCCGTCCTGGGCCCTGCACCAGCCCTTCACCCCTCCAGGCCTTGCCATCTTCTCTGTGCGAGGGGCATGGTCTCACTTTTCCTCTTCTGCTAGATAACCTAGAGGAAGAAATCAACACCACCTTGCAATTCAGGAAGTGCCGGCGTTGGGAAGCCCTCGGCATGTTCATTTGACACATGCCCACGGAAGGGAGGGGAATTATCCACGTTTGCACAGCCAGTCAGAACACCTGGCCAAGGTTTTCTGCGTGGAAGCTGCGCAGGGGAGGAGAACATGTCAAGTGGTTTGGGGTTGAATCCAGGTTCTGCCTGTTAGCTGTGCAGCCTTGGGCAAGTGGCTTTGCCTCTCTGAGCCTCTCTATGGTCTCTCATCTGTTAAAGGGGCTCGGTGATGACAACAACACCTACAGTAATGCTTAGCCTTAGCCCCTGCATTTCCCTTTAACTCCGGGTCGCGTGAAAGAGTAGGGCCAAGGAGGGCCTTCTAGGAAAGGAAACCTTTTGCTCTTCCTGAAAAACAGATGTCGAGAAGGGTGGCTTAAAATTCCACACTGGGGAGGTTCCAGCAGCTTGCTTTGCAGAAACAACAGCTAACTTTTGGGGCGTTCACTGTGTGCCAGGCACTAGGATTAGCACTTTTTATAGATTATCTGTTAGCTAGATGCTGTTCTATCTGATTTTATAGTTAAAGAATGAAGCTTTGGAGGCTGGAAGTTGCTTGCCCCGAGCCACAGAGCTAGTCAGTGAGGATGCTCAGTATCTTACACTGGGGAGCAACAGGGGGTAGACTGGCCCTGGATCTCAAACCTACAGAACTGGACCTAGGACTGGAGACCGTCCCTTCAACCCCCGGGCTCTGCATGGGAGACTGTCGCCAACTTGGAGGCTCAGAGATGGCTGGAACTTGCCTGAGATCACACACGAGTCCCCCTCTCTCCACCCTGGGGGGACTCTTGTGTGACCTCCGGCAAGTGCTAGCTCTTTTCAGTGACCCCGGGGCCCCGGGGCCCACGTCTGCCCGTCTGGATCTCTCTGCTGATTTTCATTCATGGATGAGCAAGCACGTGGCGTTCACAGGCCAGCCCTGTGAACTGAGGCTGCCCAGCGTGAGGTCTGGATTAATTACCAGCCAAACCGGACTGGGTTTTCAACACTGATTTTAACTCCGGGCAGGAAACCTGGAATCTCTGCTGTTGATGGTTATTTGAAACAAATGAATTCCCCAGGTCTCACACATCCTCGAAAGCCTGGCTTCCTCCGAAGGCTCCGTGTTCAGCTCTTCAGAGCAGGCACATGGTTGATCCTCACTCGCTCCTTCGGGGCAGACGGGACAGTCGCTATTGAGCGCTTTGCAAAGGGGAGCAGCGGAGAGCAGACAGGCTGCGGGGCTTGCACAAAGTCTGCAGTATCGAGTGGCAACACCAGGATTTACACAAAGGCCAGCTCGTGGTGTAGTAAGTCTGCCCGGCTGTCCCCCTTCCTGTGTGAAGGGAAGAGGGGTGCGGCCACACAGGTGCTCCCTGAGTACCCCGTGGCAGGGTTAGGCCATTCTCCCATAGGAAATGGGGAGCTATTAAATGTTGTTGAGCAGGGGAGTCCCGTGGGAAGGTGAACCCAGGCTGTGTGGAGGACTGGAGAGGGGGGAAGGGAGAGGCAGGGAGAAGGCAGAGGCAGAAGGGGCTGTGATGAAGGCTGGGCCAGGCTGTGGCCACTGAACTAGATGAGACATTTGAGTGACGATGGCTTACAATAATACTCTACGCACACATTTACTGCCTCGCATTTCATCCTCGAGATAATACTGTGAGGAGGGTATTCTTGTCCCCATCTTTTAGGCATAGGCTGGTTAGGGAACTTGCCCAAACCTAGTTGGTAAGTGGCAGCACTGGAATGTGAAACCAGGCCTTTATGCTCCACTGCATCTCCGTGGTGTGAAGATGCTTGATGTGACCTTGGGCAAGTCCCTTCTCTGCTCTGCCTCTGCAGACAACTTGGCTGAGCTCAGAGGTCTGTTGCTGTATTATTTTATCAAACATTTGGCTGAGCCCTGGGCAGAGAGAGATGACTCATATCCCATTAGTTCCTTTGAGGAGACTATGATCTGGTGGGAGAAACAGGCTTCTAAGCAGACAGTTCCTTGAATAGTATAGTGGCCTTTAAAATAGAGGGACAGAGGGAACCGTGGCCCAGATTGGAGGAGGGGTCAGGCAAGGTTTCCTGGAGAAGGTGGCACCCTAACTAAGGTAGCGGAATAATAAAAGCTGAGAGTGTAAAAGGCTGAGAAACCACTGCGGCAAAGGCCCGGAAGCTCCGAAAGGCAGGAGTTCCTCAGGCAGGGCCCTCAGGGAACCACGCTCCTTAGCCGTGGGCAGAGTTCTGGGGCAGGTTTGCCAAATGAATGCTTGCACCCATTCTCTCATCATGCCACTGAGCACTGATGCTATTGCTTTCTCCTCAGGGCCCCCCTGGGCTGCCTGGGCTCCCTGGACCCCCTGGTGCACGGGGACCTCGGGTAAGTGATCACACACCACCTTGTGGAGCCCTGGTCGGCTCTCTGGCCTGCATGCCCTGAAGTCCAAGCTCTGCTGTGTTTCCTCAGGCTACTCCCTGCCCTTCCCTGGCACTCACTTTCCACTTTGTCCAGTGGAATGGACCTAGGCTCTTAGGGGCACTGTGTGGACACACATGGCATGGGACAGGGTCTCCGGTCTATTGTAGGTATGACTCTTGCAGCCTGGGGTGGAGAAGGGGTTTTCCCTGGGCTGATGGGCTTTGGGGTTTGTCCAGGAAGAAAGCTGACTTGGGAGGACACGGCCCTTACACCCATCTTCCTATATCTACAGGACCATCCTGTGGGGGGGATGCTGACATAGGCAGCTAGATGGGCCATGCCAGGGAGTAGGTGAGCTCCAGTGCTGAGAGGTTCAACCAGAGGCTGGAGGGTGGCTTGGCTGGGCCGAGGTGGCTGATATGAGCTAGCCCAAGCCTCTGAATGAAAAATAGCTCCTATGTGCCTGGCACATCACTTAATGCTGCCTTATCTGATCCCTTCTTCCCCAGGACCCCCATGGGTCAGGAGAGCCACTCTCATTTTAGGAATGAAGAAGCCAAGCATCTAATGAATGGTAGAGCCGGGACTAGAACCAGGCTCTTAACCCTATGCTGGGCCCTCCCTCTTGGAGGGGAATCTGCCCCCTTCCCAAGAGGACTCAGACCCATGGCGCCTGGCATCTGTGCCCAGGCTGAATCAACCTTTCCCACGCTGGGTGCCTGGCAAAGCCCAGGCAGAGGTAGCTGCCTGGGGCATATTTTTAGCTCGGAGCCCAGTGGATGGTTCTGGTTATGCAATTACTCGAGCCCTAGTTCCCTCTAGACCCGGCCCTGGGCTCCCGGGCCCAGGGCTCTGGAATCTGCTGTCAGCAGCAGCGTTTCTTCCTGGATTTGGAGTCTCTATGGAGCACATGCCCAGAGCTTAGGACCACAGGGGTGTCATGGACACTGCTGGCTTTGACCTTGCAGCCTGGGCCCAGGATGAGGCCTGCTGACCTAGCATTCCAGGCCCAGGCAGCCTGCCCCTGCCCCGTACTCCTCCTGAGCCCTCCGGCCTCTGAGCTATTGCTTAGGCTGTGCTCCCTGCCGGACACACCCTCTTCTGCAAACTCCTCCTCCATCCATGGCTCAGATCGCACGCCAGCTCCTTTGCTGATGACCACCCCTCTGGGAGCTCCGGCGGCACTTTATCTGGCCCTCTGGAAGGCACGGATCACTTTCCAAAACCCACATTGACCGCTGATCTCCCTTTACTGAGCTGCATGCGCGTGATCTCATTGCATCTTCCCAGCCGCCCTGAGAAATAGGTTCCAATATTATCCACATTTTAGAGGTAAGGAAACTGAGGCTCAGAAAGGCCCGGTGACTTTGGGTAAAGTCAAACATCAGGTAGATCCAGAACCGGGATGTAACCCGGGTGGTCTCAGTCCAGAGCCTGTGGTTTTAACCATCCAGGTGCTAATTTTCTATCTTTTCGGCTGAGCCCCTCTGGGCCAGAGACAGCCTGCTGACCCTCTTTTCCTCCCACAACCCCTCGCACAGTGCCCTGCGTGCAGCCGGTGCTGGGAAATGGTTGCTGATGAGTTCTAGTCTGGGAGTCGAGAACATTTCCACAAAAAAGTTGTGTGATCTTAGCCAAGTCCTTTCCCTTCTCTGGGCCTTAGTTGTCCCATCTATAAAACATGGGATCATAGTGAGGCATTCCTACAGTTCCTCCCAGCTCTGAAATTCCCCAAGTGAGTGAATGACTCTCCCGACATCCTTCTGTCTCTCATATGCCCCAGCACCCCCCCCCCCCAACACACCCCTCATCATTCTGTTTCTAGACTACAAATTCCATAGATCATAAAATTCCAAAGATGATAGGGTGCTGGGATTAAACAATCCCAGCTCCTCGGCACAGATAGTGGCTCTGGGGTTTAGGGGAGGGTGGGGCCTCATCTGAGGTCAGTGGCATGCCCCTTCCCACCTTCACATAGTCCTGCAGCCCATCCGCCCATCCAGGGAGGGACATTGGGGAATCCCTGGGCCCTGCCCCCACCCGCCTTTCTGGGCTGCAGCATTTATAGAATCGGTCTGCTTGGCTCCCACTCAACTATGTGCTTCGTTTCTAAGCAAGGCCGTGGCTGGAGAGGGGTGGGGAGGTGGGGGCAGGGAAGCAGGAAGCCCCCACCTTCACGAGCTGCAGAGGGGGTAGCTGAGTGCTCCAACCCACCATCTTTGGAACAGCTAGGGGCACAACTGGGGAGAAGTAGCCACCCTTGACCTCGCATGGCTCACGCCTGGTTCTGGGGTGCTGGTCAGGGGCCCCTCCTAAAACATTCCCCCCACCCAACCGTTGCCCAGTTCAGGCTGAGCTCGGAGGTTAGACCCCAGGAGCCTGGGCTGGGATGAACATCGGAGATCTTCCAGATTCCTTAGAGACCGCTGGGTCTTGTCACTGATGGAACAGATGGGAGCCTGAGGCTGGGGGCAGGGAGGCTCGGAGTGGTTTCAGATCTCGACACTTCCCAGTCCAAGCCGGTGCCAGCAGACAGTATTAGGTAGGATGTTGGGAGGGACTGATTGTTCTAGAGGGAGGCTCACCCCTGACACCGTGATAAGCCCCCCAGGCTTAGTGAGCTTATAAACACTGTTCTTTCTAGATGTTTTCAGAGACGGGGAGAGTTCCAGTTCAGACATCGAGGAAGAGGGAGGTGCCTCGGTTGGAATGTGACAGGCTGCAGCTGGGAAGTTGGCCTCGGACAGGGAGGAAGGCAGCGAGTTCATACACAGCCAGCCAGATGGGTCAAGAGGGGGCAGGGACAGGGCAGTGTGTCTGGAGCTGGTGTGGTGGGGGCACGGTGGGGCCTCTTGAGGTGCCTCTCCCCACCCCCAACGTCCCAGAGTATGCCTCCCGGACAAAGACCCTCAGGAATTACCTGACTCCTGGGGCCCTGTTTTTATCACTGGGCTGCAAGGCTGTAGTCCAGGCCCTTGCTGGAGAAAGTGGACGTAACTGGACCCAGCTGCTGTAGCAGATTTGGATATGGCCTGGGAAAATCCAGTGCCATGAATAAGCCCTGGACTTGAGGCCAACGGGCCTGGTTCCGGCCCTCGCTTGGCCACGACTCTACTGTGTGACGTTGGCCAAGACTCTTTGACTCTCTGGGCCCAGGCTTCCCAGCTGTTCCGTGGACCCTGGAGGGCGCCGTAAGCTCGGAGCCTGTAGGAACCCAAGGGGGAGTGCTGACTGTGTGGCCACAGGGGGGCTGTGCCTTTGGTCCAAAGAGGCTCAGGATGCCCTTCATTGAACCCTCAACTCCAAGGGCTCATACAACAGTCCAGCTGGAGGCTGAAGGGTGGACGTGTCCTTTAGGCAGGAGGAGTCCCCAAAGGCTCTCGGGAGGAGGTGGCTTTTGAGCCAGGTCTTGAAGGATGGGTTGGGTTTCAGCTGGAGGGGTTGGATGGCATAGGCATGCCAGATGATGGGAACAACATGGCAGAGGCGGTGAGGGGAGAAAGTGCCGGGCCCAGAGCAGGGAAGCAAACAGCTGAGTGTGCTTTGAGCTTGAGGAAGTCAGCTGGGAAGGGCTGAGGCAGCCAGCTGGAGAGAAAAAGGGGGTAACATTCAGCTGTTAAGGGCTTGTCCTCTGAAGTCACATCTGAGGTTGAGATCTAGCTCTTGTCTTTAAGCAGCTGGATGACCTGAGAAAGTGATAAACCTCTGAACACCAGCTTCCTCGTCTCCAAAATAGAAATAATGATAGCCCCGATCTCGTGGGTTAGTGGGTAAAACGGGATCGTGAGTGGAAAGTGCTTAGCACAGGGCCAGGCATCCGGGCGGCCCGTCGCAATGCTGCGCAGACTTGGTGGGGAGAGAAGACGTAGGGGCCCCTCTCAAACATTCTCCCTGCGCAGCCTTTGCCCAGTTCAGGCTGAGCCCCGAGGTGAGACCCCAGGAGCAATGCCGCTCCGACGTGGTGAGGGGAGAAGGCGCAGCGGCAGCGGGAACCCGTGGCATTGCTGTAGGAAGTGGAAGGGCCCCGGCTCCCCTCAACTCTGTGTTTACTTCTTTTTCAGGGTCCTCCTGGGCCTCACGGAAACCCAGGCCTCCCCGGCCCTCCCGGAGCCAAAGTGAGTATTTGCTGTGGGATCTGGAGATCGGGCCATGCAGTGGGTGCTGAAGTGAGGCCCACATGGGAGCGTGTCCTAGGGGCTCCTGGTGGGAGGTCCTCAGGTCCACCGGCCCCAGGCACTCCCTGAGCACCAGGCCTGTGCCAGGCTGGGGACACGGTGAGGAGTTAGGAGTTTAGCCTCTGGTTGGGAGGGACTTCGGAGGGAAGGACCACTGGAACCCAGAGCCCTCAAAGGGAGTAGGAGGAAAGATCATTTGATGCTAAGGAGGGAGGGCCTGGAGTGTCTGACCAGGGGACTCAGGTCCGCGTTTGAGCTGGGGAGGGGTGTGGAAAGATGGTGTGTGAGGAAGGTCACTGGATGACACGTGGAAGATGGACTGGGATGGGGACCAGAGCAGAGGCAGAGAGAGCTGGGTGGTCCAGGGGAGAGAGGAGGCTAGCCTGGGCCAGCTTGGGGCTGTGGGAGGAGGGGGAGTGGGTGTATTCACAATGCGGAAATAGGGTAGGGAGGACTTGGATGAGAGGTGAGACGGCTCCCCGGTGTTAGAGACGGAACCTGGGAACCAGGGAGAAGGACTAAGATGATGTTGTGTTTGGAACCTGTAGTCCAGCCAGGTGGAGACGATTCATGGACAAAAAACACTCTAAGACTCAGGAAAGTTCTGAGCTGGAGATAGGACCTTGGGAGATGGCTGGCACACAGATGCCACCTTCCCCAGGGAGCTTCTGGAAATGGCCCAGTGAACTTCTAGATGAGCCCACAGAGACCAGAGTGACTGGTGCTCCGAGGGCCGTGGGGAATTCCGGCCTGGAGAGCCCGGGTTCATTCCTGGGGCGTGGTGAGAGAACAGGGTTGTCAGGGCGGTGGGTGGAGTGAGAAGCGAGGGCGCCAAGAGGAGTGCCAGACCAGTGAAATTTAGGTCACAGGGAGAAGTGTGGAGGAATGGCCGGGGAAATGGGAGGAGGGGGAGGAAGATGCAAGGCCAGGGAAGCCAAGAGCTCAGCGATTGGGCTGAAGGAGCTCAGGGCAGGCTGGGAAGGGCAGAGGGACTCCTGGTTAGGACGCTGCTCAGCCCAGACTGTCATCTAAGGGGCGGCCAGGTGAAGAACCTCTCTGGGCTTTGGTTGGCCCAGGCGCAAGGATGTTCTTTGTTAACCTACTGTCAAGGTTGAGTGGCTGAAGTCAGCCATTAACTGATTAACCCAGGTTGGGCAGTGAGTGACAGCTGGCAGCCTCCGGAGTCCAGTCCTGACTCCTGGAGCAGAACTCCTCTGGCTCCCAGATTGTCGGGGAGTTTGGGGCAAAGGTCATACACAGGTAGACCTGGATACATGAACATATGGCACCAGAATGCTGGTGCAGGAGCACCAGCCTCAGCCCCTGTGGGTCCATGACTCTATGGCCAGGGCTGGGCTGGGTCCTTCCTTAGAAGGTGTGCATGGGAGCATCAGATGCCCAGCGCCTAGCAGCTGCCCAGAGGGCCTCTGGGTTTTAACAAGGCAAATACTGATGGTAATATCTACCATATATTGGACCCTTACTGTGCACTGGACACTACGCACACTCTTTATGTAGCTTATCTCAATTGATCCCCACAAAGATCTATGAGGTGGGTGGAGATACTGTACCCATTTATGGATGGGGAAACTGAGGCTCCAGCAGATGAAGACACTGTTCCCTGGGAGGACCTGCTTCTCCGCTCCAGAGGGGACCTCCTTGGGAGATGGGGTACACCAGGATGCTGAGATCAGCAGCTGTTTTGAATGGCCAGGTTTGCTCAGGAATATATCTGTCTGGTCTGGGAGGTGAGACAGGTCTTCCCAGAGGATGGGGAGGTTGAACTGAGGTCTGAAGTGCTGCAGGTAACTAGGCAAAGGGGCAGGAGAAGGCTGCGGAGGGCCACAGGCCTGTAGGTGGTGCTAAGACTTTTGGACTTTATCCAACGAACAGCAGGAAGCCATGCAAAGATTTGCAGCAGAGGTGACACGATCAGATGAGGTTTGCAAAGGCTACTCAGGCAGCTTGGGAAGCAGGGCCTGGCTGATGGTTTGTAGAAGTTATTTATGTTTATATATTAAGGTTATTAAGAGTTCATCTACCTTATAAATATTTTCTGATTTACTATTTGCCTGCTAAGAGTATTCATGATGATTTTCACAAATCAAAGTGTATGTGTGTGTGTGTATATATATATATATATATATATATATATATATATATATATTACTAACAATAATCGCTAACACTGATTAGGAACTTAAAACATGTCAGTTTGGAGAGGGCTCCACCATATGTGAAATGTATGGTTATTTACTTTTATTCTTACACATTTCTTTCCCATCCTAAGATCAGATAGGTATTCACTTATATTTCTAGTTATTGCATAATATCATTTGTACTAAAAAAGTTTAAATCATCTGGAATTAATTTTCAATAATGTGACAATATGAGGTAGGGCTCTAACTTTATTTTCCCTCCAATAGTTAGCTGTTTATTAAATAAACTTTCCTCCACTCATTACTGTATGATAGATCAGAGTCTATTTCAGTCCATTGAAGCATGTTTCATTGCTATTTATATTTTTTATGTTAGTAAAGTGCCATTTTATATTATGACATTTACTGTCTTTATACTGTGTGTCTTCCCGCCCCTGTTCTTTTAAAATATTTCTGGCTATTTATTCTGTCAGATGTACTTTAGTATGCTCCTCTTAATAATTTCCTTATAAAACCCTCTTGGGGCTTTATTGGAATTGTATTAAATGTGCATATTAATTTATGAAGAATCAACATCTTTAAAATATTAAAGCTTCCCACTTAGTTGAGTTTTTTTAAATGTCTCTTAGTAACTTTTATTGTTTTTATTGCATAAGCCCTGCACAATTCTTATTAAGTTTATAGTTGGGAATTTTATATTTTGTTGTTGTTATGAATGGAATATCTTCCTCATTATATTTTCTAGCTTGGCTCTCAGCTATTGAAGAGAACTGTTTACTTTTGTATTTTTGCACTTTTTGTGTTTATTTTATAAACATGCTCTTTACTGAATTATCTTATTAATTCTAACAGTATTTCAGTTAGTTCTCCTAGATTTTTCTAGACAGGCACTCATCTTTTTTTTTTTTTGCAAAGAAGGAAATATTTTTGTCTCCTTTTCCTCAAAGGTTAGTAGTCTTATTTGTTTTTCCTGCCTTATTGCATTGGTCAGAACTTCTAAACACACAAAATAGTAGTAGTGATAGCGGAAAGTCAGTGAATCTTCAGAGGAGGTTCCAGGCCTGTGGCTAGATCAGATCTCTTCACCTCCCACCCTACCCACAGGACAGGGGCTCAACACAGTTCCCATTCCTACTGTGTTTGTAGCATTTACAATTCGCCTTCCCATCCACCTTCTAGTTGTTCAAGGCTCTGTTCACGAGCCAGGCAGTTCCCTACACAGAGAAGAAAAGCAGTTTGTCCAAGGTTACACAGGCTCTTGGACTGGAGAGCTGGGTTGGTGACCAGGTTCTTGTCCTCACCAGGGTGTAAACAATGGATTAAAGTTTACATCTTCCTTATGTCTCTTACTGGGGAATTGGCAGGAGTATGGCTGGGAAGATGTCTAGCCTTTTCCATCATGGAAGTCACACCTTCCCCTGACCAAGGTGCCTGGAGCATCTCTTGAGCTTTAACTTCATTGGCTCCCTCCTCGTCTTCCTCCAGCCTTAGCTTAGCTGTAATTCCTGTTAGGGATTTAGCCCTCAGTCCTCAACTTCCTCCTGGACTCCACGTGCTATCTGCAGAGTATTGAAATGTTCAGAGCTTGAGCTCTGAAACCAGGCTGCCTGCGTCTAAGACCCACTTACTAACTGTATGACCTTAGACAAGTTACTTATCTTCTCTGTGCCTTAGTCTCCTCCTATGTGACATCGGGAGAGGGGTAATTGCCACCACATAGATTTATATGTGGAGAGCTTAGGCGTGTATTCGGTAGATGCTAGGCTTATTATTACCATTACCCATCTCTCTGGCTTCTCTCTCAAGAGCGTCCCAGGGGCGATCCCTGTGTCTCGTTCCCCACTGTGGTATTCCCTGCAGTCATTGCCGGACTTGGCTCACAGTAGATGGTCCATAAGGATCTGTACCTGTGGATGTTGTCCTCAGGTGGAGATTACATCCCAAGCACTGTGCTGCTGCTGACAGCCCACAGAGAATCCCACAAATAACTAAAATGCCCCAGTAAGAGCCCCTGGCAAGGGAGCAAGGGCATCATCTCTGGGCCTCAGTTTCCCCTTTTATAAAATGACAGAATAGGATACATGGAGGCCCACTCCAAAAGCTTTTTAAGCCCAGCTCCTTTACCAGCTGTAGACGGAGGTGGGCAAGGGCGGGTGGGGAGAGTAACTGTCCTTTTTTGGCCACTGGAAACCCAGGGAGCCCTGGGCCTGGCCTTGCATCATGGACATAAAAGGTAGTGGAGTCGGGCTTGTGAGCAGCAGAGGGTGGGAGAGTGTCAGTGAGGGGCAGCCGCAGTGTGAGATCCCAGAGGGCAGGTTCTGCAGAAGGGACTGGAGGGGCCCAGGGAACAGAGGGTTGGGGTCCTAGCGGGGAGGGGCTGCCCTTCAGCCTGGGGCAGCTGGAGGGGGTGGGGGAAGTAGCCAGGCTTCCCATTTATAAACAAGAGCTGAAAACTCAGACAGACCGGGATGAGTCAGACCTAGTAAGACCTGGCCTCTCACCTGCGTGTCACCCCAGGCTGTGACTCAGCCTCTCGGAGTTGCATCACAGTGGGGGGGGGGGGGGAGGGGGTGTGGGGGGCAGGTTGTTAAGAGGACTAACGGAGCCTGGCACAGTGTTGGGCACGGAGTGGGTGGGCAGTAGAAGTCTGCTCCCTTCCCTCTGTAGAGCCCTATCCAGTTTGGAATGCAATGATTTCTTGAGAAGAGTGATTGAGTCAGAATTTGGAAGGTCTGGGTTCTGACAAAGAAAAGAACCAAATGGGAATTAATTGAACTTGGCCAAACCACCCCTCCCATGTGTCACATTCATTATCTCACTGGCTCCTTACCAAGAAACCTGGAAAGTTAGCAGGTGTATGTGCGTGTGTACAAGTGTGTGTATGTGTATGCACCCATGTGCACATGTGAGTGTGTGTGCAAATGCCAAGGGCACATGTATGTACCTGTGCGTAGGTGTATGAGCATGTGTGCATGAGCCTATGGGCATGCATGTGCATGCATGAGCCTGTGTGTAAGTGTGTGCATGCACCTGGGTGAGAGTGTGTGCACACACCTGAGTGCACGCGTGTGCATGTGTGTGTGCGCAGCTGTATGTGCTCTTGTGCATGTGTGTGTGCCGGTGTATGCATGTGTGCATGCCTGTTTGTGTGTGCTGCACAGCCCCCATTTTAAAGGCGAGAAGACAGGGCCCAGAGAAGTGAAATGATTTGTCTGAGTTCCCACTGTGAGACCCTGGCTTCACCCCAGGACTTCTGACTCAGGGTCCAGCTGGGAGCGGGAGCGTGGGAGTGAGGGTGAGGGACAGGCTCAGGGGCTCTTGGAAGGTGACATCAGGGTGGACTGACTTTCCAAAGGGCTGTTTGCTGAGTAATTTAGCCAGGTTGGGCCAAATGAGCGGGCCCACAGCCAGGAGCGCTCTTTCCAGCCTGTAGGAGACGCAGCTGGTGAACTGGCCCTTTCTCTGGGCCCAGCTCTCAGGAGCCAGACTCTGCAATGGGGACACTCCCAGATCTAAACACAAAGGGTGCTTGTCTCTGACAGAGGACCCGCTGCTGGTCTGTTTCTCCCTGAAATACTACCAGTTCTAACTCATCTTCAGGGCTCTCATCTTAGCTGGCCAGCACCTCTTCCCGGGGCCTGGACTATCTCTTTCTTCTCTCTTGGCCTCCGCTTTCCCGTATATGTTATGGGGGTGATAACACTTCCCCTGCCCACTGCATTGGGCTGTTGTTAGAATCGAGTGAGGTGAGGGATATTGCGAACTCTGAGGGGCTGTTCACAGATGCAAGTGGGTATTACGGCACCCACCCTGGATACTTAGAGTGCTGCGGGGAGCGAACTGGAAATGGAACCAGGGCGTCTCTTGTCTGGGTCTCAGAAGCTCTCTGAGAGCCCAGGGGAACCACCTGGGAGGCAGTCCTAGCAACTTTCATGTGCTAGGTCGTGCGACCCGTACGCAGGCCCCAACTGGGGAGGACACTCAAGCTGCATCTTGAAGAATGTTTATGTCTGGCTAGTGAGGCCTGTGGAATGGTTTCCTAGATGGGAGTGGCCGCCTGTGCGAGGGCCTGGCAGCTGGGAAGTGCAGAGCATGGCTGAGGAAGGGGCTGTGGTCTGGGGAAGGCAGAGACGACCCTGTCTGTGTGTGGCTGGTGAAGGAGAGTCAAATCTGGGTAGGATGATTGGGACCAGGGGACCCAAGACTTGGGACGCCAGAGGAGGGGTTTGGACTTTGTCATCACGCAGTCAGTGGGGAGCGTGGAAGGTGGAGTCTGGAGCAGTGGGGTGTGTGAGTGGGGGTGGAGGGAGGGTGTTTAAGCGGGGGACAGGGCTTAGAGTAGCGTGTGGGAGACATCAGTGGAATTATTTTTGTTTCAGGGACAGAAAGGGGACCCGGGGCTCTCACCGGGAAAAGCCCACGATGGGACAAAGGTAGGTTTCCAGGGCCCCCGAGCTCAGGGCAGGGGGAGTGAGCAGCAGGGAAACCACCGGGCCCTGGGGGAGCCCTCCTGGGCTGCCGCCTGATAGTCTGGAAAGGTCAGCGCTGGTTTGGTTTTTACCTTGAAGTCCTTCCGCCTTTCCCCACACCAAGCCCAACGCCATTTCCTACTGTCTTCTGGGGTTGCAGCCAGTAACACCCACAGAAGGTTTCCCCAAGGATGTTCTTGGGGAATGTCCTTTTGTCTAATACGTGGCATGGCTTTCTGTAGGGCCTTCTAGGTGACCCTTGGCATCCAGAAGCTTCTTGGTCGCACATGCCCAGGAAGCTTCCAAAAGACATTCAAAGTCTCCTCTGAGGTTAATAGACAGGTGTGTGAACGTCTAGGAGGTGGGAAGGGAACGGGCCAGGGGAAGGCGATGAGACCAGAGGTTTCCCCATGGAAGAGAAAGCCCAAGCATTCTTCCCTGATGCGTCCCCATCCACTAACCAAGGGACCTGGAGGGAGTGCAGGACCCTTGGGAACAGGGGACCCCAGAACTCCAGGTAAGGCCCCCAGCATCTCAGAGCTCCAAATCCTGGAGGGAACACCCTAGCCTGTCTTCCTTACTCTGGACTCAGCCTAGGAGCCCTCCTGACAGGCAGAACACTGCTTTCCATCCCGGCCTCCTGTGCTGGGGCACATACAAGTGGCAGCTCCCTTCCGTTTCCCCGAGTCACAGGAGGCTCACCCCTTCACATCCTCACTGATGCTCTTTTTCATTCATTACACTGGGTGTAAATGTTCACATGCACTCCCATCTGCTCCTCGTTGTAACCTTGTAAACCAGGGCAGATGGGCCCAGCTTGCAGATGAGGAAACAGAGGCCCCGGAGGCGGGTGGCTGCTGGAGCTCACACAGCTGGCCGGTGCAGAGCAGGATTGGTACCCAGGTCTTGTCTCTTGCTCCTGGGTTGTCTGTTCTCAGGTCTAATGGGGGTGGCAGAAATGCCTCCTACGGTGACCACCAGGTGCCACCATGCCGGGCAAGGATGAGGAATGCAGAGGGAGGGAGAAAGGGAGGGAGGGAGAGAGTGCTGATTGGATTGAGGCAGATGAATTACATGCCCCCTGGGACAGTGGTTCTCAAATATTTAGCATAGGACCTATTTCCCAAATGGTATTCTATACCAAAGTCCAATATAGAAAATATAGGGTTTCCCCCCAAAATGTATGCACACACTTTGAATAATGATAAAGGCAGCGCTTATTAAGATACATTTTATTTTCAAAATTGAGCTCTCAGCTGTTAAAGTATGTCTACATTTTGGGGGACACCCTGTAGATCGAATGGAGTGACTGGGTTATGTGGAGAGGGCTGGACACCCTGCCCACTGGGCTGCCCTCACTCCGCTCAGAGGCCCCAGTCTCTCCTGAGGCCTCCAGGCCTCCTTGAGTCCAGTTCATGAACAACTGGCCATGAGCTCTCACACTTCGATTTGACACATGTCTCTGCTCCCATCCCCCTAGCTCACCCCTTGTCTCTGTCTTGCAGGGCGACATGGGCTTGCCCGGGCTCCCTGGGGATCCAGGACCGCTTGGACGAAAGGTACACCTCGGTTTCGATGCTTTGCCTTGCTCAGTGGGCTTCCTAGCAAGCAGGGTCATCTGGCAGGAGCTGGGAACCGCCTGTCCCAACCCCCCCGCCTGCCTCTCTTAGCCCCAGCCCAGCTCCCTGGGCACAGGGAACATTGGCGGGAGGGGAGAGAGGTTTGCTAGGGTCTGTGCTTGCCTGGGCGGGCAGCACCTTGGCTTGGAGTAGGCCTCCCCTAACCATGGTTAATGAGGTGTGACAGGAAGTGGCCCTGGTTCACTGTCCTTCCTCTAGGGGTGCAGCTACTCCTGGGAGGCCTTTCTGAGGAATACATGGGTGGTGGGAGGAATATTGCCAGAGCCGGGAGGACCTGCATTGGCCCAGGGCACCACCTCTGACCTGCTGAGTGGCCTTGGGCCTGCGTATTACCTCCCTGAGCCTCAGCCTCCTCCCACCTGGATGGTGGCAATAACCCTGCCTCCCTTGACTCTCCACTGCCTGGGGCTGTCGGCCTGCAGCAGAGAAATTGGGAGAGTGGACTCTGGGGTCCATCAGACCTGGGATCTATTGCTGCTACACCGTCTCCCAGCTGTTTGACCTTGGGCAAGTCTAGAACCCCCCTGAGTCTAACCTTCGTCCCTCCCTGGTACGCTGCAGGGGAGGCAAATGCTCTGCGAAGGCAGTACGTGCTCTCTACCTTCTGAGCTGTTGTCATGCTGCTCCCGACCTTGTCCCTGTTTCAGCCAAGGTGGGGGGAGTTACTTCTCTAAACGCCCTCACAGGAAAGTCTACCTTTCTCCTAGACGGTGGGTCCCTGGCTTCCAGTGTCCCTGGATTTCTCCCCAGTTTCCCAGCCAGGGTCCCCCATCCTTCAGACTCAACTCTAGCTGCGCCCACTCCAGGAAGGCCCCCTGGGGCCACAGCCTTCAGGTCAGGAGCCTCCACTCTGCTCAAGGACCCCTGGCCCATCTTAGCTTAGTTATTTTCACCCCGAGTCCAGCCTTATCAACCGGGTCGTGCAAGTCTTGTTTTGTCGCCTTCCCTACTGAGCCTAGCCTGGGACTGCACATAGTAGGTGTCCAGGAAACAGGAGGAGGACAGTGCAGGCCAAGGGTCAACTGCTTCTTTGCAGGGAACTCCCCCACTGCTGATGGGTTTTCCGGTAGATACATCAGCATAGGTCTCCATGTCTTAGGCTTCTACACTGGCTCCCAGCTGTGGCCACAGCTGTCATCTCTCTGGGCCATCTGGGTCTGATCTGGACAGCTGTGGTGCCTCCTGGCTCCTTCCTGGCCTTGCTCCAAGGGTCCCCATGGCACAGGGGACTTGGAGCCTCATGTCCCCCTCAACCATTTCTCCAGACCGGAGCCTGTGGCTGGCTGTGAGCTGGGGAAACATGGAATTTTCTGGCTCAGAGAACACAGAGGGACTCCCTCTCCCCACTCACTTCCCCTCGGGCTCCAGCGCTTTCTGATGGATGAGGTGTGAGTGGAAAGTCTCCTTCCAGTCCTGGCTCATAAAGCAGCCAGTGGTGGTCTCGCTCTGCGTGGCGGTGGGAGTCTAGCAGAGGTGGCAGGAGATGGGAAAGCAGACGGCCCGGCTCCTGCCTGGGTTCCAGGGCTCCCTGCTCTCAGCAGATGTCCAGGGAGGCCAAGAGCCCCCAACCAAGATGGACCAGCTCACCTGAGCAGGGAGGGGTGTCTTTTGTAAATTAAGGAAGAGCTTCCATGCGGTGAAAAAAGTATTCGGCAAAGCCATTTGCACCCCTGGGCCAGCCCAGGCAAACACGGAGGAGTTTGGTCTGTGGCAGCCCTGTGTCACCTGCTCACGGAGGGTGGTAGGCAGAGAATGGGGGAGCTCAGGTCCCCGGGGTGGGAAGGAGGACAGACAGGGTGGGTTGCTGCCTGGGATCCTCACTGTTTGTAGGTAGTTTCTCCTCCACAAGCATCTTTTGTGACAAATGTGGCCACTTTGCCTGGTCCTGTTGGGGGCTTTTCTGCCTCATCTCGTGGGAGCCTCGGGAGAAAGCAGACGTCCGGAGGCAAAGGGGGAAGTCACCATCCTCTTTGCTCATCAGCATGTGGAATCGGTGTCACCTCAGAGTGACACCAAGAATCCTCTTCATTCTTTTATTCGACAGAATTAATTGAATGCTGGGCACTGAGCTGGATAGATAGACAAAATTCTTGTCCCCCGGAGCTTCTACTCTTGTGGAGAAAGGCAGACAATAAAAAGAAAAACAGTGAAAATATAAGGTTTATTGGAAGATGAAAAGGCCTACGAGACGAAACAGGCAGAGAGGGGAGCTTGCGTTGGGAGGGCTCCCATATTGAATAGTGTGGCAAAGGGGAGGCGGCATGAGGAATTACTGCTTCTCATCACATCGTTCCCTCACAATAGCCTCCAGGAGGTAAGGCAGTATCATGCCTCTTTAGAGCTGAGAAAGCCAAGGCCTGACTAGGTCTCATTCATTCATTCATTCATTCATTTATTCATATGCGTTCATTTGTTTGTTCATTTATTCATATGCGTTCATTCATTCCACCAGTCGTTCATTCAGCAAACGTGTACCCTTATACCAGGCTGGGTGCCAGCAATGGTGTTGAATGCATTGAGATCATCGAGAGGCCTTGAGGAGGGTGAGGTCTGCAGCAGTGGTTCCCGGCCCCACCCTGCATTAGAACCCCTGGGGAGCTCGCCCACTGCAGGGATCCTGGGTCTCTTGGTCTGAGTGGGACCCTGGCACAAGCTTCTCAGGGGCAGCAAGACAGAGTCAGTGGTTTAACGGAAATACCCCTCAGGGTCACTAAGCCCAGAGCTGGGATTTGAACCTCGGTCTCTGACCCTCAGGCCCTCCCTCCCTCCCCTACGCTGCATGAAACCACTTCTCAGGTAAGAGTGGGTCCATCAGGTAGAAAAGAGGCTCCCCGCCCGAGGCGAGTTTCTCTGCATCCGCCTGCGATGCTTGCTGAGGAGCTTGGCTGAGCCAATTCCCGAGAGCTGGGCAGGTGCATGGACCATGGCAGACACCTGGATGGAAGCCAGCTCTGGCCCTTTCCTGTGGGGTGAGCTTGGGCACATGGCCTTGGTTGCTCCATAGGCTGGTTGGGAGGGTTTAGTGAGGTGTTACATCCCCAGGACCTAACACAGGGTTGGCACTTGGGAGGCACTGCATACTATTTGTTAAATGAGTGAATGAGTGATCATGATGATCTTGAAGGGGAAGCGCTGAAGGTCACCAGAACACCACCTGCACCCTGGGAGGGCGAGTCCCGTGCTGTCCCTAGTCTGACCCTCCTCCCTTCTCTTCTGTAGGCGGGTACTTCTCAACCGGGGGCGATTTTGCGCCCCAGGGAACAGTTAGCAATGTCTGGAGACATTTTTGGTCATCACAACTGGGAGGGGGTTGCTTCTAGCTTTTCTAAGGAGTAGAAGCCAGAGATGCTGTTAAATGTCCTACAGAGCACAGGCCTGCTGTCCCACCCCTGCGCTGATCCAGCCCGCAGGGCAGCGGTGCTGGGGCTGAGCACCTGCTGAGAAGTCCTCACTCCGCCCACCCTGCATGCCCTCTGGCACTCCTTCCTCCGGCGCCCTCCTGCAGCCCTCACCCTGCCCGTGAGCCCTCCCTCTGCCACCTGAGTTGACCACCGTCTGTGAGAAGCTGTAATAAAAGGGAGGGCGGAGGGGACCATCTGGGAATGCTTTGGGGGAGTGTGATTGAGGCTGCCAAAGGCGGCCTCCTGCCTTTCTGCAGACCTACCGCTCTCCCTGCACGTAGCACCCCCAGTTCCACACAGAGCCCCTACCGCAGTGGTTCTCAACCTTCTGGCCCTTTAAATACAGTTCCTCTTGTTGTGACCCAACCATAAAATTATTCTGGTTGCTACTTCATAACTGTAATGTTGCTACTATTATGAATCGTAATGTAAATATCCGATATGCAGGATGGTCTTAGGTGACCCCTATGAAAGGGACATTCGACTGCCAAAGGGGTCGCGACCCACAGGTTGAGAACCGCTGCCCTACCGAGACCTTTCTCGAGGCCCCCCCCCCCCGCTGTGGGGCTGCCCTGGGCCTCGGGCCCACACCCATTGCCATTTCTGAGGTCCAGTTCCCTCTGCTCTCCAACCCGCTCTTCCTTTAAACTCCGTGTATAATGCCACCTGCTGCTGTTGGGCTGTCTACCCTCTCCGAGCCTCAGAGAGTGTATTAATATGTATTTAATACTCAAAACCTCTTCGAGGAGGTGTGGAGTGAGTTTGTTTGGTTCACTAGTGTATTCTCAGTGCCTGGCACAGCTGAATGAATGGGCCATCCAGAAACTGGGCCTGCCCTGACGTCTCAAGTGCCCACTGAGCAGTGTGGCGTCGGAGACCTGGCTGTGCCGTGGTGGACTGTGCTTTTGGGAAAGCCCCACACTCAGCATCCTGTCGTTTCTGAGCCAACAGGATGCTCTGAGAGAGCCGCTGGGGAAGCGGAGGTCCGGGAGGGGCAGGGACTTGCCCAGCATCATGTCATGAGTCCCCCTACCTCTTGGCATGTTTGTTCCTTGCTGATTCTTTCTGTCAAGTGTCCTGTCGATTGCCCCTGTGTGGCAGGTGGGCTGCGAGGTGGTAGGGAAATGCTAAGCTGGTCACGTGTGGTGAGTCCCACTTCGCTGCAGGAGAAGCCAGGACCTGCAGGCTGAGGTGGAGCCTGGATGAACATGTTGGTCCCCAGGACCCCTGGGCAAGGACAGGACCCCCTCCTCTCCCTACCCAAAGCCCAAATAGCATCCCAGCCGGCAGGGAGACTGTCTGCAGCAACAGTGAGGTGATGTCTGGTTTCTCCTTGTGCATTGTAAGCAATGATTAATCTGGCTCCCAAATCAAAATATAGACCGCGCTGTATTATAAACACGGGTCCTGTGGAGACCCGCCTGCCGGGCAGCTGGAGGCCCTGCAGGCTCCAGGGTCCCTGGAGCATCCTGGGGCATCTGCGCTCCCCTTCTGCCAGTCGGGCACCGCTCACACGTGGGGAAATCACTGCCCGTGGGTCCACCTTGCGGTCAGCGCCTGCCCCATAATTGCTGGGCCCTGGAGAAGGTAATGGTTTAGATGGTTGCAGGTCCTGGGGCCCTGTCATTTGAAGCTATTTAGCTGGCCCAGCTTGGTAAACATGGTCAAGGTACTTTCAGGGAGCATACAGCCTCCCACCCACTCCACCCCCATGCATGGCAGTGCTCCGTCCGCTGCTCCCATCCAGCCAGGAGAAATGGATATTCATGGCAATGTTCAGGGCCCTTCAGGATCCACTGTTTGAGACAGATCTAGGAATCGTGGCCTTCTGAACAAAGCCCAGCCCAGCCGGTCCAGAGCCTGGGGGACAGTCCAGGCTTGGTGTAACTTGCTAACTGATCTTGGGCAAGTCCCTTCCCCTCTCTGGGCCAGTTTCTCAGCCTGCCCAGTGAGAAAGGAGGTTGTGAAATTGATGGCTTCGTCCCTTCCAACTCAGATACTCCAGGGTTCTGTGACCGTCCTCTGGCCCAGCAGTGCTGCAGTGATCTGTCTTGGGAGCTGGGTGTCACAGGGGGTCTTTCTCGGGTGGCCCTGTGGACCTCCAGCCTCAGTAAGTGCCGGGAGCCGGTCCATGCTTGCTGTTTCAAGGGACCTGGCATATATGGCATACTGTTCTTAATATGTTTGCTCACCTTCTTGGCACTATGTGTTTTAACCAAGGTCTCTGAGAAAGGTTGTTTCCCCAGGTAGGGATTTTCCCCTGAAGTTAGGGAGGGAATAAAACCTCTTAACTAAGTGCCAGGTGGGTAATTAATCACTTTAACTACGAACAATCATGCTTAAGCTACATAATCTTTACTCCCTGGAATGGAGATAAGAAACGCCCTAACCTTTGTAATAGAGATTGATAGGATTGAATCAACTGGTATAAATACAGATGTAACAAGACAGCAAGAGACAGAACTTAGAACACAGAACTTAGAAGACAGAACCAGGAGGCACAGAACCTACACAGAATGTTCTCTAGAGACAGAAGAACTTCTCTGGAGAGAACATGGCAAAAGATCCTGGACAGAAACTGGCCTCAGAACCTAGAGACAGAACCTAGCGAGAGAACATGGTAAAAGATCCTGGACTGAACCTGACTACAGAAATTGGCAAGAGAACCTGACTAGAACCTGGTGACTGAACCTGGCTGGAGAACCTAGCGAGGGAACATGGCTATAGAACCTGGCTGGAGAACCTGGAGAGAACATGGCTGAAGAACCTAGAGACAGAACCTGGTGAGAGAACCTGGCTGAAGAACCTAGAGACAGAACCTGGCTGGAGAACCTGGAGAACCTAGCAAGAGAACATGGACACAGAACCTGGCTGGAGATCCTAAGCAGAACCTCTCTGGAGATCCAGACCAGAACTTGGCTGGAGATCCTGGCTAGAGATCCTGGCTAGGCTGCTGATCAACTGAATGCTGTCTCCCTGTCATTCCTTCTTCGCCGACTCCGTCCACACCTTTGGGGACCCCTGGACCTGCTGGGGTTGGACCCCAGCAAGTAAGTGTGTACATTACAGTCACAGGCTAGCACTGCCCTTGGGAAGCTGTGTGGCCCCAGGAAAGTCACTTTGCCTCTCTGAGCCTCAGTGTTCTCATCTGGCAAGTGTGCCCAGTAATTTCTACCTTCCAGGCATAATGTCAAGGAGTTGATGAGCTGATGCATTTAAGGCGTTAGTGCCGAGCCAGGCCTAGGGCAGGCCACGGTCCACGTCCCTGATGATCATTCGTTTCCTTTTAGCTGTGTCACGAGTGAAGGGTTTACTTGAAATCTCCTCCTGGGATTATGCTGGCTACGCTTCTCTGATAAAGCATTGGTTTCCAGAAGGTTCCTTTTGGCTTCGGAGGCAGCACCTTTCATGCTTCTCTTGGGATCTTTGCCCCGTATTGCATTGGGCCTTTGCAGCAACCCCCTCAGGGTAGGCAGAGGGTGACAGAGTGAGGCTCAGAGAAAGCAATCGCCTGTGCCAAGTCACACAGCCTAGAGCTCGAGGCTCCATGCAAAAGTTTTGCTTTTTCTTTCTTCTCTGCAAGCTCCAAATGGAGAAGGATAATAATGGTGATTATATGGAACCCTCCGTGGTTTCTCATCATATTACCCCCCCACACACACACACATGCTCTGGCTTCCTGCTTCTCTGACCGCTCCTTCCTCTCTACCTCTCACCCCTTACTCATTCTGCTCCAGTCACGTGGAGCAGACCTCATTCTTCTCAAACCCACCTGCGAGTGTTCTTGCCTCAGGGCTTCTGCACTGGCTGTTCCCTCTGCCTGAAACGCCTTTCCTCTGAGAGCCAGACCCACGTCCAGCTCTCTCAGCTTGTTAATCTCCTCAGAGCGGCCTTCCCTGCCCGCCCACCTGCGGCCATGCCCTCCCTGCATGCCACTCTCTGTCCTCTAACTCTGCTCATTTTTCTTCAAGGCACTGGTCACTGCACCCATTATCTCTTTTTAAAGTTTTATTCTGAATTATGGTTTTAAAAAACATAAAATTTAGCATCTTAACCATATTTAAGGTTATAATTGTGTTAAATATATTCACATGGTTGGGCAACGGTCACCAGAACGCTTGCAAACCTGAAACTCTGCCCCCATGAAAGCTACTCCCCACTTCCCCCTCCCCCTGACATTATCCTTTCTAATTACTTCTTTTTATATCTCCTTAATTGCACTGTACACCCCATTAAGGCAAAGGATGTTGTATTCTCATGCACCCCACGCGTAGAATGGTGCTGGCGCATAAAACTTCAGATAGTGTTTGTTGAATGAATGAATGAGACAGGAAGATCATGTTGATAACACCAGCCAGTCTTTACAGGGCCCTGGAATTAATGCCAGATACTGTGCTAAGTGCTTTTCACACAGTGTTCACGCAACCCAGGGGCCACCCATTGTAGCCCACTTTACAAAAGTGGAAACCAAGACCCAGCGAGGTGACATCAGTGGTCCCAGGTCACACAGCCAGCCCGCAGCGAAGCAGGAGCGGGAGCCGGGCAGTCTAAACCCAGGGGCCTTAGCCGGGCTGCGTGCCCGCTGCGAGCTGTGGCCTGTGCCTCAGTTGCCCTCTGGGGGAAGCACGCACACCCATGTGGAAGACTCAGCCAGCCGTGTTGTCTCTGCCTCGCGGGCCCCGGGTTGAGATGCAATCATGTCACTGAGCAGTCTGAGGCATGAGTAGGTGCAGGAGGAATGCTTGTAAACTCCCCAAGCCTCCTGGGTCAGACTGACTCTGCTGTTTATAATTAAGAGTCCCACTTCCTGGGGGTTGCGGGGGTGCTGAGTTATATGTTTGTGTGTGTGTGTGTGTGCATGCGTGCATGCCCTGTACGTGCCCGGGATGTCTGCAAGGTTCTCTGTGTGGCCTCCGGTGTCGGAAGGACACGGTGGTGAGTGTGAACCTGCTGGTCCTTAGCAATGAAACTCGAGGTGAGTGGCTTCTGTTCTCTGAGACTCCGTTTTTTTCATCTGTAACATGGAGGTGACAATCTCTACCTGTGGCTGCGATAAGGGCTAGAGGAGGTCATGTAGGTGCTGTCCTGGGTAAACAGCCATGCATGAAGGGGTCTGCAGGCGTCGTGTGTGTGTGTGTGTGTGTGTGTGTGTGTGTGTGTGTGTGTACTCTACAGTCTTGTGTAGAACCCTCTGGGGGAGCCCAGCACCTCCAGATCTCAAATGCCAGAGCAGAAGGGGCCTCAGTTCAAACTCCCTCATGTGAGGTCCAGAGAAAGAAGGCGGTAACCCACCCATAGCTGCCCAGTAAGTGAGGCACTGTCTGAGCCAAGCCCAGGGCTCCCTGTGTGAGGGGCTCTGATCGGAGCTCAGGGCAACTGCCCTGTCGGCTCTGGAAGCCCCTGGTCCTAGTTCACAGCAGCCCAGAGCCGATGGAAGCAGGACATCTGGGTCTCCCTTTGCAGAGCTCCCAACTCCTACAAAATGACCCAGGGGTCACCCCCAGTGCTGCCTGAAAGCACACACTCATTTTGATTCGCTGGACCCTGAGACCCAACCTTGAACCCTGGTAGTTGGACCCTGGGGACAGAGGGTCAAGGTTGGTGCCGGGATGTTGCCAGATTCCTCCATCAGGCGTGTGGGCGCCCTGTGTCCCCTTGGAATAGTTGCTGGAACCAACGAGAGGAAGGCAGGCAATTCCTTTGGTGAATATACTTGGTCAATGTGTGTGAGATCTTTTCCTGTTCATGAGAGGGGGAAGGTCCTGACAGAAGGTTCCAGCATCACGGGGTGGTTGGGCATATCCCAGACCTGAAGGTCCTCATCAGCCTGCCCGCCCATTGAGAAACCCCTCTACCCTGGCATCTGAGGGTCTCGCCCTCTCTGGATTTGGAAAGAATGGCTGGGGTGCAGCAGCGCGCTGTCAGTTCAGCTCACAACCCTGCCCAAGGAGTGAACAGTCCCTTGATGCTTCTGGTTGAAGAACTGTTAGTAGCAGAGACAAAAACATGGGCACCTGCTAACGCTGATGGACATGGTCCCTTCGGCAAGTGTTTATTGAGCACGTACTACATCCCTGCCGTGGTGCATGTGGTGCTGAAAGGGCAGGCAGGGAGGCCGGGCTGCTGCCATCCACAGGCCCAGATGTGCCTCCCGGCCTGATGTGGCTTCTTCCCCCACAGGGATACAAGGGCTACCCTGGACCTGCTGGGCACCCCGGAGAACAGGTGAGGACCACCCTGCCGGCTCCTGCACTCCAGCCCCTGCCTGTCCCTGGCCTCCGCCCCGGGCCCTACCTCGTGAACGAGCCCTAGAGCCAGGCGGTTGAGCTTCCCAACCTCCTGGGGCCCCCACCTCACCCCACCTCTCTCCCAGCCACATCTGCCTGAGAGACCTGGAGTCCACGCCAGCCTGGCGCTGGCACGAGCTGCTACGCTCGGTTAGAGCCATGAATAGCTGGCCTGTTCCGGGCGATGTTAGGGGATATTATCCGCACCGCCATGGGGTTTGCAGGAATTTTGGCTGCGCGGGCCCAAATCAAACAGCAGTGGCTGCCAGCGTGGGGGCCAGCCAGGCCTCCTCAGTGCTGTCTTAGGCCTGGGCGGCCTGCACAGGGGGTTTTGTCCCTCCGAGCTGGTCTGACCGGTTTTGCAGAGGGGTGGGCTTGGGGGCCGGCAGCCAGGCAGCCACCAGTGGCTTCCCCTTCCTCCCATTTCATCTCGCATTCGAGCCCTCCTCTTTGTCCATTGTGATCCCCAGTCCCCCACTGCCCCTCAGGCCTGGAGCCCGGCAGGGTCTCTCCTTTCCTCACGCTTCTCTCCGTTCCTTTGCAGGGGCGGCCGGGACCCGAGGGCAGCCCAGGGGCCAAAGGTTACCCTGGCAGGCAGGTGCAGTATATGGCTTCTGGAAGCTCTGTGGCCATGGTGGTGTGCAGACGGCCATGGGCCCCCAGGCAGAGGGCGGTGGCGGGCTGGGGGCCGAGGAGCTGCACCTGCTGGGTAGGCCCTGAGAGCAGGGATGCTCAGCCAGAGAACGGAAGAGACGAGTTCTGGTGCAGTGGGGGTGGGGATCCACCCAGTCTCCCCTTGAGCCACTTCCCTGGGGTCCTGAGGTGGCTGGGGCTCAGTTTGAAAGCCACAAATCTAACCTGTTCCCATTCTACAGAGAGAGCAGCTGAGGCCTGGGTTGTTGGCAGCAAGTAGACTGTCTCCATATGTCCTTGCCCCTCTGTCTTTTATGTTTCAGGGGTTACCTGGACCTGTAGGAGACCCTGGTCCCAAAGGCAGCCGGGTAAGTGGGCCCTGGCAAGTGCCATACAGGTGGGCCCTGGGTGGGCATTACCTGTCCCTCCGGTGAGCCTGAGAGAGAGAGCAGGGCTGGGAGGCCTCCACCCAGTGTCTGTCGGGCTACAACCTCCTGCCTGAGTGCTCTCTGGAGAGCAGAGGGACAGCAGGACGGCCTGGTGAGGGGAGACTCTTGAGCCAAGCCTGAGCCATGGCCGGTCAGCCTGGGCAGCAGAGAGCAGCTGGGGGCTCGGCCACAGTCCAGCTGCTCCAATCCCCAGCATGTCCCACGTGATGGGAACGAAGCCAGGCCGCCTTGCCTGCGGTTGGAGGCCTCAGAGGCCTCTCCCCTGCTCCTGACTGAGGGCGAGGGGACCGCCCTTTTGGGAGCCAGTGGTGTCTGATGGGTGAATGCTGCCCAGGCCCGAGGCTGATAAAGTATCTATTGTCCCCTTCAAGGAGGAGAAAACCCTGCATGGCTAGCAGTCTCGGTTTACCCATCTTTACAATGGGGTGATGTCCATTCTGCCTCTTGCATGGTTATGGAGATACCAGGAATTTGGAAGCAAGTAGTGTTTAGGGGAAGCCACCAGTGTAGGCTCCCGGGTGAGCTGTGGGCGGTAGAGAAGGTTCTGGGGGAACTGAATGGAAGTAAATGGAGTTTGGAAGGCTGAGAGATGAACTGGTGGAACCTTCTCTGTATCTCCAAGGAAACTGGGTTCACGGTAGAGACCCCATGGCCCTCGTTTGCACTGCACAGTGAAGGTGGAGCTACGATGAGGACCCAGAGGTCCACAGGGCTGGGCTCGCAGCCTCTCAGAGAACGCTCAGCATATGGGCCACACAGTTCAAGGCCAGGCTAGGTTGGTGTGAGGTGACTTCCTCTCCTGAACCAAAGCTACTTTGGCCACAGTCTCGGCCCTAATCCCAGAGGGTCCCTCTGCACCCAGGGAGGTCTTCTCAGTTCTGCCACAGGGTCCCTAATCTGCCAGGAGGTCAGGAGGAAAGAGACAGGCATCCTGGCTGCTTGGTGTTTGCCCTGCTAGAGGCATCTTGGGGCCACACAGAGAGAGAGAGCTGGTCTGGTCTTAGCTCACCCCTGTCCAGGGTCACAAGGCCCTGAGCAGCCTGGGTGAGCCGGGCCATTCCAGCTGCCCTTTCAATCCTGCCATTGCTGGCCTCATATGTATGAAGTAGGCAGAGGGCAAGCTTTGGGGTCAGGGCACCTTCGAGGCCTGGGAGGAGGCACCACAGAAGCCACAGGTGCCCAGCAGGGTCCCTGGGGGTGGGGAGGACCTGGTGCCTCTCTAGCATCTAACCCAGCTGAGAGCTTCCTTCCTGCAGGTCCTGGAGCCCCGGCTCGGGGCGGGCCTCCCGCCGAGAGCGCCCGCGCCCTTCCCTGGCGTGAGGGTATGTGCCTTTGGACTACATCGTGGAAGCCAGCACCATGCAGTCCATGGGCATATACACTTGCCTCAAGGCCTATGTCGTCGAGGAGCCGCCGGAGCCACCACTGCCACCAGCCAGGAAGAAGAGCCGGGCATGGGAGGGCAGCGAGGGGGCTGGGATGGGTAGGGCCAGCCACACCCCACCACTCGGCCCTCTGACCCCGCACCTGCTCTTTCCTAGGGCTACATTGGACTCCCAGGGCTCTTCGGCCTGCCAGGGTCCGATGGAGAGCGTGTGAGTATGCTTTCTCTGTTTACCTCCTACCCACCCCACCCACTCCCTCTGCCAGGTGCCAGCCTGGAGCCATCGTGGAATCCCTTTTAGACAGGTGCCCTCGACTTACATCGGAAGCCACTAAGGGGACCAGGCAAGGCAGGTGCTTCCAGACATTGGGAACAGAGTGTGCAGAGTCAGGGGCATACGATAACTTGGCAAGTTTAACATCATGCCAGTCAAAGCGCTGAGTGCCAGGTGGGAAGGTGGGGCCACGGGAAGTCAAGGCTGGAGGGAGCGCCTGGGCCATGTTATATGTCACTCAGAGGCCAAGGTCAGGAAAGGGCCTCTGCTCTGAGAGCACTGGGAGCTTCTGAAGGACTTGCAGCAGATGAGAAATTGGCCCATTTTGTATTTCAGACCAAGTGTCTGCAAACTCCGGCCTGGACTCGGCCATGCTCATTTGTTTAGGCAGCACCAGTGGTTGCTCTGCTCTTGGCACAGAGATGAGTAATTAGGACAGAGACTGTTCGGCCCACAGGCCTCTGGACCTTTCTCTCCATCCCCTCCCTGCCTGAGCCCATATATGAGAACTCAAATGTAACCTCATCCGCAAAAGAACCTTAGAAATGCAGAAGGAGCACTTAGTGAGCACCAGCTGAATACCAGGAACACCGGGTACTTTTGGGGGGCCATCTCCCCAGTTCAGATCCATGCAGACCCCAATTCCAGGAGTGCAAGGGCCATCCATCCTCTGTGCAAAGCTGGTATCTATTGTGGATGTGGTCGGGATGCTAGGCTCTTGGTGACTTCCTCTGGTGGGTGCTCTGGGGCTGGTGTCCCCTGCTGGCATCCTGTCCTGACCTCTTCCCTGTCTCTTCCTCTACAGGGCCTGCCTGGTGTTCCTGGCAAGAGGGGCAAGATGGGTAGGCCGGTAAAGATTTTCCGTGTCTATTACGCAGACTCTATGGGGGAACTTGACCTCCCACTGGCCACGCTGCCCTGTCCATCCGCGGCCTGGGCATTCTCTGCTTGCTTCTCTGCTCAGCCATCGCTCTGCTTTGAGTGTGTGGGCCGGCACGTAGGGCTGTCTGGGCCGCGTGTCCTGCTGCCAGAACACGAATGGCTGCTTCCTGGCTGGGGCTGGGGGCGGGGCTCCTGTGAGCTCCGGGTCCCTCTAGGAGGGAGCCTGTGTGCATATGTGTGTGTGTGTGTGTGTGTGTGTGTGTGTGTGTGTGTGCGCGCTCTGCCATGCAGTTTTGTGTCTGCAGGTGGGGGCAGGGCGGTCTGCTGTCTGGGTCATTAGTGTCCGTGTGCAGGGACCTGCTGGGACTGGGGGACCTTGGCCTGGCCAGGTGTCGGTGTTGCTAACAGAGAACACTCAGTCTCCGTGTTGTCTTGGTGTCACCTGTTTCACCCCTGCACACACAGGCCGGAGGGCAGGGGGATGCTGGGCAGGTGGACCACAAGGGGGGCTCAGCAGTCATGCCCCATCTGTCAGCTTTGCCTGTGATTCTCCATCCTGGTAGGAAATTGTTTTTCCCCTCGTTTGGGCATCTGTGGGGCAGGAAGAAAAGGCTAAGGCTCCGAGAGAGTAAGTAATTTGTCCGAAGTTTCACACTGAGTCAACAGCAGAGCCAGGATTCTAACTCGGTTTGTCTCCGGGGCCTCTGATCTCCATGATGGCCCAGGCCCACTGGTTGGAGATGAAGTTGTAAACGTGGATTCCCTAGGACTTTTCCTGGAGGAAAGCCATTCATCCCAATGCTTTGCTATTCACAAGGGGAAACCGAGGCTCTGAGAGGCAGAGTGTTGTGTCCGGGGTCCCACTGCTAGGCTGGGGAGACCCAGGACTGTAACCGAGGCATCTTTCTCCCGGGCCCTGCCCCGTTGCTGGCTTCAGGCTCCCTGCCTGTGCCTTGCAGGGTAAGGCCGAGACTTGGACCCATCATCAGCTCTGAGTCTGTACCTCCCTTTGCTTGTGGTTGATGGAGAAGGGATGGTGAGTTAGAACTTGAGAGTCAGCTGGGAGGGAGCCAGGAGCACTCCAGGTGGCCAGAAGGGGCTGTCTGTGATTCTGGGGTTGATGGCATGGTCACAGGCACTGACCTTGCCTTTATGGACTTGGGTCCTCTGGGGCCAAGTGGGGAATACAAAGAAAGGCAAGATCCAGGTCCTGGCTATAAGGCGCTAACAGAGGAGCCCCTCACCCTCAGACCTAGCCCCCTCTGTGCCCTGAGGTCTGACACCTGACACCCCGATCTGGGCAAGAAACAGCACCTGTTGCTTCTGGCTTCAGGCCAGGATGTGGAGTCTGTGAGAGCTGGGCTGGCATTTGGATCTGTTCCTCAAGCCAGGTGACTGGGGCAAGGAGACTGCTTCCTTCATTACTCATTCGTTCATCCATTCATTGGTTCATTCATTCATTTATTCATTCAATGAATTCTGGGTGTGCACTGTGCTTGATGCTGAGCAGTGGACAAGACAAAGCTCCCATTCTCGTGGGCAGACAGACAGACAATGATTGTTTGAGGGAATGGAGAATGCATGATTGACTGTCAGATGGTGCTGAGTATTCAGATAGAGTAGGATGGGGGACAGGGAGTACTTGGGGAATAGGCTTTTGGAGAAATTGGTCTGGGAAGTCCTCACTTTCTGAGAAACCTGAAAGAGGTGAGAATGGAGCCCTGTGGCTCTCCAGGAAGAGCACTCCAGGTTGAGGCCACCTCCAGAGCCCCCATGGGGGGATTGCTCTGACTCCATCTTGGGAGCCTCCCAGAGGGCCAGGCATTGCCACTAAAGATGAGAAGACCAGTGAATGGCGTGGCCAAGATCGTGTGGCTTCTGGGGGTCAGAGCTGTTAGAATGCAGCAGCCAGTGGCTTCTTCACCTGCTGCAACCAGGACTGTCAACAGAGCCATGCTTCCACTGTCCTCTTCCACCCCCTCCCCTATAGCCTCCCCATCCCTTTCCTACTTCCAGCAGCCCCTTCGTCTGCCTCTTCCTTGAACTTATTTTCTTTTCTTGGAGCTGAAAACCTCCTGCTCACGGCTGGGAAGGCAGCGCCAGGTCTGTGAGTGCGAAGAAGCCTTTCACTCATTTGTCGTGAGTGAGATGAGGCCTCTCACTCATTTCTCATTCAACAAAAATTTATTGAGCACCGACTATGTGCCAGGTAGTAGGGATAGCACTGTAGCCAAAACCAACCCCCTCAAAAGCAACATTTATTGAGGCCCCTTTACCTGCATGGGATTTGAACTGCGTGTGATTCTCCCACTGATTCTTTGAGGTGAGATTGATTTTTTTTTAAAATATATTTTATTGATTTTTTATAGAGAGGAAGGGAGAGGGATAGAGAGTTAGAAACATCGATGGGAGAGAAACATCAGTCAGCTGCCTCTTGCACACCTCCTACTGGGGATGTGCCCGCAACCAAGGTATATGCCCTTGGCCGGAATCGAACCTGGGATCTTTCAGTCCGCAGGCCGATGCTCTATCCACTGAGCCAAACTGGTTAGGGCGAGATTGATTTTTCAGATGAGGAAACAGAGGCTTCCACAGCCAAAGCCATGTGCCCAGAGACCTCCAAGGTCTTGAACCCTTTTAGCTGTCAGCTCATGCCTGCTTCCTCGCTCCGTGCCAGTGACTTCCTCAGATTCCATGCTCCACGATGAGGTTGTGCCCTGGCGCTGGGGTGTCAGGTATGGGTGGGAGGAAGCCCCTTCCCTCCAGTCAAACCGCCTGTGGTCATACCATATGCCTGAAGGCTAGGAAAGCCCCTGAATTCTAGCCCAGTCGCCATGGCCGCCAAACAGGCAGGGTCTGCATTGGCTATGACAGAATATGCATGGAACAGGACTTCGTATCACCCAGTCTTTCAGCCGTTGTCTCTGCCTTGCTGAGCCTCCAGTCCCTCCGTGCCCTCAGCCCACGGTCTCCTGAGTGGTCTTACGGGCCATCCCCTGTTGCCAGGGCTCCCTAGCCCTTGATCTGGCTGGTGGGGTTGGGGGATTCTTTTGTGAATGGGTTTTCCACTTGTCCAAGCCTTGGGCCAGGCAATTTCTAGGCACATATTAACAAGAGGAAATGTCGAGGGAATGCGCTGAGTTCCCTCATGCCAGATCGCAGCTGGCCTCATTTCTGGCGGGCCTGGCGGTGGTGATCTTGCTGTAGTCCATCTCTCTCCAGCCAGCAAAACCTCAGGCCCACGCATGCGGCCTCCTCGGCCTTGGGTTTGGAAGGAGAATGCGGGAGAGTCTTCAAATGGGAGCTGAGAAAGAGACAGTGGAGGTCAGATCCCATCAGAGCTGCAGGACCTTTAGTGATGAGCTGGCCCAACCCCTTTGTCAGACAGATAAGCATAGTTTAGAGAGGCCAGGAACTTCCCAAGGTCATACAATAAGGTGGTGACAGAATCAAGACTCGAACCCAGGACTCTTGCTTGCTAGTAAGAATCACTTCTCTCTGTGCTCACATCTTCAACCTCCAAAGCAGGACTTAGTCTATAGCTCTCCTCTCCTCCTCACGCCACCTGTTAGAAAGAGAAATGCCTTATGGTTTCCTGAGGAGTCCAGATATAAGATGTTACAAACTTGGCTGGAACTATGAGCTCTAGGGGCTTTCTTCTGGACTGTCCTGGCTTGTTGGGGGCCCGGCACAGGGACACTCATGGCTGGGGTCCGAGCCATGCCTCTCAGCCACAGGTCTCTCCCCGGGGCTGGGAAGATGCTACAGTGAATCCTCTAGTCGGACACTGTGAATTCACCATCAGCGGCTGGAATGCCTGACCCGGCCAGCCGCCACTCACAGCTCCTCTGGTCTCTGGCCAGGCCTGCCCAGGCGGGTCTTGTGTAGTGAGTCAGGCAGGCAGACCCTAGAACTGAGAGCTGGAAAGGCCCAGCCCTGGCTTCCACTCCCTTGGTGTGTGTGGCTCGGGGACCAGTGGGATTTGCCCAAGGCCACGCGCCATTCGGGCGAGCAGGGCTCTCACACGGCGCATTTTGGTTTCAAGCTCAGGGCTCTTTCCAGTTCTCCGTCTGTAGGGAGAAGGGAGCAAAGCGAGAGGGATCTCGTGTTTCCACGTGGGGAAACTGAGGCCAAAGCAGATGAGAGTTTTTAGCTGTGGTCACGGTGTGGGCTGGGGATGTGGTCCCCAGTGTCCCCAACATGACCTAGAGCTGTCCCAGAGCTACCGGTGGCTCTGGAATCCTGGGAACCCTATCTGCCCACCTCCTCCTTATTCCCTGGGGTCACTTTTGGGGGGCTTCCCTAGTGGACTTCAGAAGGGCTGGGTGAAAGCATGCTCAGCATCATGAGAAAGAGAGCTGGGGACCTCTGGTCTCCATGTGGGCGCACATCTGGAAGATCGGGGTGCTTTGAGATGCAGGTTAGACTTACGCGGGAACTTCGCGACTTCGGAGAATCGCAGCATTGTAAAGAGGTCTCCAAGATCCTTCTGCAGGCTCTTCCTAGAGACCATTACGTATTCCCACCATTGACGCAAACCCTAACCAGCATGTGGTGATGGCACATGAGAGTTTGCCAGGGGCTGGATTACAAACATCTGGCCTCTTCTTCAGCCCAGCTCTGCCAGGTGAGTTGGGCAGGACTGACCATTTTTCAGGCCAGGGAGCTGAGCCTTCGAGACCTTGGCAGGACTGCAGATCTTCAAGCTGCACGCTCCTTCTGCCCTTACAGCCCACCTTCTGGAACAGACCATTTGGGTGGACACTGTGGGGAAGTAGGGCCTCCTCAGCCCTCAACATCTTGCCGTGCATGTGGCCACGAGGACTGTTCCTGTTTTCACGTCTATCATCTCGTCCCAGAGCCAGCTTCTGTCTTCTCCTGGGCCTTGTTCTGCTCAAAGTACGAGGTGTTCAGTTCCCCAGGGAGGCCTGACCTGGGGAAGTGGAGAAACCACGTGGCTAAGGCCCCGGCAGGGTGCCAAGCTCATTGCCTGGGCCTCGGGCCAGCCTGCTGCAGCCAGGAGCTCCAGCCTGCGGAGGAAGGTCCCGCTGCTGGCCAGGCTGGGAGTGCACGCCATGCACGAGCGGATGCAGCCAGACAGGGCAGCAGGCCTCAGGGGCCGTAGGGCGAGTGTCAGAAATGAGGCAAGTTAGCGGGGTGCTGGGGCCTTGGGCGTGTGCTGGGCCTCAGTCTCCCCACTGCAGAAATGAAATGCCGAATGTCAGGAGTCAGGGTCTTTTTGTCTCAGGCCATCCGTGATTGTTCCAATCAAAGATTTGTTCCAGCACTTTTCTTTTTTGTTGTTAATCCTCTCCTGGGGATATTTTTTCCTGTTTTGACTTTTTTAGAGAGTGGAAGGGAGGAGAGGAGGGAAAGAGAGAGAGAAATGTTGATGTGAGAGAGACACATCAATCGGTTGCCTCCTGCATGCGTCCCAACCTCGGCCGGGGATCGAACCTGCAACGTATGTGCCCTTGACTGGGAATTGATCCCATGACTCTTCGGTGTGAGGGTGGATGCTCTAATGTCCAGGGATATTCCAGCACTTTTAAAGGTTGCTCCAATCTTTCCCCCTCTCAACCATTGTGCTCTTAATTACAAACCCTACGTTCCTAAAGGTCATCTGCTGGACTCCTCTAAAGGGAGGGAGACTGAAGATGGAGACAGGGCTGGGTATTGCAGCCACCAAGCATGTACCAGCAGAACCAGTCCTGGGCATCAGTCATGCCACTCCCACGTGTGCGTCAGCCAGGGTTCTCCTGAGCACTTGGAGAGACCCAGGCTTGTAGTCCTGTCTCTGTATTCAGTGTCCAGTCATAGCCAAGAGAATGGGCACTGGAGTCAGGCTGCCTGGATTCAGATCCCAGCCCTGCTATTCCATAGCTGTGTCACTTTGAACAAGTGCTCTAACCTCTCTGAAATGGGCCAGTAATAGGACCTATCTCATTGGGCTGTTGGAGTTTGCTCTTCCTGTCATTGTGGTCATCTCACTGTCACCTCCCACTGGCTGTACTCCGGCTGCATTTCGTCTGCCTCCCTTTGGGATGCAACCATTCTGATGGTCTCTGCCTTGCTCATGCCTCAGAGACGTGCCCTCACATGGCCGCTGCCTCTGTGTGGCAGCAAGGGCTCGCCCTCGGTGTGACATCTCAGCTCATCCCTCGGGACTCCTCATTTCACAGCAGAGAGCGCTGCGGCTCAGGAGGCCTGTGGGCGGTGGAGCCAGGACTGGCATCGGGCTGCTCTGGCTGCAAAGCCTCACCAGGTCAGCCGGCCTGGCGGAGGGGCTGAGAGGAGTCCTTGAACCAACCTGGAGTGGCCTCTGGGTGCAGACGCATGGGTTTGAGACCTTCCTGGGGCCTGCTGGCTGCAAATATATTGGACATGGCAGGCAGGATCAGTGCCTGGGAAATGCCGTCACGCTCTCCATCCGGCTCCAAGCTCCTTCCTCGAGGCTTCGTCCACGAATTAGGCCAAGCGGAAGGGTTCTTAGCGATCACACACTCCAGCCTGAGCACAGTCAGAAAAACATGACATTTCCCTGAAAAAGCTAAGATTTGAATTCAAGGAGAGGGGAGAACAGGTTTCTCTAAGTTCCAAGCTTGAGGGCTTTCTTTTCCTTTTGAAGTAGAATGGAGTTACCCCCTGCCACGCCAGGAACATCCCCATAGCTGATGTTTTCCCAGCTGCCAGTCTCCCCAGAGAGCGTGGGGTAGGGTCAGGGAGGGGGCGAGAGGCCAGGCCTGCCTGGGGCGGGCAAAATGACCTCTCTCTCAGCTGCCGAAACTCTCCTGTGACAATGGTGCGGCTCTTCACCGCCGTATAACCTTGACACTTACCTGTTCAGAGTCTCTATCTGTAAAATAGGGATCATGATTCCACAGGGTGGCTTTTGAAGAGCATGTCACCATCATACTAGGTGTCTGAGCTGGAAAATGCCCCACAGGCCTCCCCTTTGACCAGTGGGGAAACTGAGGCCTACGGGGGAAAAGGGATGCTTTTATAACTCAACAGGTCAGCAGCCGGTCTCCAGGCCTAGACCCAGATTCCTGACCCCCCACTCCATCGGGACCAGGTCTCAGATTGGGGGTGGCATTTCCACTCTGGGGAGCCAGTCACCAGTTTCTTTTCAGAGACTCTGGGGACATAAGAAGAGGCTCAATGTCCCTGAGCCCCACCTGAGAAATTCTCCAGGTGGAGTGTTTGTTGAGGGCATGGGGTGATCCGGGACCCCACTGGTTGCCCAGATCCCAGAACCAAGGAGTGAGACTGCATGGACATGTCCTGTGTCTCTCCCCCCCTCCTCACCCCACTCCCCCGCCCCCGGGGGTCTGGATCGCAGCCACTCGGAAGTATAAACACTAATTTATAGTTGTTTGTTTTCTCTTGTGCCCTCAGGGGTTTCCTGGAGACTTTGGGGAAAGAGGCCCACCCGGACTGGATGGAAACCCCGTAAGTATCTCAAGTCTTTGGGACCAGGAGAGAGATTTGGCGGGAACTCACACAGGTTTTAGGAACCCAACTTTGGGGTTGAATGACTGTCAAACCCTAGCCCTGCTACCTACTAGCTGGTGCCTCTTCTGAACCCCAGGCTCCTGTACTGTGGATGCCCTGTGACCCCACCCCCGAGAGCGTCCCCAGCCCTGAGCCTCTGGTCCCAAAGCCCCGGCCTGTGTTCCATCCTCAAGGACTTAGGAAGGCTCGAGAGTCACTCCCCACGGGGGAAGCCAGGCCTATGCCACCTTACAAAGCACCGGAAATGCTTATGGGACGGCAGCAGCCCGGGAGCAGATAGTTTGCAGGCCCCGTGTGAGAGGAGAGCGAGTTCGAAGGGAATCGCCAGCACAGGCATGTTTATAGGGTTTGTAAATAGTCAGAGAAGCCAGGTCAGCTTGCCCTGCGGAGCTGAGCCCTGCCTTCCCCGTCCTGTCCCAGCCTCAGGCTCGGCAGGAGAGGAGGCCTGGGGGTGCAGGCCATGTTCAGAGCTCTTTGGAGCACCTGCCCTGCCCCCCACCTCTCCATGGGGCTTCCCTCCGGAGCAGCTGTGCCCGCTGTGCTTTCTGCAGAGGTGGCTGCTGGATCCGTCCTCAACACCTGATTCTGTTCTCATTTCTGTTCCACAAATGCTCCCTGGGGCCGACCCTTGGGCTCCCTTGGGAGCTGAAGCCCTGGCCTCGGAGCCAAGTGGACCTGGGTTTGAATCCTGCCACACCACTCGCCAGCCCGGCACTTGGACAAACCCGTTCCCCTCTCTGGCTCTGTTTCCTTGTCTGTAAAACAGGGGGTGGGATAGGGGGGAGGGTGTCAAAATGCCGGCCTCAGAGGGCTGCTGTGAGAATGAAATGAGAGGGTAAGGGAACAGTTCGGCCCATGACCAGTGCTCACCAGTGTTCCTAGTCTGGGGTGTAATGGAAGGGCACAGTTCCTGCCCTCGAGGAGCTCGTGGCTGTCTCCCCAGTTACTGCAGGAGGCGGAGAGTAGATTGGTGGGATCAGGAGGTCCCAGGTGCTGTGGAGGAGGGGGAGGCGGAGGGAAGACTCTTGGGAAAGGTGACATTAGAACTGGGTTGAAGAAAGAGGTGAGGAGACATTCCAGGTGGAGGAAGGAATACCAGCAAAGGCACAGAGGTGAGGAGCCAGGGCCTGTCCTTCAGTGGATCTGCCCTCGGACTATTGGTTATAATGTGTGGTCTCCTCCCAGGCCCCCTGGGGAGGGGCGGGGATGTCTTCATACTCACGGCCCCAAGGAGCAGGAAGAGGACCGGATGTGTGGTCCCAGCTCTGCCACGCAGTTGTTGCGTGGCCTTGGACAAGTCACATCCCTCCCCTGAGCCTCGGTTCCCTCATTTGAAAGCCAAGTCTGTTTCTCGCCGCCTCCTCTTCTCCGTGGTGGCTGGAGTCATGACCTCCATCTGAGCAGCCCTGGGTTGCACAGATGATCCCAGGCAAACCCCGGATGCTGTGGGCAATTCTCACAGACAATCACCATTCCTGAAGCCCCCTATTTTTATTCGCATCTGTGCATTTTGAACTTGATCCAAATCCCTCTACCGTCTTCTCTGGGGCAAACCATTGAAGGTCCATTTATAGAGAAGAGGAAGGAGAAACTTCCCCACTGCCGCACCCAGACACACCTGTCTCCTGGGCGAGAACTCTCCCAGCATCTCGGAGGCCTTGGGAGGCAGAAACCTGTGAGCCTGTGGGGGTCCAGGGCCCCGGCGCCTCCTGGCTGAGAGAGCGGGGAGCTAGCCTGGTGGCTCTCTGCTGGCAGCCCTCACCACTGTTACTTTCTTGCACTTGACCTTGAGTAAATCACTTAACTCTCAAGCCTCAGTTTTGCCATCTATAGGGTGAGGGTGAAATGAGACCTGGGTCGAACACCCTGCACATCCTATTACCATGATCAGGATGGCGCAGTCCTTCACACTTAACAATCTGAAGCTGCCAGACTTGGAAATCCAACCTCCCCATTTTACCGATGCAGAAAGCTGATGCCAGAGGGGGCCAAGGGTCTTGTCCAAACCTTAGACCAGGCTCTGGAGAATCAGCAGTCAGGGACGATGAATGGTCAGCTCAGAGGACTCCCCTAGGCACCCACGTGCAGAACAGTGTGGAGGGGGTGGCCCAGGAGGGAGAAGGGCAACTAACCACCTTGGTCTGTCTCCATTTGCAGGGAGAGCTGGGCCTGCCAGGGCCCCCGGGAGTCCCCGGCCTCATTGTAAGTACACCGATGCCTGGGAAGGGGAGAGGCAGGAAGCAGGGTGTGGGGAACAAGCGATAAGACCTGCTGAAAAGGCCCCTCTTATCAAACCCAGGAGGAGCTGCTATAGCAGGACAGACCAGCCTGGGCGGAGGCCTGAGGGAGGACAGTCCTACTGTGTGGCCTCAGGTGCATTACCTGCCTTCTCTGAGCCCCTTACTTGCTGCCTGCCCGTCGCTCTGGAAGGTGGTGTAGACAGGTGATAGCATGGCCATTTGACAGACAAGGTGCTTCAGGTCCAGAGAAGGAAGTGACTGGCAGAGGAGCTGTTCCTTAGTGCTTCGGCTACTCCAGCAATTTTGCTGAGAAATTCTGCTCAGAGCGAGGCTAGAGCCCTAGCCAGTTTTTCTCAGTGGTTAGAGCGACAACCTGCAGACTGAAGGGTTTGATTTTGGTCAAGGGCACATATCTCGGTTGCAGGTTTGGTCCCTGTCCCTGTTCAGGGGATGTGCAGGAGGCAACCAATAGATGTGTTTCTATTGATGTTTCTGTCTCTCCTCCTTCCTTCCATTCTCTCTAAAAAACAAGGGAAAAAGTGTCCTCGGTGAGGATTAGCAGAGGGAACCTGGAGAAGGCCCTGGGGAGGGGAGAGGAGGGGAAGGAAGGGGGGCTGTGGAGCCTTATTGTTCTGGGGGAGGCCGGGCCTGTGAAGAGGGCCCAGGCCTGTGCGCCTGCTCAGGTGGGTGGGGGTGGGGGTGGAGGCTCAGATCCACCTGTGTCCAAATCCTGGCCTCCCCTCGCTCTGTGGTCTTCTGTTATGTCTTTGCTTCCTTGAACCCCAGGGACCCCGTCTGTAAGATGGGATCATTGTATCCACTCTTGTGAGGACCACAGATACACACATCCAGTCTAGTCCCGTGGCTAAGAAGGAACCAGATCGCTTAGGTTCAAATCCTAGCTCTGCCTTTCATTTAATGGCAGTTCTGAGTATATTTTTTCACCTCCTTGAGTCTTAATGTCTTCATCTGTAAAACAGGGATGATATTAGTACCTAACTTGGAGGACTGTTTAAAGAAACTAGTACATATAAAATGCCTAGAATATCGTTATAATAGTTGGTGATGGTGATGATGATTGTACACCCATACGTAGGTATTTTGTCCCTGGTAGCAGCTGTCTAGGCTGCTGCATTGAGAAAGATTTCAAAGTCACGTTGGAACTTAGTGAGAGAGGATGCTGAGATTGACTGGTGATGCCTGCCTGGCCTGGGATGAGGCCGTGTCGACACTTGAGTCATACATTTGTCACCCGCGCTGTCCTTTGCCGGGCACCTTGTTTGGCACGAGGCACTGACCTAGATGCGTTGGAAAAATAAATCTGTGCACCAAGCGTTAGAGAACCTGATTCATGGGGACTTTCCGAGGGTCCGAGTCCAACCTCTACGCAAGGCAGAGGTCTCTGGAGCATCTTGGTCATACGGTCGTTAAACTCCAAGGTGAACACCCTGGTGTTAGACGCGCCCTCCTGTGGGAGCCCCACCATTTCCACAGAGCTCTCATTGTACAGATGTTCCTGTGTGCTGAGCCAAGGCCTGGCCCTGCCCCGGGAGAGGCTGCTGGGGATGTAAAGGCGGTCATTGTCTGTTCTTCCCCAGGCTCCTTCCTCAGGCTATATGATCCAGCCCCTAAAGCTTTCCTGAGGGGATGTTTATGTACCCTGGCTGTCATCCTTGGCACAGATTCCTATTTGTCCTTGTCCTGGCGTCCACTAGATGGACTCCTCAGAGGGGCAAGAAGAGTGCTTGGCCGAATATCCACAGAATCTGGAGATGGAGACGCTGCCACCACAGCCCGGGGCTCTCCCGGCTCTTTACAGAGCTCGTGCCCACCTGTGCTCCCCTTTCTCTCCCCAGTTAGTGTTGCCAGATTAAATACAAGACGCCCAGTGAAATCCGAATGTCAGCTGCAATATGTAGAACACGTTTAGGCTAAAATATCATTCACTGTTTACCTGACATTCCAATGTAATGGGGCAGTCTATGTTTTTATTTGTTCAGTCTGGCAACCCTATTTGCATGGTTTCTTAGGTGAATCCCATTTGACAGATGGGGAAACTGAGACCCTTGGTCAAGGTCACATACAAGGCAGGAGAGGATGGAGGCATAATCGGAGGCCATGTCTCCCAACTCCTAATTCAGGGCACTCGTCTCCCTGCTCCCTTCTGAGGGGTCTTAGTTGGGGGTGAGCCCTGGGCATCCCAGCATTTCTCATGATGTCCCTTTTCAAAGGGCTGATGAGTTTTTCCTTGTGCCTCTGCTGTTTTGTTTTATTTTTTTTAAATATATTTTTATTGATTTCAGAGATGAAGGGGGGGGGGGAGATCAACGATGATAGAGAATCATTGATTGGCTGCCTCCTGTATGCCCCCTAATTGGGATTGAGCCTGCAACCCAGGCATGTGCCCCTGACTGGAATCGAACCTGGGACCCTTCCGTCCCCAGGCCAATGCTCTATCCACTGAGCCAAACCAGCCAGGGCACCTCTGCTGTTTTTAAATGCCCTTTCTGGCCCTGACCGGTTTGGCTCAGTGGATGGAGCGTTGGCCTGCGGACTCAAAGGTCCCGGGTTCGATTCTGGTCAGGGGCATGTGCCTTGGTTGCAGGCACATCCCCAGTGGGGAGTGTGCGGGAGGCAGCTGATCGATGTTTCTCTCTCATCGATGTTTCTAACTCTCTATCCCTCTCCCTTCCTCTCTGTGAAAAATCAATAAAATATATTTTTTTAAAAAAAAGCCCTTTCTGCCGAGGTAACGGTCCCTTTCTCCTTGTGGATCACAGGGCTGGATCCGAGACCACTAAGTCACTGCTGCCCCTGCCCCCCTCAACCCCCACCCCCAGGCAGAGCCCCCTGCCACCCAAGGTACCCACTCCCACCCTGGATTTTGGGGAACACTCTCTTCTGTCCCTGGAGGAATAGTTGTCTTTCCCAAAGAGTGGGAAACAAAGGAATTTTCTAAGCAGGAGTTAGAAGGGGAGGTGGACTGTGAGTCACCTTCGGTTTCCTAGAGGATGTGGGTTTTTAGCTGAGCACATGGGAATTCCACATACTGATATCATTTCAGCAGAGATTCAGATTTATTCAAGGCCTTCTGTCTAGTCAGCTGAAGCTATTTGCATGCAGACTGAAGCCTAAACTTGCCCTGTCCCCCGGGTCTTTGCAGCCGGGAGGAAGGGCAGGAGAGAACAAACATTCACGGGACGCCTGTCAGCTGTGTGTGCTGGATATACCTTGAGCTGCAGGAGCCTTGAGCTACTTGAGGTGCTGCACAGCCTGGTCCCCCGGATGGGGAGGCTGAGGCCCGGGGTCACCACTAGGGACTTGCAGCCCAGGTCCGGGTGGCCCCCTGCGGCCTCTGAGGTGAGACTGCCTCAAAACAGCCTCCTTTGAGTAATTGAAACCCTTTGGCTGGAACTCAAGAAAAGTGTGCCTGGTTCCAGAATCTGCCCAACAAAGAAGATTTCTGTCTTTTGCATTCGGAGTGACACAGAGGGATTTTGGCTCCTCCATTTAATGAGACCCAAAGAATATGTGATCTGGCCCAAACCCAGAATGTGGGGGTGAGTAGACAAGTCCGCCATATGCTGTCACTAACCCATCATCGGGGTTTGTTTCCTTGTCTATAAAGTGAGGCCAGGAACCCCAATAACTGATATTTTCCAAACCCTGGGCCAAGTACTTAATTATCACAGCAAGTCTCTGAGGGTAGGGAGTGGGGTTACCATTGTACAGGTAAGGAAACCGAGGCTCAGAGAGGCTGGAGCCCCTGCCCAAGGTCACACAGCTGAGAGGTGGGACCTGGGCCTGGGTGCACAGCTCATGCTCTTCACGTGACACCCCACAGCGGCTCCGCAAGACTTCTGTGCTGAATGGGGACAGCCGAGGTGTGAGAGCACGCACTGGGAGTGCCCGGGGCTCTTCTGGGTGAGAGATGGTGCTTATTAAGATCACCCAGGAACCAAGACTGGCCACAGCCCCAGGTCCCTGTCCCCAAGCTGAGGGCCCTCGATCAGCGATCAGGAAAGAGGCCTTGTCGCCTGTAAGGCAGTTCCAGGGACTTTTTTTCCCTAGGGGTTTTGTAAATAAGAGTTGGAAGGACTTTGTTTTTGTTTTGTTTGTTTTTTCATCCATTCACTAGGCTGCTTTTAGTGGCTCCTTTGGGGCTGGGGGCTGGGGAGAAGTGGTGGCCACAGAGGCACACACATCGATGGCCATCAGCATGGAATTGGCTTGGAGTGAAAGCCGTGTCAGGTTCTGAGACCGGACAGCAGGGGCCTGACCTGCCTATGGAGTCTGGTCACCCAGAAGGACAAGTGGGTGTTAACAGTGTGAGCACACGGTATAGGAAACAGTGGCCGAGGGTGTCACAGCTAGAGAGAGAGCAGGGCAGAAAGGTGAGGCGTGTGAGGGAGGGAGGCCCGGCCAGCACCTCACCATGAAGGGCGGGCATTGGGAGCACCCTGGGTTGTGTCTTCAGGGGTCCCTGGCAAACCCCATGGCGCACTTGGGGGGAGCAGAACTCGTGCCTGTTTCTGCATCTGAAGCCTGTTCCCAGACCCTGTCACTTGCGGGTGATGGCGATGAGAAAAGCATCCTTGGTCCTGCATGGAGTGAACAGTCAATCGAGGGCTAGTGAGCATGACCCGTGGGGCAGACAGACAGGCCTGGGTTCTGGTCCTGCCTCTGCCCCCTACTCCTGGCTTCGTCTTGTGCACGTTGCTTCACCGCCCTCGGAGCCTCAGTTTTTTCCTCTGTGAAGAGGAATGGACCTGAGAGGGGTGCTGACCTCCTGGGGTGACTGTGAGGTGCCCTCACTGGGGTTCCTGGCGCAGCGTACGCGCTTGCTAATGAGGATCTGATGAGACTGGAAGTGTCGAGCGTGGAGTCTGGCACACAGTAGGAGCTCTGTAAGTGGTTGCAGATGTGGTTGGCTGTGCTTTTGGTGGGAGCCAGCGAGATGAGGGCAAAGTGTGTAAAGCCATGTCTGGGAGCTTAGGCAAAGTGGAAACAGGATCCAAATTAAGGGCATTACTCATTGTTCTTTCCTGTGGGGACATGACATTGTGTGTTGCTCGGCCAGGCTGCCCGTGAGGGTGTCTAGCGCACAGCAGACGGGTGTTCTTCGGGCTGTACTGGAGGGGAAGTGGCCTGGAGTCTTCTCTGTTCCTCCCCCAAATGTGTTGATATCCCAGCATGGGGGTCCCGTCGACAGAAGGAAGACCTGCCCTCAGCGAGCACCACCTGCTCCCCACGTCCCCTGCAGCCCGAGTCCCGTTCCCGTGATGCCTGGCCCCCGGGGTGGCTGCCCACGCTGGGCCCCGCCCCACCACACACAGACCCCCTTGGCGAGGCCTGCGGGCGGTGAGTGCGGTGCCGCGGTGGCTCCCGTGGGCCCACAGGGGCGTCACTCAGGCCTGTGTTGAACCCGGTCCCCTCACAACAGGCCACGTTGAGCCTGGAGCGGGGAAGAAGGAGCCTGTGTTCCCGGAGCTGCCGTTGGTCCCGTGCCCGCCCGGGGCCGCGCCAGAGCCAGCGTGCCAGCAGAGCCCGCTGTTTATTTGTGCAGCACGGGGAGCGTGGGGCGGGCCACCCCGCTCTCCCTTCATCCAGGAAAAGAGAGCGAGGGAAGCCAGGCTGGCCTGCCCCGGTGCCTGTGGCCAGGGCTCCGGGCTTCACTCCCCCTTCCCCAAAGGGTACTTCAGAATTGCCTAGCGGCCGTGGAGACGGACTGCCCGGTATAAATCCCGGCTCCGCCCGCTCTGGTTTGCTCAAGCCCTAACCTCTCAGGGCCTCAGTTTCCTCCTCTGTGTAGTGGGGACTGTAGCAGAAGGGATCTTTAAGGGCCGGAGTGAGGAATAATTGAGTTGAGACAGGTAAGGTGTTTAGCACAGGGCCTAGCCACCAGGGCCGCTTGTGTTTCTATTGCACCTGTGACATGACACCTCGCTCCCTCAACGACAAGATTTCTAGATGGGAACTGAAAGCAGGTTTTCTTCACAAAGGCTCCACTGGAAGGTCTGGTTTGACCCAATCAGGTGAGGATCTTGAGGTCCAGAGAGGGAAGGTGTTTTGCCCAAGATCACACAGCAGGACCACAGCCAGACTCCAGCATCTGCCTCTGCTAATCTAAGTCATTCAGGGGAGGGGTTTGGGGTGGCGAGTGAGAATCAGCATGACCTCAGCCAGGCCGTGCCCAGGCTGTGGCTCTGCACCTCCTCCCTCTCCCCTTGGGGGTGCTCCACCGCACGCCCCTGAGCCCCGCTGCAGGAGCCAGGCAGAAATGTGATTTTTCATTCTCTGCCCGGCCTCCCTCCGAGACGTCTCCAGGCAGCTCGGACAGGAAGCTCTTGGCAGCCTGGCTACCTGGGGCAGCCTTTGTTCCTCCAGTGCTCCCAGGGGCCTCCATGGAGCCTGCCCCGGGGATGTGGGACACTGAGGCCCAGAGAGGTCAGGCACATTGATGGGCTCACGCAGCAGCCAGACATTTAGATCTGTCACAGGCGATAGAAAAGGGGAGAAGAGGGTACTTCTGGGGGCTCCCTTTCTCTGGCGTGGGCTTAACAAGTTCCATCTTATTCTAACCACTTGTTTGCATGTAACTAACATTTTTCTATATCATGTTGGTTTTTTCTCTTTAATGCTCAGGAGCCCAGGTATAGGGGACAGTTAGGTTCAGGGCCTCAGGCCTGGTAGGGTTAATATTATGGCTATGGTTGGTTGACAGTAGTGACAAGGGTGGGTGGGAAGAGAGGAGATTTGAGAGAAAGATGGGCCTGTTTAGAGAAAATACAGTCACTCCATGAACCATGGTTTCTTGCCAGACAATTCTTGTGGGGCTGGCCTGTACAGTGTAGAATATTTAACACACACACACACACACACACACACACACCCCGCCTCTACCCACTGGATGCCAGTAGCACCCCTTTGGTTGTGACAACCAAAAATGCCAGCACATGTAAGTCCATAACTCTTCAAAACAACGCCTGGAGGTACATATCCCCATTTGTTGCAGGAGGAAATGGAGGCACAGAATGGTTAGCCTCTTCCCCTGCCCCACCCCCAAATCAGTGTGTGGCAGCAGAGGAGAGATGAGACCAGGTGGTCTCCCGCTTATACGGAGGCGCTGCCTCCCAGCTCTCCAGGGTCTAGGGACTTGGCTGTTCCCACTGGGGACAGTCTCATCCGATCTGAAGCGGGGTCTCCAGCCTGGGGCCCAGGATCTTCGGGTTCTCCTGGGTCTTGTCTTCAACTCTGGGGTGCCTGAGATCGACAGCCCCACTCGTTCCTGGCTGCCCTCCCAAGGAGAGGCCCAGCGAGATTCTGGGAAACAGGACATGCCTCCCCCTCGCTACGCGAGAGGAACCAAAGCCCCCATTTGCTTACTTGACCCTTCCGGCAGCTGGCTCAAGGAGAAGGATCCCTGTCCCTATTTCACAAATATTTATGTAGATGGAGGTCCAAAGAAATCAGATGAAATGCCCAGAGTCCCTTAGCTAGTAAGGGATGCGAAGAATCTCATACAGGAGAGAACGGTCTGATATCTAAAGCGAAATGGAAAGAAGTGGGGGGGGAGGGGCAGCAATCAAGAAATGAGTTGGGAAAGGGCCTGTGTAAAATGTATCCCAGCAATGACTTCAGCGCCGCAAACAGACCGAAGAGCGTTCTTCGCTCTGAGCTCGGAAACCCGGCCCCGGGACCTTGGGCACCCAGGCCAGCCTCCTGCGGGCCATCTCTCACAGCGTCCTCTTCTCTTTCTCTTCCCAGGGTGACGTGGGAACGTTGGGTCCAATTGGCTACCCAGGACCTAAAGGCATGAAGGTAAACAGGGCCATTCCCTATCCCAGGCCTCGTCCCATCCAGGCACCCCCTGACCCATTTCAGCCTGAAAGGAAGGGTGCCCTGACATGAAGCTGGAGGGGACGGGGGAGGCCATGGGTGCTGGGGGGGGGGAGTGAGCAGAGAGCCGGTTATCTGTAGGCCCTTAATGCCAGGCGTCTTTATTGGACAGCAGTCCTGGAGCTGAGCATGCGTCTGATCTGGTTCCAGACCTCAGGACACTGAAAGTCCAGTGGGGACATCACTGGGGACACAGGAGCTTAATGGCAAACCACTGAGCTTCATACATCCTGAGGGCGGCGAGCGTCCAGGAGGAAGAGGGGCCGACACTGGTGGGACATGTTAGGGGCGACCCGGTTGCCGGTGCGGTGGTTCCTGAGTCCTCCGCCCCTTCGCATGCTCCCTCAGTCCGCACCGTTGCCGTAGGAGCTGGGGCCATCGCCCCTTTTACAGATGAGAAAACCGAGCAAGCGGTTACAGCAGGTGTCTCGTCTAAGCCAGGGCTCCTGACGCCAGCGGCTTTGAGCCGCCCTCAAGCCCGACCCCCGCCTTTGTCTTGCAGGGGCTGATGGGAAATGTGGGGGAGCCCGGACTGAAAGGTGATAAGGTGATCTGAATACTCCCTTATTGCACTGTGTTTTATCTGCATGCGACCCCCCTCCGCCTCGGCTGCTGCTGACCTCGCCAGGTCCACTCCCTTGCACTCCTGCCTCCCCTCGCCACCCCCCCCCCCCAATCTGTGCTCCCAGCTTCTCCCTTGTCACTCTGCGTGGGGCTCAGACAGGTGGTTCTGGGGCCATGCAGACCTTGGCAGATAGAGCATGGAGGACTGCTGAGGCAGGGAGTAAAGCAAGGCAGGTGTCTGAATTCAGAGTGCAAAGCTGAGGCCAGGGTCCGGCTTCGAGGCCAAAGCCATGGAACGAAGAGGGTGGGGGTGAGGGTGGGGGTGGGGGATAGAGAGGAGGAGTGATGCTGAGATGATGGGGCCCAGCGCAGGTATGACGTGGGGTCCAGACCTCTCCAGGCACAGGAAGAAACAAATTGACATAAACTGTCCGATTGGAACTGGGAACCCATCCCAGAGACCACATGGTCTGAAAACACAACAGAGAAGCCAGGATGGGCCCCTGAGCCCCTGTACGCTCTTCCCCAGTTACCACAGGGCCGCCACCCTTGCCACTTGTCCTTTGCACAGCCCTGCTGCCGAGCTCTCACCGTCTCCCCTGTGTCCGAGCAGAGCTGGAAGTGGGTGGATGGGTCCCCAGGGCCCAGGAGGACAGTACCTAGCCTGGGTCCTGCAGGACCTGAGTGACAAGGACCTGGGGGCTGTTCTGCTCTGCCCCTGGCCATCTGCCTCCCTCCTCCCCCTAGCAGTCCCTTGACGAACCAGGCACTCCAAAGGGAGTGCGGGAGGGCTTTCGGCAGTATACGTGGTCCCAGGAGCCCGAATGGCGGAGAGAGGCCAGGCTCCTTCTGTACCTGTCTGCAGATGGCTGCTCCTCCTACATCTGGGAAACAGGAGCAGGGACCAGTGCTGGGCCCCATCTGGGCGCTCTGTGGGCATTAACCCATCCATCCTCCAAACCCACCCACCCCATGAGATAGGAAGCTTGCCTGAGGCCACGCAGCTGGTAGGTAGTGTCAGGATTCAAACCCAGGCACCTGAACCAGGAGCACAACAGGTCAGAAGGGCACAGCGGACGCGGTCCTCAGAGGCTACCTCCTCCTGCGCCTGCATTTCACAGCAGGGCGAGCAGAGCCAAAGAGAAGAGATTTGTCAAGGGCACTCGGTGGTCTGTTGGGCCCCTGGATGCGTAGGAAATTGGAACTGCCGAGCTGTAATGGGCATCCCCAGATTGTCTTAGCAGCGTCCCTCCCAGCCCCCACTTACAGGTCACCAGGCGTGTGATGCTAACCCCAGTCCTTTCTCCATCTCTTTCCTCCTCCTCTGTCCCCCACTGTCAAACCCAAGCCTCCAGCTGCACCCCCCAGCTCCACCCTCTGACACTGCCCTGCTGCCTGCTGACCTCCCCCCTACCCCGCCCCCACGGCCCTCCCCCTCGAGATGGGGGAGCTTTCTGTTGGAGGCGGGGGCCTCCCACAGCTACCTATTTACCCTGAGGTTGGAGACATCAGCCGCCTGGGGGAAATGGGAATGTGGGCAGTCAGCTTTTTACAGGCAGCGCTGGCCTCCGCTCACTGTTTCTTCAGGAACATGGAAATAAATGTGTTACATACAACTCGGCTGGCCTGCGGACTGCTGGTGCCCGAGACATTTGGAGATGTGACGCTCTGGGGGGAAGAAGAGGAGGAAGAAATTATTTTTCTGCCTATCGTGTTCAGGACAATTAAATAAATCTTTAGGGTTAAAAAAAAGATGGAGAAGAAGAAAAGACAAAGAAGTCTCTTTTCTGCCCCCTTGGCTGGGGAGGGGCTTTAATGCTGGGAGAAGCGGGTGATGATCAGCCCCTCTCCCCCCCCCCCCCCCACCCCCCCCCCCCCCCGCCACCCTGGCCCTTCCCGGGGGTGGTGGAGCCATCACCTCATGTTCCGTGGCCGTCTTGCCTGGAATATTAGATTTTCCATGACCCAGCCTGGCCTCCGTCCCACTTACAACCACTTGGCTCCGTCCGCCTGCGTGGAGGCTCTTTCTGGATCCAAGACTCCCGCTCCAGGTCCAGCTTTCTCCACATCCATCGCCCTGATTTCTTAGGTGCCTTTGAAAATATGTAGTGACTCCCTCGCTCCTCCTTCGGACATTAAAGAAAAAAAATGGTTCCTTGGTTCCTGCAACTCTAGGAGGCTGTACGAGGTTTTCCAAGTTGGAAAAACTAAAGCTAAGTTTCCAAAAAAAAAAAATTTTTTTGTTTTAAATTCTGGCTTTTGTTCTACCAAGGAAGCTCTGCTGGAGGTCACAGCCCTAGCTGCATGGCATGGGTCTCTGAGACGCTCCATTCTCCCAGCTGCTTCCAGGCTGGGCATGTTTTCTGAGCCTGGGCCAGCGCACCGTTGGGGATGCCCACCTCCACGGAGAGCTGGAAAGGGCGAGGCCCGTGCGAGGTGGTGCCGGCTCTAAGGAGGCATCTCCTGGCTGGGTTCCTGGGTAGCTCGTTGCCCAGGACGTGGCTGAACACGGGGAGTGCGCAGAAGGGATGCCCACAGCCAGAACCGGTGCCACCTCGCCCATGCCACGGGCTGTCTTAGAAAAGAAACACAGGCCTCACTCGAGACCAGCCGACTCTCTGTTTACAATGGTCTTCACCAGCGGGCGCTCTGGTTTCTCAGCCTGGTGGGCTGGTTTGAAGCAGCTAATGAGAAGTAGACGGAAGCTGGTTCCTGGCATCGAGACTTCCACAGAAGGAAGAAGTGACAGCTCCCAGCCTGGCGGTGGGGAAGCTGGAGCAACAGATGCCAGCACTCAACCACGGAGTGGGCACCATTGTACCAGCTGCGCTCGCTGCCGTGCGACGTCGGTTGATGAAGACGCTCAAGGGTCAAGAAATAGTTCCTTGCACCTGCAGGTGTCAGTTCTGCGGGGAAGGCCAGGTGGCATCGGGCAGTTTAGCTTCCGTTGATAGAGTTTTCGGCCATCCGAGCAACCCCAGGCAGGCCTGCAAATAGGCCGGTTGGGTCCCCCAGGGCCTGCCTTCCCCGCCCGGGGGCCTGCCTTCTCCTCTAACAAGGCTGCTGCTGGTCAGATGGACTTTGGGAACAGTCTCGGCGAAGCTGTACCCTTGCCAGGGGCTGCAGGTGGGGGAGGCTTCCAGAGCCCACTGTGGTCTCCATCGTAACCTTCTTTGCTGGTGTGTATTTAGGGCGAACAAGGGGTTCCAGGTGTGTCAGGAGATGCCGGATTCCAAGGAGACAAGGTAATTGCAGCAGATTCTCTGCGCCTCACCCCCTCTCCACGCGCCGCCCCCCCGCCCCCCATCCTGCTCCTCTCTTCCTGCTTCCTGTCCCAGGGCCCATCACAGCCTAGGTCACAGTGACGGCGAACCTTTTGAGCTCGGCGTGTCAGCATTTTGAAAAACCCTAACTTAACTCTGGTGCCGTGTCACATATAGAAATTTTTTGATATTTGCAACCATAGTAAAACAAAGACTTACAGTTTTGATATTTATTTTATATATTTAAATGCCATTTAACAAAGAAAACTCAACCAAAAAAAATGAGTTCGCATGTCACCTCTGACGTGTGTCATAGGTTTGCCATCACTGGCCTAGGGCTTACCTCAAGATCATTTCCTTCCAAACAGCCCTGTGTTCCGTCCTCGTCCATCCTCAGCATCTCTTCCCTGGACTTTATGGGCCTCCTGAATTATTCCCGCCCCTGCCTCTCCCCTCCCTGTCTGCCTCACTGCCACAGGCATTTTCTCCCGAGAGCACAGCTGCTCTGTGCTCACAAACTCTCCATGGCTCCCTATTGCTCCCAGAGTGAAGGCCGGGCTCCCCACCCTGGCACCCAGGACCCCAGTGAGTGGGCCCCCCCGACACTTTCATATCCCTCATCCTTACAGCCCTGTGCTCGGCCCCACTGAACGGCCCACTGCCTCTCTCGGCTTTGCACACACTGCCGCCTCGCCTGGCACACCCTCTGCCTGGCCTCTGCTCGCCCTACCCTGCCCTCTCCCCCAGGATCTGCTCCGATGCCATTCTCTCCATCTGCTGGGGGTGTGGCCATTTCATTTTCTCAGTGGCCTGAGCAGCCTGTCTGCCCCTAACCTGCAGCAGCGCCTTTCTCCTTTGGCTGATGGGACGTGTGCTCGGCCTCCAGGCAGGCAGCATGTCCCCAGGCTGCCCCTGCACAGCTGGGCCCAGGCTCCTGCCCAGAAGAGTGGACAGTGAGGGCATGTTTGAGTGAGTGAGTGAGTGAGTGAGTGAGTAACTGGCCTTCTAACTGATGAACTGAGGCGGCCTGCCCAGGCCCGCTCCTCTTTGCCTGTGTCCCGTACCATGTGGCCGCATCTGGACCTCACCCTGTCACTCAATGAGGCCCAGATGTTGGCCAGCTCTCCCTCTTCCCCTTCCCTCTCTCCTGGCTGGCCTATCCTGACCCAGCCTGGATGTCTCTGGGTTGCCAGACACGCAGGCCTGGCTGCTTCTCCTGCTGGGCTCCGGTCCTCAGACTTCCCTGGACGTAAAGGACACTCCAGGGCCTGCTGGAGCCCCAGGGTCCCAAGGTCCAGGATGACTGGTGAGGACAGGCTGCTGTCCCACCTTTGCCTGCCGGGGGCCCCACGCTCAGGGATGCAGAGCTAGTCCATTTCCCTGAAAGTAGGGAACATGAGGGCAAGGCTCACCTTCTTCAAAGGTGACTGTTCTCTCGGCCTCAACCTGGCCAGGAGGACCCAACAGCTGTTCATCTGGCTATTTCTGGTCTTCACTAACCCCAGCCTGCTCTGGCTCTTTTCCAGGGCAGCCAGGGATTGCCGGGGTTCCCAGGTGCACGGGGGAAGCCAGGTCCTCTGGTAAGTACCTTCTATTCTGAGACCCCCAAACCTCACACCCTCCAAAAGGTCATCCAGGACCTCACTTCCTCCTGCAGCAGCCCTGGGTGATGAGCAGGGCAAAGCAGGAATGGAGATTCTCCCACTTCACAGATGAGGACACTGAGGCCCAGAGGGTAGGAACTTACCCAGCATCATAGATAGGCCTCGGTCACTGGCAAGCACTTGGGCTTCAGATACCTTGTAAATAATAGTAACATAATTAATAATAGCAATAGGTGTCATTTATTTATTGAATATCACTGTGTGTCAGATTCTTCTGATAACCCCAGGGGTTATAGAATTATTCTTGCTCCCATTTTACAGATGGGTAAACTGAGGTTTCACAAGATGAAATGACTTCTCCAGGATCCCATGGCTAGTAAGTGTAGGAGGCAGGGTTTGAACAGTAATAGCTCCTTCTAGTTATCTAGGCAGATTTCATTTGTATACTCCTGAGCTTTCCAACCGCCTGTAGCCAGGGGGTAACACAAGGGATCAGGAAAAGGTGAGCCCTCACTTACCCCTGCCTGCCCTCCCACCCCCTAATCTCTTCTCTTCCACAGGGCAAGGTTGGAGATAAAGGATCCCTTGGGTTTCCTGGGCCCCCTGGGCCTGAGGTAGGTGATGCCCTATTTCTCTATATCTGGTTGCAACTGGGACTGGGTATTGTCCTTGGGAAACCAAGACCCAGAGACAGGGAGATACTTGTCTGAGGTCACACAGCAAATGAGAGATGGGGCTGAGAATAGAAATTCCGAGGTAGGCCATCTTTTCTGCCTCTGTCCTTGGTCAGTGGCAAGCGGAACCGAAGCTGGCCTCAGAGACCCTCCCTAGCTTTGTGGCCGCCTTTACAGTTTCCAGGGAAAATACCAGGAGAGTCCTCTGAGCTCTGCACATTCTCTCCCGTCTGCGCCCTGGGACCTTTCCAGCCACTCGCAGCCACCCTGCGCGAAAGTTCAGGGCTCAGAGCTCCGGGGTCTGAGAAGTGAGAAGCCACTGTAAAATCCTGGCGTTGGAGTGGAGACTGAGAAACAATGAAGGATGGTTTAGCTATTAACATAATAATTCCAGTCCTGGAAGCAGAACCCTGCGAGTGTCCGATCCCTGTGGGAATTAGCATAGGTATGCTAGACATTCCTCCTGAGATCCAGGGAGGCGGCTGGGTGAGCTCTGCTGGCCCCCCTCTCTCTACTTTGGGGACTCGCTCTGGAGAGCAGGGCGAGCAGTGCCAGAGCCGTTGTCTGTTCAGGATCAACAGCACCCAGTCCCACCCGCCCTTGACTCCCCGGCCCTGGGCCTGCTCCTCTGGCCTGGTCTCACAGATAAAAGTCTGGCTCTGCCCGGTTCCCCAGACCCTTCCAAAGATCACTCCCGGGAACGCCCGGATGGATGAGGGAGTGTTTCCTGAAAGCTTCGCTCTCTGACTTTCCACTGTTTTGACTTTGGCCATGACACCGTCCTATCTTTAGACAAATGGAGTTGGCCTGCCTTCGTGGCCCTGACTCCTTCCCCTGGTCACGGTGGAAAAAGGCTCTTCTGCGAGCCCCGGTTTTGCCAGCAGCCCGGCCGGTGCGGGCGGAAAGCGAGCTCCCTCGCAGTTACTAGGCTCCACCTCGTGCCAGGAGGCTCTGCAGCGTCTCTGGGGCGAGAACCTGTTGATGTGCCACCATGATGTATGGGAGGCATGACGACCACGGGTTCCACAGGAGGACAGGGAGCCCCAGAGCAGGGAGGGGACCTCCTCGGTGTCCCTGCTTCTGCAGCGAGGAAGGTCCTGGAAGCCGCCGGGCCTGCCTCTCCGGCGTTGGGTTCTGTTTGGATTGGCTGACTCGGAAGATGGCTCTGCTCAGCCGAAGACAGAAGCTGCTGAGCCTGTCAGCGCCTCCCGGGGCCTTTCCTCCTTTCCCAGGGACCATGGTGGGAGCTGCAGCTCCCCAGCCCCACGTCAGTGATCTCTCACTCGTTAGTGGGCCGACCCACATGGACACCGGAACCTGATCTGTGCCCCCATTGCCAAGTTCTCCCTGGAGAAGGGCCCACCCCAAGCAGACTTGTTGCCCTAGGAATCCGGACCCCAGACCCTTTTGGATGCAGCTTTTTATTGAGTGCTTACCAGGCAGCAGGCGCACTCCCCTTAGGGCTCACAGCAGCCCTGTCAGGCGGGCGTTGGTGGTCACCATTTTGCAGATGAGGAAGCAGAGGCCCAGAGCGGCTCACACGGTGCTTGGAGTCGGTGGCAAAGTAGGATTTGGAGCCCCTCGTTTTGAAGAAAAAAACATGGGGCCTCGGCTACCTAGGTTAGCTCCAAATGCAGGACCATCCTTGCCGTGGCCGGTGACAAGGGTGATAGGATGTTTGAGCTGCAATTTAGCAGGAATTACCAAAACGTCAAAAGAAGGGGGGAAAGAAAAGCCAGCTTATGAAGGCAAGATGGGAGGAGGCATTTGGCTTCGGGGATTCATAATAAAAAAAGGCTTTCTTTGGTTTCTAGCTGGCGGGAAGGTGAGGGAGGAGGGAGGCTGCCCCGGAAGTGAGTGGGGTCCTAAGCTGAATTCACAGGTATTACACCTAAAACAAAGCCAGCGTGACGCTGTGGAGGAGGAAAGGAGGGATCCTGCTCCATGTCAGGGAGGAACTTCCACTGCCCAGTCATCCATCTCAAGGGCTGGTCTGGGAGCAGTGAGCCCCCATGGAGGGTGTGGGGGTCTGACCGCCTGGCCAGGATGTAGTGGGAGGAGCCAAGAGCAATTAGATCAGTGCCTTTGAGCTGTTCAAAGTCACAGCAACCCCAGAACATACTCACACCTGCGGGATCCCTGCAGTCAGAGATGACACTTCTCAGAGCAGGAGGGGGCTGGCTCTGGGCCCCGGCTCATCCGGGCTCAGGACTGGAGAAATTCTAGGGGAGACGCCCTGGTGTGTGCTTGTTCCTGTGCTGCATACGTTCCAGCATTGTTTCATGGCCTTTTCTCAGCAACCCTCTGAGGCGTAGGCCTGGTACCGCCATCCCCACTTTAGAATCAGAATCAGGGCAGTGAACTGCGCTGCCCCGGGTCACGCCCACGCAGGGTGGGATGGAAACCCAGGTGGGCACCCCCAGGATCTATGCTCTTAGCGCTTCTCTTCACAGTCCCCATGGGTGACCCCTGCTCTCTGCCTCCCCCTAGGGATTCCCCGGAGACATCGGCCCCCCTGGGGACAACGGCCCAGAAGGTGTGAAGGTGAGTCCCTGACACGGGCAGCTCCACTGAGGAAGCTGACAGTACTGTGGCAACCACAGGCCTCCTGGGTGGCCGCCTGCAGGGGAGTCTTGCCAGCCTGTGATGGGGATGGAGGTGCCACCTCAGTGACCTCTCTTTGTTCTCTGCTCACAGGGGAAGCCTGGAGCTCGAGGCCTGCCGGGACCCCCTGGGCAGCTGGGGCCCGAGGTAAGACCATCTGGCCCTGCCCCTGCCCCTGTCCATCCTCCCTCAACCCCCGGCCCACTCTGTCCTGTGTCCTACAGGCCTTAGGCACACCCTCCAGCTCATTCCTGGCAGCCCTGCTCTGCGGCCTGTCCAGGTGCCTTCTCTGCCCTGGCCTGCCGGGTGGGCCACTACCTCCCTCCGCGGCACCCTCCTGCACCCGCCTGCCCTGGGGTTTCTTCCTCAGAGCCGCTGCCACTGCGCCTGCTCACGGTGGCACAGTTTCTCGGGCACTGATATGGGAGGGTAGGAATGGCCGGCTCTGTCTTACGCGTGAGGCCTCATGACTCACAGGAGTGAAGAGACTGTCCAGTCCTGTGGTTAGTGGCAGGCAGGGCTGGGATTCAAAGCCAGGTCTGCTGGTGCCCAAAGCCCATGGATACCATGACATAGACCCTATGCTGTTCACTTCCTGCTCCTGGGAGCCGCCTGGGGCGTCCTTAGAGAAGCATGTGACTAGCACGGCTAGTAAGTGGCAGCGAGAGCTGCTGTTTACTCACACGTGATGAAGGGGATTGACAAGGTCACTGTAAGTCCATTGGAGCCCCAGCTGGACGCTGTGCACACTCAGGCAGGCCCCACATTTTGCCCCAGGACCCGGGACGCAGCGCTGGTAGGGGTGCAGGAGGCCAGACTCAGCGCGCCCACAGGCAGGCATCCAGCGGGGCCTGGGTCTGGCGGGGTCCCAGGCCCCGCTGGCTTTGGGAGCTGCCACATGAGGCTGCTTTCCTGGAAGTTGGGGTTGGGGGGGGAGAGCTCCAAAGAGGGGCTCTTGGTCAGGCTTGGCAGACCAGAGGGATGGGTTTGGAGGCTGCCTGTGCCTGCGGGAGGGCCTGGAGAGTCTCCACAGGCCACAAGTGGGAAGGGAGGAGGGGGCGGGTAGAGAAGAGAAAAATGGCGCCCGCCATGTGTTCCCATCTACACTCACATTACCACTCAAAAAACCCTGGATATGCCTGCCACTTACTCACTCTTCATCGATTCATTCATCCACTCATGCAGTTCCTCTCATGGCCTCTTCCCACCTTCCGTTCACATCCATGAGACTGTGCACCCCCATCCAGAGCGATATTGGGGGTGGCTTCACTACAGCATAAAAGATCATCGCTGTCCTCCAGGAACGTAACTTAAGCCAGTCATTATACTTTGGGATGATGCGCCATTTTACAGATGGGGAAACTGAGGCACAGCGAGGCCATGGTCTGCCAGCAAGTAAAGGGCAGAGCTCAGAATAGCTGAGCTGCAGTCCGTAGCTCTGAGCTGCAGTCGGAGCTCTGCTCCCACAGCACATGATGGGGTTTCCTACCCCGCACGGCCCTGAACCCAGGCGATCACATCCGAGGACACCGAGGGCTCCATCCACATGGATGTCCCTGTGTAACCCAGCCTCTAGGCCCTGATGGTGGTACCCCTGCCTGGGGTGGGCCAGGCAGGGTGCCTGGATGTGCCATTTCTCTTGGACTCTCTTCTGTCCACCCCTTTGCCTTCTTATAGGACAGGTTTTCCAAGAGCCCCCCTGGGTTAACTTTCTCCTTTTCCCCTCTCTCTTGCCTCCCGACTCTAGGGAGATGAGGGACCCACGGGGCCACCTGGCGCCCCTGGCTTGGAGGTAAGTGTTGCTGGCGGGGGTTTTGTTGGCATTGAGCCTGCTATGCACAGTTGGGCACCATTTGGGTAGCGATCCGAGAGAAGTCATGGGTGGGGGCCTGGGCCAGCCAGAGGGGGGACTAGGGCAGACCTTAAAGGAGAGAGATGAGAGGCGGGACACTGACCTCCGTCCTCGCCCACCTGCTGGGTGCTGGTGCAATCTTCGTCCATTTTCTCATTCGAGGCTCCCATGAGAGAGGCGCCAACCACTTTTCTTAGTGTCACTGGAGTCCGGTGAGGCTCAGAGACTCAGGGGTTTAGCGTCTCACAGCCAGGAAGCGGATGCCCTGCCTGGAACCTAACCCTGCATCCTCTGTCCTCCCCACCGCTCACAGCGGCCTTCCGGAAGGTGCTTGACTGCCCCCCCCCCCCCATCCCTGCAACTGATCCATCAGCAGTTCATGAATGCTTTGGTCTAGGACCTCTTGACACTCTCACAATCTGTGGAGGACCCAAAATGCTCTTCTTTCTGTGGGTTACATCTAGAAAAAGTGGCCATCAAAACTGAGACATTTGAAATGTCTTAATCCATTTAAAACTAATAATGAACCCATTTCATGTTCACAGAAATACTAGTTTAACGAGAAGTAGCTCTATTTTTCCAAATCAAAATAATCTCATGGAAAGAGTGGCATCGTTTTACTATCTTTAGTATCTTTGCATTCAATCTGCTGACCATCCCACATGTCACGTAGCCTCTGCAAACTTCCGCTGGCCCTCGTGAGAGTGTGGGCGACACAGGCAGATGACATCTTAGTCCTGTTATCAAAACGGTTTGACCACACGGATCGAGAGAGGCCCGCAGGGACCCCCAGGCGCCTCCAGACCACACTGGCGGGACCACTGGCATTCACTCCCCATCCCCCTGGGCCCTTTATCTCCCGTTCAGTCCCCTCCCTTTCCTCGCTCCCTGAAGCAGGTGTCATCTCCTCATTATGAACTAGGTCAGCCAGGGAAGGGGACTTTCCCAAGGTGACACAGCTTCAGACCTTCCCCGCGTCCCCCAAACAGCCTGCTGACATGGGGCTCTGCATCCCTGCCCCCACCCCAGGCACCATGGCCCTCCCCTGTGCCAGGTCCTGGGACCAGCCGTGCTGCCCACCAGGCTCCTCTCATTCATCTCTTTCTGTTACAGGGTCAACCTGGCAGGAAAGGGTTTCCTGGGAGGCCTGGCCCTGATGGCTTGAAGGTGAGGGGACTTGGAAGTGACTAGGCTGAGGTATGGGAGGGGAAAACGCCTGGGGAGGAGAGGAGAGAGAGGAAGTCAACATGTGAAGACCAAGGGCGAACCCTGAGCTCCATGGCCAGTTGTGACGTGGGGATGGGGGTGCGGAATAGTCCCCATTTATCACCAGGTGTTGGTAATCCAAGGAAAAGGGACATAATCTGAATGTCCTGCAGTGGGGTACTCGAATAACGGGACAGAGCGCAGCCACCACAGATGGAGTGGTGGGATTTTATACAGGAAGTGCCTGTGGGTGTGGTGGTGGGAGGCGGGTATGAATCAGCGCCTTATGGTCTGAGCCCGCGGCAGGGACCAGGTGCACCGCACTCCTGGGTACTCAGAGCAGAGGCTGGGATGTGGGCAGGTTATCTCCGGGGGCTGGGATTCCAGGTTTCCTCCTCCTCCTCTGGGCCTCTGTATGTCCCCAGATGTGCAATACATTTGTTTATGATTTTCTTTTAAGTTATGAAGAAAGAACTAGCCTGGGTAGGACAGTGATGACCCTCACTCAGCAGAGGGGTAGCCTCACTCCAAAGCTTTCCGGGGACTCTCTTTGGGGCTGGATTGTCCCAGCCGTCAGGGACAGGGATTGTGGGGCCAAGTTTACAGCTGGGCACATTTACAGAGGATTAGCACAGAGTGAGGGCCGGGGGTGGGGGCGGGGGCGGGGCAGGCAGGCAGGTTGTCCATATTCTCTCCCCTTGTCCTCTCCCCCCAGGGGGAATGGCCCACATGTCCGTCTGGCCCCTCTGGTGTCATGAGCTGAGGTCTGAGGGAGGAGCTGGGGGAGGATGAGGCTGGGCCTGGGATTGCAACGAGACACATCCATCTCTGAGCCAAAGCCCTGGCTAGTCTGGGCCCCTGTCCTGCCCTCTGAGGTCTCGGCCTTGCTCCCTCGGATACCAGTTGGGTTTCTGTGGTGGGAGCGATGACATAGCCCTGGTCGATTGATCCCATGAGTCTGCTCGCCCCTGTCCCTCTGTCCAGCTCACACTGTGGGGAGGCCAGGGCAGCTGTCACTACCTAAGGCGTAGGAGCCCCCCCCCCCTCCCGGGCATGGGACCAAGCTGACAGCTGAGGCTGTGAGAGACCCCCAAGCTGGAGAGCTAGCAACAGCCTTGGAGATAAATGAGTCTGATCTCCCTCATTTGTAGCTGAGGAGGCTGAGCCCAGAGCAGAGAAGAGACTCACCAGGGTCACCGGAGGCAGAGCTTCGGTGGGGGTCGGCGTCTAGGACCCAGGGGCTCCTAGACCATTCCCGTCCTGCCGTGAGGGGGTCTGGTGCCGGAGGAATGGGGGTTTCAATCAGTCAGACTTACGTTCCAGCCCTAGCCCTACCTCCTGCTGGCTGTAAGACCTCCAGCAGCTCACTTCTCCGAGCTTCAGTTTCCAGCCCACAAAATGCAATGGGTTGGTGAAGGGCCCACATGCGATGTAGACATCAGCGTGCCGGGTAAGCCGCCCAGGGCCACTCAGAGGACATGGGTGACTCGGGTCTGTCCCAGTGTCCCTCTGTCCCTGCCATTTGTGTAGAGTCTCCAAGGCCAGACTCTGGTGACGAGGCTCCTCGTCCATCCCCACCACAGGGACTAAGGCGGGTCGGGGGGGGGGGTGCTCTCAGGAGGCCTGGGCTCCCACCGCTCAGCCCAAGTGATCCTCTGTTTCTTCGCAGGGGGAGCCGGGCAACCCTGGACGGCCGGGGCCCGTGGGTGAGCAGGTAAGTCCCCCCAGTCTCTGAGCAGAACGGCTCTGTATTGAGCACTTACTCTGTGCCAAGCCCGTTGGGAAGCACTCCACATGCACCCCACTTTCAGTCCCTTCCCAGCTGCAGAGGTGGGTTCGCTCATCTCCCTCTTTCATTGATTGGTCACTGAGTCTCAGGGAGTGGGAGTCTGACGGAGAGGAGCCGTGAATCACAGTCACAGTGGCCATGTCCCACAGCCTGCCTCTGCGGCTGTCTCTGGGGCATTCGCCCAAAGGGGTGGCGTGACATGGCTCCCAGAACATTCAGCCTGGAAGAGCCCTTCAACAGTAGCTGCCTGCACTCGACTTACAGATGAGGAAGCTGATGACCAGAGGAGTGTAGCCACTTGCCAGGGGCTCTTGGTCAGGCGTCCCTAAATCCTAGAGCAAGTGAAATTCAAACCAGGGGCTCTGGCTGGTCGGGAAACCGGGCCAAGCAAGGTCTGAAGAAGGAGGTTCAAAGACCACAGCGTTCCTTCACTATCAAGGTCCTGGGCCTTGGCGCTGGAGAGACGCAGCTCTGAGTGCTGGCTGGGTGGACGGGGGGAAGGTAGCAGTCTCCTCCACTCCTCTAAGGAGGACCCCGTCCCCACACCCTGTAAGGAGGAATGACGTGGGGACGCGGAAGAATCTGTCTCCACCGAGCACCATGCATGGTGTGAGAGCCGGGCACGATGGGCTCCCGCACCAGGTCTGCACCATCTGTTGGGGGGAGAGAGGAGTTGGAGCAGGGGGAGGAGTGGGTGTTTGGAAACGCTTCCAGTGTCATTTGAGCGCATTCTGCGGGAAGCCCAGGAGTTTGGAAGGGCTGCTGCGGCCTGGACGTATTTCCTGATTGGGGAAAAAAAAAAAAGGCAATCCGATCAGCAGATTTAATTTCATAGTTATGCTGATGGTAGGGCCCTCAGGAAATAGACACTCAGAACCCTAGAATGTCAGTGTTCTTTGTGCCTCGGACCCGTTTAGCAGGCTGGAGACGCTCATAGGCCCCTTCTCAGAGTAGAATGTTTAAATGCAGAAAATACAAGGCGAAGGATTACAAGGAAAATCGATTCTATTCAAACGACAGTTAGGAAAACATGTCCAAATGTGATCTACTCATAGGTATGCTGCTTTATTAATAACAAGATCTAGCATCAGGTCTAAGAACAACCTCAATTTCGAAGGGGTGACAAGACTTAAGGATACCTCTTGAAGCTTCTGCAGTAATATGACATGTCAATATCTGTAACAGTTTTAGCTCCTAGAGCAGGGGTGGGCAAACTTTTTGACTCGAGGGCCACAATGGGTTCTTAAACTGGACCGGAGGGCCGGAACAAAAGCATGGATGGAGTGTTTGTGTGAACTAATATAAGTTCAAAGTAAACATCATTACATAAAAGGGTATGGTCTTTTTTTTTTTTTTAGTTTTATTCATTTCAAACGGGCCGGATCCGTCCCGCGGGCTATAGTTTGCCCACGGCTGTCCTAGAGTCACAGTATTGGCTACATTTATTGGGCACTTGTTTAGTACGAGGCTCTAAGCCACTTTCTACACCATCACCTGCAATTCCGCCGCAGCCCTATGGTGGGAGGTGTTATTGCCCCATTTTGCACATGAGGCTCAGAGAAGTAACTTGCCCAAGGTCTCCCAGGCAGTAACATCACTGTCCGAGCTGCCAGGGCCCACACTCAGGCCTGCGGGATCCCCGGGACCTGCGAGAGGGACTGGAAACCCCTTGGCCTTCTAACAGCTACTTAGAGTGTAGCCGGTTTGCCAGGCCCTGTCCTAGGTGCTGGGGACACCCAGACGATTCCAAGGCACGGGCCTTGCCTTAGAGAAGCTCTGGCGGGGTGCGGGGTGCGGGGGGTTGGGTGGGGGGCAGGCATGTAAACACCTAACTCTGAGATGCCCCGTCCAGCAGAGGACCCACAGCTGTCTCTCCTAGTTGCCTCCCCAGCATGTAGCGGAATGTCACGTGAAAGGAGGGAGGAAAGGAGAAAAACTCCCATAGCAGACAGTGGCCCTTTATCTGTAGACACCGAGTTCCAGGCCAGCTCCTCCCCCAAATCAAGGACTCCGATCCTGCCTGTGCAGTGCCCACTGTAGGTGACGATACTGCCTCCTCCCCGGTGCCCTCCGCCAGCCCGAGAGGAGCCAGCATGCCCGTGCTGTCAGCCGCTTCTCCACCCGCCAGGTGGAAGCCCTGGGCCTCTGGCACTGGCCCCCCCTACCCCCCAGCCTCAGCCCCACCCGCAGGACGGGCCTGCCAGGATGTTCCGGACAGTGCCCCAGGGAGGCCGCAGAGGTGGGGCCAGGGAATGGGGCGCTTGCTGTATGGCCCTTATTCATTAGGATCCTGTTTGGCTTCTTGTTTGAGGTTTATGACCTGCCTGCCTTCCAGGGCCCAACAACCCATAAATTTAAAGTAGCTATGAAATTTCTCTTTCCCTGGGCCAGTCGGCAGAGGCCTCCGAACAAAGCTGCTTTTCTTCCCTGCACTCCGCGTCCTCTCCATGTCTGACTGCTCCCTTGTGGGGCGCTCCGGCCTCTGTCTTAACCCCGTGCCCTTTTAAAACAAGTTAGAATGGGATGGGAGGGAACTCACATGTATTGAGCGCCGACGTGCGCCCCGAATTATCTCCGGAACTCGGAACAACCCCGGGAAAGGGGCGGGACCTTAGGTAAAGTCCTACGTTCTGGAGATGAGACTCAGAGAGGCTCTGTGGTCTGCCTGGGGCCCACCAACCTGCAGATTCAATGACAGTGACACCGATAGTGCTAGGTGCCAGCCATTGTTATTCACATTGCTATCACCTGAAAGTGCTCTGATTTATTTATTTTTTTAAGTACGTTGTTGCAAAAGTCAAATACTCAGTTCTTTTCTATGGCTTATTAGGTATGACCTCATACCTTATACCTCACTCTCTCACCTCCTACTTCAACCCCAAAGGGTCTCTGAGCCCAGGGAGCCAGGGCCCTCCGTGTGTAGTGATGGTGTCTGTGTGTGTGTGTGTGTGTGTGTGTGTGTGTGTGTGTGGGGCCGGGGGAGGGGGGAATCCGTGCCCTGCTCACAGCCTCATGCTCTGGAGGCCCCGGTGCTGGGCTTTGGAACCACTCGGCCCCAGGCTGCAGCAGCCAGACACACGTGGTCCTGGCCCGAGGTGGAGCTTTGAAACTGGCGCTGAGACCCACAGAGCTAACCCTTCGGAACCGGGTGGCATTCTGTCACTTTACTGGCTGTGGGCATAGCTTCTGGTCTATTTCTGATCAGGTTCAAGGTCCCCTCTCTGCATATGTTTTGGGGACAGGGAGCAGACATGATGGGACAAACCCACTCACCCCTCAGTCTTCCCTAATGCTCCCAGAAACTCAACTCTTGGCTGCAAACCTGGTTCTTCCCAGGGCATTTTGACACACACACACCACCACCACCACCCCCAACCACACAGTTTGAATTTTGAGTCCTCAGTTTGAATTTTCCTTAACAGAGAAGAGTGCAGGGTCTGGACAAGGACGTGTCCGCCTTCCTGGGTGACCCCTCTAGGCGGTTCCCCTTGCTGTTTGCCTGCTCAGGGCAGCAGCGCGACCCACGGCCTCCTAGAGGAACCACTGGAACTCGGAGGCGAGTTAGCACCCAGCGGAGTGAAAAAGAGCAGCGGGAACCAGTGTGTGTGTGTGTGTGTGTGTGTGTGTGTGTGTGTGTGTGTGCAAGTGTGAGTGTGAGTGCGAGTGTGCCCTTTCAGAGCGGAGAGGAAGCCTTTCACAAGACAGTGAAGAGGCCTCCGCTTCCCAGATTTCAATCGGGTCTCTTGGCAGAGGCTGCTGCGGTATTTCTATCCTGGCCAGCGAGTTCGCTTCTCTCTTTGAAACGGCCCCGCAGCCCCGAAAGATGGGGACAGATTCCTCACAGACAGGCCTCCTCCCAGCACAGCTTCAGGGCCTCCCCACCATCACCACTCTCAGCCTGATTCTGGCGCGGGAAGAATGTGTGGCGCTCCCAGGGATGCTGGCAGCGGCCCCACCGCTTGGCTCCCAAACGAGAACCATCTGGCGGGGCGAGGGAAGTCAGGACAGAGCCGGGAGAGGCGGCTTGCTCAGCTCACTTGCTCGGTGGCAGCCCCACGCTGGCAGGATTACCAGGCACGGGGCAGGGGACCAGGGAGGGAGACAGCCCCAGAGGAGGGACGCCGAGGGAGGTTGCCTTTGAACCTCGGTGCGCCCCTGAACTCACGGTGCTCCCTCCTGTCCTTTGCTTTCATACATGTTTCTTACAGGGGCTCCTGGGCTTCGTCGGTCTGGTCGGGGAGCCAGGAATCGTGGGAGAAAAGGTAAGTTGTGTCGAAGGGAACATCTAAACAAACAGAGCTTGTGTTTTGCAATCTTGAAAAGATGAAGGGGCTGGTTGACCTGGGGGGTTCAGACTTCTTTCTCCTGGGCTCTCCTCATTGCCCTGGCATCCGGGCCTTCAAAGGACCTTTGTCCCTTTTGTGACCGAGGCTCAAATTGGGGAGGTGACTTGCTCAAGGTCACCCAGATAGGAAGTGGCAGAGCTGGCATTTGAACCAGGTTCAGTGTCCAAGGCCACACTTGCCTACTAAGTCACTCTGCCTCGGGCTGGCCCAGGTGGCCAACAGCCTGTGGCTTCCCATTCTCCACCCGCCCCAGCCCCGCCCTGCCCCATGGCCCTGGAGGGCACCCACTTTCCTTCCTGGGGCTTATCTCATCCTCGGCAGGCCCTCGGAGGAGCTGATGGTACTCCTGTTGGGCAGGTGGAGAAACTGAGGTCCAGAGAGGGGAAGCATCTACCTTCATCTGCCCCCACCTGCCCCCAAGGCTTATCCTGAGCCGCCCTCCTCAGCACTCCTTGTGTCCAAGACCCTCTGGCCACCACGTGTTCCTCCCCTTCCCCTCCCCCTCCCCCTCCTCTCCCTCTTCTTTTTATTTTAACTTCTGATTTTGAAATACTGATAGATTCACAAGAAGTTGCAAAAAAGAGTACAGAAAGGCCCAGGGCGCCCTTTCCCCTGTTGCCGTCAGGGGTAACATCTTGCGTCACTGTGTGCAATGTCAAGGCCAGCTCTGCCCTCTCTTCTTGCTCAAATGCTCCATACCCCTCCTCGCCCACAGAGCATCGCCCATGCTGTTCCCACGCCAGGTACACTCTTCCCACTCTCCTCCCTCCACCCTTTGTCTGAATGACTCCATTACCCTTTAGCGCTCGGGTCAAGCTGTACTTCCTCAGGGGCGTGTTTCCCCACCACACCCTGCACCCAGTGGGTCAAACCCCCTGTCGAAAGGCCTTGGCGCCGAGACCCTCTCCGTCACTGCTCGGCCCCACTTTGCATCCGTTTTGGCGATGTGCGTCCATCTCCTCGCAACACTGGGTCTCACTCCCTGTGAGCAGGATCTGCCTGTGTCTGCTCACCACTTTGTCTTCTGGGTCCAGCATATCGTGCTGGTCACATAGCAGATGCTCAGTAGATGTCTGATGGCCGGGAGGGTGGACACAAGAACCAGGGCCTCACAAAAACAGCCGGATTTGAACCCAGAGCCCCTGCCTTCCGGCCACAGCTCTGTCTGCTACACTCATCCTCTCTGCCCATCTGTCAAGAAAGAGTTCCCAGCATCTCATCCCGGTTTGGGCAGGGGGTGGGGAGAATGAAACACATGCCTTCCATTGCCATCTCCGCCTCGGCATGACCAGCTAGGCCCTAGGGCAGCGGTTCTCAACCTGTGGGTCGCGACCCCTTTGCGGTTGAACGACCCTTTCACAGGGGTCGCCTAAGACCATCCTGCATATCAGATATTTACATTATGATGCATAACAGTAGCAACATGACAGTTATGAAGTAGCAACGAAAATAATTTTATGGTTGGGTCACAACATGAGGAACTGTATTTAAAGGGCCAGAAGGTTGAGAACCACTGCCCTAGGCCCAGACCAAAGGGGACGTGCAGTTAGCGGATCCTTGCCTGAGGGAAGCCACTGTGTGGCATGCTGCAGTGGAGCTGAGGCCTCCCTGGACTTGCCCAGGGTCTTAACTTCTGCTGTGTGACACCCCAGAACCCCCCCCCCGTCAGCACCCTGAGTGATGTGACCATGAGCCGGGCAAGGACTCTATAGACCTTGGGCAAGTCCCTGCCCCTGTTTGGCCTCCGGAAGGCCCTCTGCACCTGCCCCCCACAGAGCCACCCCACAGCTGTGACCTCCCTGAATTGTTGTCTCCATCACAGGGTGACCGGGGCATGATGGGACCCCCAGGAGCGCCTGGACCCAAGGGGTCAATGGTAAGGAGCAAATCTGCATCCCTCTGCCCGCTCCCGTCTCAGCCATGGCGGCAGCTCTGCTCTCTGCCTGCCTCTGCCTCCTCCAGACATTCAGGATGGTTTGCTCCTTCTCCCTCCGGGGACGGGGGGGGGGGGGGGGGCAGGGGGGGCGGGGGGCTGTGCTCTGTGTCCCTGGGCTGGGGCTGAGCTGGCTGAGGCGGGAGGGACTGAAGGAGGAAGAGACACCTTCCCCCGCCTAGTCCTTCCTTTTCTTCCCTCTGCGTAGGGTCATCCTGGAACGCCCGGTGGTGTTGGGACCCCCGGAGAGCCCGGACCCCCGGTAAGCAGAGCCCTCATGTTTCTGAGCTCAAACCCACTGTCGGGTGAGGGTGAGGCATCCAGGCCTCAGAGTCAGACAGACCTGGGTTCGCATCCCAGCTCCACCGCCCCCTGACTATCTTGCCAGGGCAGATCACGGAACTCGGAGCCTAAATTTTGCTCAACTGCAAAATAGAGAAAATACCTGTGGTCATGATAGTGTGATGGCACAGCTAAATGAAACCATGCGGCCGATGCTCATTCTTTCCACGGTGATGTTCATTCCATAGTGACGTCTATTACACGGGGCATCTTGGTTGTTAGCACCATTAGCTTTGTTCATTTACTCAGGAAATACTGTGAAATTTGTGCCTGGGGCCTGGCCAGGAGCTAGGATGCAGCCATTCACAAGGCAGAAAGCAGTCCCTGTCTGTCCTTTAGGAGCTTCTATTCTGGAGTGAGGGAGAAAGAGAACCCAATAAATAAGGAACTTCGGGGAAAGGATGGAAGAAATGGGAAACGCTGGGGACACATGGGCTGAGGATTAGAGCCGAGGATGCAGGGGTCCTGGGCTTCTTGCGATGACTGAGGGACCTGGGATCTTCCTGAGGATCCCAAGGCAGGGAGGGATGGGAGAGGCAGGAGGGCTGGGGGAGGGGGATGGTAGGAGCACCCAAATTCAGAAGCCCCTTCTACTCCTCGTGGGGTGATGTGGGGGTAGGGAGGGCTGGCTTTCACCTAGAACATGGACCGTCTGGTCCCTCTGCCTCTGCTGATGGAGGATGTGGAGACTGGCAAGGGCACCCACTTCAAGGCCAGGGCTCAGGGCTAGGGGTCCACTCTGGGAGATGGAGAGATGGGCTTCAGGCAGGTGGAAAGGGTGTGGGGGGAAGCGCCCAGCCCAGTCAGGACCCCCAAGCAGGGCAGGGGGATAATAACTTCAGGCTGCCCAGGTCCCTCCAAAGGCCGGATTGGGGGGCTCCCTAGGGTCTGATGAAGGAGGCCACGGGAGCCTTTGGAGATTGGAACACAAGGAAAGCGTGCACACACCAGATCTCTGCGCCAATTAGGGTAGCAAGGCCAGCACAGTTCCCAAACGTTTGCGTGCACTTACTGTGCGCGGAGCCTATGCCCAACTCTAGGGGTGCAAAATGGTAAGAAATAGCTCTGCTCTTAAGATTCCCACTGTCTAGTGGGGGTGCCAAGTATGATCGTTCCTCACTCATTAACAGATCTTTACTGAGCACCTGCTATGCGGCAGGCAGTGCTGGGTGTGAGAAACCTGGCCGCAAGTGACCATCATCCAAACGTGGGTGACAGGCAACAGTGGGTTCTGCCTGTCTCTCCCCCCTCCCCCCCCCCCCCCCGCCCCAGTCCTTTTGATGAGGCAGAAAGCTCTCAGAATGCAGAGCTGAGGTCAGAAGCCAGCACTCTGAGCACCCCCCCCCCCCCCCCCCGCCCCATGGCATGTTTCTTCCCGGTTCATGAGGAGGAGGAAAAGCCACATTTGGAGGGGCTGGTTGCAGGTGAAGGCACCCAGCTTGGAATCCAAGGGCCCAGCCACCCAACCAGAGGCTGCGTCCCATCTCCCTCCCCAGTGTTCACAGGACCTGAGCACCAGGGCCCAGGGAACACTCCTGGAAACAGAGTGATGCGACCCCATCAGCGTGGGAGGTGCCCAGGGTCAGAGACCAAGTACAAGGATGCTAGGGACCATGATCAAACCCTAGCTCTGGCACACCTGGACTGCGGCCTCCCTGCGCCTCAGTCTCCCCATCTGTCCAGTGGGAAGAAGAAAGCCTGGAAAGGAGTTGCTGGGACAAAATGGAAGGCCAATGGGAGGTGGGCCGGCAGTGGGGACATCCAGGGCAGCACATAGGAGGAAGGTGCTGACCTCCTGAGAATGCCTTACCCCCGTAGCCTAACTGACGTCCTCCCGCCCCATTTTCTCAGTGCTTCCATCTGTTCACTGGGTTGGCCCAGACTGAGTGAAATCAGATCCCAGGGTTGCCAGTGACCCTTCACTGCTGCAGCCTGGTGCTGCCCCTTGGATCTCGTGGGCCTCCTTCCGCCAGCCGGCTGCCCCTAGTGCCGCTGGGGAAGCCGGAGAGCACCGAGGTCAGGTCAGAAAGCCGACTGTAGAATCAGACACGTGTGAGTCAAATCCTGGGCCCCCACCTACTAGCTGTGTGCTTGTTGGCAACACCCACAGCTTCCCTGAGCCTCAGCTTCCGCATCTATAAGCCAGCATAACACTACCTTCATTACGAGATTGCTGTGAGGCAAATGATTTCGTTCATGACGTAATTGCTCAGCAACCTACCTGCATATACTAAGTGCTTATGAATGGTCTTAGTAATAATAATTACTACTTGTTAACTACACTAATTACCACAAGTATTAATAAGACTATTACTAGTACAGGGACATTTCTGGCAATATTGTTTGCATCTGATTGGCATTTCCCCACTTTTCCAAACACTTTAACACCCATGTTTTTCTGCAGTCCTTGAGGTCCGTCAAGATTATCCTCCCCATGGCGGGGGGTGGGGGGTGGGGGAGGGGGACAGTCAGGTCCTGAGAGCTTCAGTTTCTGGCCTTCTCCTTTAAGAGAGCTGGTAGCCGCTACCCTTTCCTGGGGACCAGCCAGGTCACCGTGCCTTCTCAGCAGCTCTAGGAGGCCGAGGCTCTTCTTATCTAAAATTTTAGTTGATGAAACTGAGGCCAAAGCGTTTAAGCCACTTGCCAAACTGACAGAATGAGTAAGTGGCAGAGCGGGATTTGAACCTCGGTCTCTGGTGGAGCAGCTGGCCCATGGAAGCACTTGGCTCTACTGCCGCTAAGTCAGGACTTGGCTCCTGGGATTTCCCAGGGACGCTTCGCGTGCCTTCTGCGGTCTGAGCTCCCTCCATAAAGTGGTCCCTTCTCACCAGTCCTCCTGGTCTCCACCATCCGCGAGTCAGACCTGCCTCTCTGTTGGGCCAAGCTGGCTTCACGCCCTGCTTGCTCTGCTGACCAGGGGTCGGGTTGGGACCCAGCAGCAGCCGGAGGGTGCGCACCCCTCGAGGCCATAGGGAGAGAGAGATGGGAGCTGTGGGAGTTTCTGCTGAGGCCACAGATGGAGCTGGGATCTCTGGTATTCGGAGGGGGCTGAGGCCGCCCCCTCTTCCTTGTGGAAGGAGCACGCCCAGTCTGCGACTGGCCGCTGAGCTGCTCTATCCCCTTACCCCCAATGTTTAGTTTATGAAACTGAGGCCAAAGAGTTTAAGTCACTTGTCAAAGCGACAGAATAAGTAAGTGGCAGAGCTGGGATTTGCAAGTAGCTCTGGAGGGGTCCTGGCCGGCCACTGGGAGCAGTTGCTGCCTGATGGGTATAGCTGGGGCCGGAACCCGGGAAGAGAAATTAGGCAGCGAGACCGCCTGCTCCCTCTCTTTGCCTCCTTTCTTTCCCTCCCGACCTTCTGTTCTCTTCAGTTGTTTGCGTATTCATCATTCCTTCAACAGATTTCTAAGTCCCTGCCATAGGCCTGTGCGGGGCCAGTGCTAGGAACAAAGCCAGCCCTGCTTTCTGTCCCTCGCCCTGTCTCTCCCGTGCGCCTCTTCTTGTCATTCCAACATTAAACCAAGATAATTGGCATCCTCCTCAGGCCAGCCTATGCCCTTCTCTTTGCACCTCTCCACCACCCCCTTATCTACCCAGCCCCCCCCTTCCCTGTGCAAGCCTCCATTCCCCTCCCTCACCTCCCTCACTCGGGGCTGTGGTCTGGTTCCCCCCCCCCCCCCCCCCACACACACACAGGGCTGTTTCCAGGCTTTCAGGGAGCTCTCCGGTGATAGTTGGTGTCAGAGTGCGGGACAGAACTTGGGTTGCCACATTCTCCTTGCTGATAGGGGGAGACAGAGGAAATAGGCCCTGGCTGGTGTGCTCAATGGTTAGAACATCAGCCCACGCATCAAAGGGTCAGGGTTTGATTCCTGGTCAAGGGCACATACCTCGGTTGCAGGTTTGCTCCCTGCCCCCTATCGGGGCCCGTAGGGGAGGCAACCCATCGATGTGTCTCTCTCCCTCCTTTCCACACTCTCTGAAAAGCAATGGAGAAAAGATCCTTGGGTGAGGATTAACAACAAAAAAAGAGGAAATGGGAATTTAAGGAGAGCCTTTTCTCAGAAGTGTCATGTAGCCTCTGCTTGCTGATTTTGAGAGAAAGAAGGAAATGGCTCGTGCAGGGAGGCCTCCCCGCAAAGGAGAGGAAGGGTTGAGGCCCAGGAACCAGGCGGAGTCCTGCTCAGGGTTGCAGCTTCTCCTCTGCTTCTCCCAGTGGGATAGGTTTTCCCCCGGGGCCACAGCCTTTAACGTGAAGGCTGCTGAGCTGGGCAGGGGGCCGCTCCCGAGGCCAAGCTGTGCCCCTTGCTGCTCGCCCTCAGTGCCGACTCACTCCCTGACAAAGGGCTTCTCCAAACTCTTCTCCCCACAGGGTCCTCCAGGATCTCGAGGCCCACCAGGCATGAGGGGAGCGAAGGGACGCCGGGTAAGTGAGGCCCAGCCCCCGGGAGCTGGCACTGGTCCCCTGCTGGGGAGACCACCTCCTATACTTTGCCCCCGCCCCGTGCTGAGGTCCTTGACTTTCCCAGCACCAGGCAGGGTTCCAGGCTCACTGTGGGACCCCGCCCATTTTCCAACCCATTTCTGAGCACCAGGCCTTGCCATCCAGTGGGCACAGATGGGCTCTGTGGTCCCAATGCTTTGTGCGTTCATTTGTTCGCACAAATGAACCCTGTGCCGGCCGCTGAGACCAGGACAGGCATGACACCTGCTTGCCTTTTGATTCAATCAAGTTGGTCAAACAGCCAGTTTAGGGTCATTGGCGTGTAGTTGGTGAAAGCATGGGGCAGCTTGGGAGCCTGGAGGAGGCACCTCACCTGGACAGGGTACCAGGGAAACTTCAGGGAGAGGGCGGTGCTTGAGCTGGTGCCAGATTCCAGGCCGAGGGAAAGCCCGCAGGCAAGAGAAGGGTGGCATGTTTAGGGATCCCCAACAGAGGGACAGGGGAAAAGGATGGGACCAAGAATTAGCAGGTTCCACACCAAGCGGGGCCTCAAACACCAGAGCTAGGCTTATGGGCTCTGCTCCAAGGGTAGTGGGGAGCCATAGAGAGTTTTAAGCAAGGGCTGGTCTGATCATGGTAGCAAGAGGTAATCTCTAGTACTTACTATGTGCCAGGCACCATCTTATCACATACATCAACTCATTTAATCTCAGTGCTACCCTATCAAGTAGGTGTTACTCTTAATTCCATTTTACAGACCAGGAAACTAAAGCACAGAGAGGTTAAGTCACTTGCCTCAGGGTGCAGAGCTAGAAAGTGGCAGAGCTGGGATTTGAACCCAGTGGATCTGGCTCTTTTGCACACTGAATGCAACCTGACTTTCAGTCATGCAGGGAGGGCTGATGGAGGGGTTTCCGGCACCCACTGGCGTCCAGGTGCCAGGCCGTGCAGCCTGTAAAAAGGAAACGAGATGGCGCAGGTAGTGCAGGCCTGCTAGCCAAGCACCATACCGGGGATCGGTGACGATTATGCTTCCCTTGGCTGAATTCCAAACGGTTTTAAATTTTCCCCTGAACCAGATGGCCTGAGCAGTCAGCCTAGGAAAGGGGAGATTGAGAGGCATTCCTCAGGCCGGCAGGGCCCCTCCCAGCAGCATGCCCTGGGTCTATGCAAGTGGACTGAGGCCCATGGACAGCCACCTGACCTGTGTACCTTGCCTCCTGGAGGCCACAGGAGCTGGAGGCTGAGCTACATTGGCCCAGGCCCTGCCCACTCCCTCGAGATGAAGGCTCAGGCCCCCTCAGCTCACTGAGCTCCCCGCCCCCACCCCCCTCCACCCGCCCTCGCCAGCACCCCTCCCAGCAGTGGCTGGAAGAATTCATCTCCAGTTTGAGGAAGCCCAGGCTCCCAGCCACATCAAAGTCTCTGGCTTGGAGGGGAGCTTCAGGAACTCCAGTCCCTTCCCCCGCTGGGTTTGGCAGGAATGCGAAACCTGTGGGATCTGACAAGATTCAAAGTCAAACCATTTAAATGTACATCTAAAGGTTTATATCATTCTAATGTAGGCAAAGCAGCACCTGTCTTATGTGTGACATAAAAGGATGACTCATTTATTTTATAATACCTAAGAGTTGCCCTAACCAGTTTGGCTCAGTGGATAGAGCGTCGGCCTGCAGACTGAAAGTCCCAGGTTCGATTCCGGTCAAGGGAATGTACCTTGGTTGTGGGCACATCCCCAGTAGGAGTTGTGCAGGAGGCACCTAAATCGATGTTTCTCTCTCATCGATGTTTCCAACTCTCTATCCCTCTCCCATCCTCTCTGTAAGAAATCAATAAAACATATTAAAAAATAAAATAAAATATAATACCTAAGAGCAAATATGAGGCACTTTTTAACAGTGAAATAGCAAATCCTGGCCTATTGTCTATTTCTAATCTGAAGTCTCATCTTTTCATAGGGGCCTGAAGCCTCTCTTCTGAGGAGCATTTTTATAAAAAATAGTTTATAAAGAACCCTGTGGGATCTGCCCCCTGTGTTCCCTGCCTAACAGGCCACTGTTGCCCACTGCACAGATGGGGTAGCTGAGGGGGTGGGGGACCTAGAGAGGCACCCACTGTGCTGCTAAAAGCTCAGTTCTGAGCAGCCCCCATCCCCGGCCCCTACGGCTCCCGGTTGGCTCTGTGACCTTAGCAAGGCCTTGCTGCTCCCGGGGCCTCAGTTTCCCCATATGCGCCGTGGAGAATGGACTTGGAGGTTTGCAAGGTCCTGCCGTTTCCCTGCCCACGTGCAGATGGGCCCTGCTGTCCACCCCAGTCCTCCACCCTCCTGCCCTGGGAAACATGACCGCTAAGGGATTGAGGCCAGAGGCAGGATGAGCCCCAGACCCTCTGTTCTTGGTAGAATTACTGATGGAGTTCAGGTCCACGGGCCCCAGTTGAAAGAGCAGAGGCTCTGGGGTCAGAAGGTTGGTATAGGGGCAAATCTCAGTCTTTCCATTTATCAGCTCTGGGACCTCAATCCCGTGTCTTAACCTCTCTAAGGCGTGGTGGGTGATGTTAGGAGGAAGTTGCAAGGAGCCAGAATTTGAACTCAAGTCAGCTGGTTGCCCACTGTTATTCTCCACTACCAGTCACTATTGTTGATCAGTGTGGGAGTGAGCTCCCCATCACAGGGGTGTGCAGGTCTGGCCTACAGGAGCCTGCCAGGAAGCTGTGTGCTGGGGCAGGGTGCTAGGAGAAGACAATGGCAGACTCCACTCGCCCTCCACACATCCACCTTGAGGGAGTTGGGAGGCTCCTGAGACTCAGGTGCTGACACTGGGCTCTGCTCTTGTGAGTGGGGCTTAGAGGTCAGCAGACCTGAATCCTGACTTCCCCTCTGTGAGCCTCCACTTTTCCCTCTGTGAAATGGGTCAGCAGCAGAACCAACCGTGGGGATTACATCCCTTCATCAGTGCCTCACACGGGTCAGCTCCTGGCAGGCAGTAGTGTGTAGCATGTGCTTGGCACTTATTCACTCCCCCTCTATCATCCATCCCTTTTTCACAAGAGCTGCGATTGGCCAGGTTTTCTAACCCAGGCAGGGGCTCCTCCCCACCCAGCCCCAGCTGTGACTTCAAACATCTTCCTGGGAAGTGGCTCCCAGAGAACGGACATGTGGCTTCGATAGAAACCCGGGCCTGCCTCCAGTGGGGTGGGTCAGTCATGCTCATTTGGGGAAGGAGGGTCAGGAGTGGGGGACCTGTAGGACGCAGGACAAGCTGCAGAGTGGCCAGAGCAAGGGTGTGGGTGTGAGGTGGCCCTGGCTCCTTGCCCTGCACAGTGGAGCGGGGGAGAAAGGGAGGCTGGGGCCCGTTGCCTCCTTCTCCCTCCAGACAGGAAGCTTGGTCCTCTTTCTCCCGAGCCAGCCTAGCTCTGGAGCTCTCTGGTGCTCCCAGGAGATAGCAGAGTCCCCTGGGGAACTGGGGTTTTGGACGGTGTCTTCTCTAACACCCTGCCCCAGTGCAGAGCCTTCCCGGCAGGCTCTTCGAGGCCCTGACTTGCACACCTGCTGTGATGGGGGCTCACTCTCACACTGATACACAGTGACAGATAGTGGGGGGGGGGGGGGGGGAAGGTGGGCAACTGGCTGGCTTGGGTTCAACTTCTAGCTCTCCCGCTTCCCAGCTGTGTGACCAAGGCTGTTTCCTTACTCGTAAAAGGAAGACAACAGCTCTCACTATTATGGCTGCAGCTGCTCATGTTGTTACTATGATTACAGATCACATAACCTTTCTCCCAGAAAGGCTTCCATTCCTAGGATAAGCAGGCTGCTGTGTGATTCCGGCCCAGCCCTCGGCACTTCTGGGCCCCTGCCCCACGCCCAGAGCTCTCCCTTTCCAGGGAGGTTTATGCCTCAACGAGAGACGGAGGCCGGCGGCCAGAAAGTATCTCTCAGAAAGGTCCAGACGCCCACCCTTCTGCCCAGCCTCTGTCCTGGCTTCCATGACCCAGGATGCCCACCCCATCTCCACTAGAGCCTTCTCCACGAGTCAGGTTATCACATGGTCTGGCTGTGTCCACCTGACGCTGAGGCCCAGAGAGGGGAAGGGGCTTTCCTGGGGTTGCACAGCAAGCTGGCAGCAAAACCAGAACTGGCACCTCACACCCTGTCACCAAGCGTTGTCTTGAACCTGTGAAAACTCTCAGCCGGTTCTGCACAGCAGGATATAAGCTTCCTATTCTGAAGAAGGGGCTGTATGCAGATTCACTGAGCCATGCCTCTGTGCCCTGACCCTGGGGAGCCTGCAGCCTCCTCTGACAGACCAGGTTTTATTGAGCATTTACTATACAGGCCGGCTGCTGAGCTGCCTGTGGCATTACTCCTGCCTTACTGCAAAGATTTCTCATCCCCGTTTCTGAGCTGAGATAACCGAGGCTGAGCGAGGAGCAGCCTTTTGTCTCTAAGACAGCATTTCCTGAGCACCACGGTGTGTAGCACTGGACCCCACTGGGCTCTAAGCTTGGAGACGCTGGGAACAAAGGCTCCCAGCCAAACCACCCAGCTGCAACCCCCCACCACCCCATGACCTCCCATTCCAGCTCATTTGGCCCGTGAGACACTATCTAAGGCTGTGGTGTGGAGCTGAAGCATCCGGAACCCCGGGCAGCTGATAAGAGGAAGCGTCACTTTTTCCAGCTCAGTTAGTAATTGAAAATTTCCCTGTTCCATTTTTAAGTAATTTCTTCTTCAGTTTTCTCATCCCTCACCCTCCCTCCACCCAGACACTTGCCCAGCCCTGTTTTGTGGCCGGTCCCCAAGCTCCCAGGCTGGTTGGACCAGCCTTCTTCATAGGGTCCTCTGTGTCTCCTCAACACGGCTTCTGACCCCTGCAGAACCGACACCACAGTTTCTCCATGGGGCCTTTTCCAGGGGACCCCCTCCCATCTGTGTCCCAGCCCACGGAGGGGGAATACGGGCAGTGGGTGGCATCCTGAAGGGATATCAGTTGCTAATGTGCTAAGGGACTTTAGACAAATCACTTCCCTTGGCCTCAGTGTTTCCATCTGTGCAGCGGGTGCAAGGGGGAATTTTGCCAGCTCTCATAAAACCAAGAATTTTGTCTCAAGGCTCAGACCTGAGCCCAGAACTCCAGGGAACAGCCGCCTGCCCCTGTCCTGCTCATGCCCTTCCTCCTGTGAGCTAGGCCAGAGTAGCTTGTACTTCGGCTGGGGAGGGAGCTGCCAGGTCCTTCTCGGTCCGTTTCCCCAAGGACTGTGGTTCATATACCTGTTTATGCCCAAGTGCACTCTGGGAAAAGCATGAGACAGCAGAGTCTGAAGACCTGTCTGTGGAGACTTGGCCATGTGTTTCTTGGCTCTGGCCCTCAGTCTCCACGTCTGTGAAATGGGTTGGCTGGCTGACGGCCCAAGGTCTCCTTAAAGGTTTAAATGTACCACCAAGCCCATTCTGGAATGGCAAGGCCTCTAGCTGAGTTCACCCAGGTGAGCCCTCCGCAGAGCCCTCTCTGCAGGCACACTGCCCAGGGGTCACCCACCTCAGGGTGGGAGTGAGCGGGAAATGGGAGGAGGAGGGCACCTAAGGTCCCAGCAGTGAAAAGCCCAGGGCTCTAGGCAGCCCCACCCTCCTGGTTCCCAGCCCGAGGGAGACCCCTGCTGTCCACTGTGCTAGTCCCTTTTCCCTATTCCAGGGCCCCCGAGGACCAGATGGACCAGCTGGGGAGCAGGGGTCCCGGGGTGTGAAGGTACGGACCCCCGTGGCCTTCCCTTCCTCTCACCTCCCCAGATGGGTCAGGAATCCAGGAACCTGAGCTCACACCCTCCTCAGCACCAGACCCCTTGGGGACAGCCAGGGGTCCCTGAGCGGCTGTGGGGTCGTTCCTGAGAGCTACCCGGCCTCTTCCCCAACCCCCGTCTCCCCAGCGCTGGCACGGGTCAGGGAAAGGGAGAAGGAGCTTTGAGGCTGAGAGTGAGTGAGAGAGAAAGCATGTGAATGAGAGAGAGTGCAGAGTGTGTGAGGGAGGAGGAGGCACGCGTGGCCTCTGGCCCCTTCCCTAGGACCCCAAGCCCCTCCAGGGCCCCTGAGAGCCCAGGATGCTTCTGTTCCCTTCAGAAGCACCCACGGCAAGCCAATCCCCTTCGTGTCCCCACCTGCACCCTGGGAGGGGTGTGGATCCCAGGGGAGGGAATGCGGGTTCCTCCTCTGGGAAGGGCCTCCCAGTGCCCTCTCCACCTCCGAGTGCTTTGCTTCCCGCAGGGCCCCCCAGGACCGCAGGGCAGACTGGGCCAGCCTGGGCAGCAGGTACGTCAGGCTGCGGCTGCCAACCCCTCCCCGCTCCCTGCTTTGTGACACGTGCCTCTAATGAACCCAAATGTGCTTCCAGGGTGCAGCTGGTGAGCGAGGGCACCTGGGCGCACGAGGCTTTCCTGTAAGTATCACCAGTTCTTGAAACTTCATGGGCTGTGTGGGAGGATGGCAGCCCCTTTAGCCAAGTTCCCATCCTGCTGCACAAGCTCCAAAGGTTCTAGGTGGCCACTCCCTGCCCTGGAGACCCTGCAGCCTGCCTCTCCCTGGGGCTCAGTGTCCCCATCTGTCACCCAGCAGAGAGCGGGGGTAGGACCCTCATAAGCTGTGATGGCTTGACTGAGGCCAAGGGGACAGGCAGGGTGGAGAAGGCCACGAGGGATGAAAGTCACCTTTGCTTGTCTCTGCAGGGCATCCCCGGCCCCTCGGGCCCACCTGGTACCAAGGGCCTCCCAGGAGAACCAGTAAGTGCCCTTCTCTCCCCAATCTGCATCTTTGCCCAGGCAGATGGCATGGCCCAGGGGGTCCCGCTGGAGAGAAGTCGGAGAGGGACAGTGCTGGGCTGACGGGGCAGCCTCGGTTGGTGGAGAGAGCACTGGCTGGGGAGCTCAGGGGCTCTGGGTGGGGTCTAAGCCTCCGTTTTCTTGCTAGTTACATGGGAATCATGGCTCCTCATGCCTTTGCCATCCTGTCGTAAAGATGACAGGAGAAAATGTGTGTAGAGTGCTTAGCACAGTGAAAAGCCAAAGAAGGGCAAAAGGGCAGGAGGGGGGCGGGGGGGCGTGAGGTTAAACTAACAAGCTGCCTGGGAACTGCAGAGCCCAGTGCGGCTGGAGGGGGAGAGCCAAGACACGGTGGGGACAGCCGAGTATCGGCCCCGCGAGGAGGCTGTGCAGCGGTGCTGCCGGGATGGAGAGGAGAGGACAGAGCCTCCAGGGGCTCAGGAGGAAGAGTCCCCCCTGGGGCAGGGGGAGCACAGGTGGCTCCTGCCCCCAGGCCACACCGCAACCCCACATCCCGAGGGCCAAGCAGATGCCCTTTTGAACAGTGAATTGGCCAGGGCCTGGGTGGGGGTTTCCAGAAGTGGATCTGAGGTGGAAGGGCATCCAGACAGAGGGAACAGAGTGAGCGAGGCCCCAGAGCAGGAAGGTTTCTGAGCAGGGAGGGCCCCCTGGGCTTTAGACGGGTGAACAGGGGTGTGCAGATGGATGGGAGGGGGTGGACCCTCAGTGTGGTCCGTGGTGGGGCTGCAAGAGTCGCAAGTTTTGTGGGTGCTCGCCCTCACCCACTCCTCCAGACTGCGTTATCAAGCCTCCGATCCCAAAGAGGCCCAGGCTGACTTCTCCCAACTGTCTGTGTGTCTGTCTATCTGTCTTCTAGGGCCCTCAGGGACCCCAAGGACCACTTGGCCCTCCAGGAGAGATGGGACCCAAGGTGAGTGCTGAGGGACCCTTTTTGTCCCGTGATGCTGCTAAGGAGGTGTCAGCCCCTCCCAGCCGACCTCCTGAGGGGTCGCTGCAGAGACTGAAGGGTAGGGCCCTGGCAGAGGGTAGGTGCCCTCAAATGGCATAGGGTGCGGAGCTGGACTCCCAGGGGCAGTGGGTGGGATGCAGGGCGCCAAGACCCTCGGGGGGTGGGGGGTGGCAGTGCCTCTTTTTGGCACCAGGGAAAGCAGCAGTGCCCCGCCCCCACCCTGCTGGACCGAGACCCAGCTTAGGTTTGACTGCAGAACCAGCCTTCTTAAGGTCACGCAGCAGGAGCTCAGAAGGAGCCTCAGACACCCCTGCCTTATCCAGAGGAGAAGACTGAGCCCCAGGGTTTACGCGAGGGCTGCAGCCATGCCAGTGGCGATAACTCAGGGCCACTTCCCGCCCTTGTCCTCCTGGCCGGCTGCAGAGAGAAGGGCTGGAATCACTCAGCCCTAGCACAGCAGTTGCTGGCTTCCTCCCCTGGCCTTATGTGAATCATGAAATGTTCCTCCTCGTGCTTGCCAAGGGGCTCCTAATGTGGTAAACCACACTCTTGGAGAGGGAGAGGGCTCGGCGTCCTCTGGGCAGCCCCAGCTCAGCGGCCTGAGCCCAATCACCTCCATTCCCCTAGTCCCAGCTCCGAGCTCCCAGACCCCTCTGTCTCTCCCGCTGTGTGACGTTGGGCACGGCCCTCGCCCTCTCTGAGCCTCCTTCAGCATCGCCTCCCTTACAACCAGAGGGGGGCCTGGCATTTCCTCTAGAAGGGACCAATGGCATTTTCTTGCAGGGGCCGCCGGGGGCAGTGGGAGAACCGGGCCTTCCTGGGGAAGCCGGGATGAAGGTGAGGAGGAATGAAAGAGCAAAATGACTAGTTGAAACCCCACCGAAGAGAAACGGGCCTTCCTTGTGCCCAGGAGAGTGGCTTCTCCGTGCATCTGGCTGGGGATGGGGCCTGGCCGTGGCACAGCAGAGGGCCCAGCCAACCCAGAGCCCCGCCCTGCAAAGTTTTCTCTGGCACCTGCCCCCACCCCCACGGTGGGGCGGGGCGGCCCTACCTCCTGGCTCCCGATAGCATCTGCATTTCAGCTCTGATGCCCCTCATCACCTGCTGGGGAATTAGCGCCCGGGGTACCTAGGCTCCGGGAGAGCTGCCTTCTGCTCCATTGTTGGAAGAGGACGCTGCCCTTCAGCAGGCCCCCAGCTGATAAGCATGCGATGCTGGTGGCCTGAGGGCATTGTGGAGGCAGGGCCTGGGGGAGTCCTCCAGAGGCTGTGGGACCGCCATCTGTGCTTGCATCTCCCAGCCATTCAGAGGGAGTCGGACCAGGCCTGGGACTGTCAGTCTCAGCTCGAACAACGCAGAAAACCACCCCGTCGATAAAACAGATAGATGTGGGGGCGTTTGGGTAGGGCTGAGGGCTCAGAGCTGGCTTCCTCCTGTGCCCCAGACACCAGCAGGGAGAGAGTGACAGGCAGGGAGCTTGTAAATCACCGCAGGAGAGAGACCCTTTTGGGGTCCCTTGGAGGGGGTGACATTGACTCTGGCTTATTTAGGGCCTCTTCCTTGTTGGGTTGCCCTTCAAGGCTCTCGGGGAGAGTCAACGCGGTGGCCAGCCAGAGTTGCCATCTCCGAGCTGTTACTCCCTGGAGCCAGACCACCTGAGCTGCTCCTTATTAGCCATGAACGCGGGCTGGTTACGTCACCCCGGGCCCCTCCGCGTCTTCCCTTACAAAAAGGAGATGCCGATCCTGGTAGCTGTCATGCGAATTCAATGTGTGAAATAAAAATGTACAGCTGACCCTTGAGCCACGCAGGTTGGAACTGCGCATGTTCGTTTACAGGAGGACTTTTTCGATGGACGGTGCCGGTGAAACCTGTGTTGTCCAAGGGTCAGATCCGAGGTTAGGGACCTGCATATGCCAGGCGACTCTAGTCCCATGCAGATCTTCCACTGTGCCCTTGACCCGAGCCTTGTTAAAGGGCCCATTGCACTTGGAACACGCTACAGAAGTGTGAGCCGTGATGATGGGGGTGGTGGCCAGGGCTTGCTGCCACAGGGGCTCTGGTTGGCGTTTGTCAGTTTCGTGTTGGTTCTTGGGAGTAAGGAGCTCCACCCCCAGTCAGAGCTAGTGAGGGCTGGGGCTGGCCCTACCCAGCCACATGGAGTTGTGTTTGGTTTCTCCTAGGGTGACCTTGGGCCTCTGGGCACCCCTGGGGAGCAAGGCCTCATTGGGCAGCGGGTAAGTTGCAGCAAATTGGGGTGAGGGAGGGCTTTGCTCAGCCTCCCTGAGTCTGTTTCCTCACTTGCAGAAATAGATCATGAGTCTCTACAGCCTCCGTCAGTCTGTCTTGGTGGGGCAGTGTTTCCGCAGTGTAGAGGTGGGCTTCTAAGAAAAGCATTCTGTGGTCAGCACGTTTGGGACACACTGCAGGCTCGGTGTTCCCCCTTACATATTAGCGGTAGCATTTTCAAGGCTCTGAGAAGGCCTGCAACCAAGAAATCGGTTTCTTTTGGGTTAATCCGGATCTGGGTATCATTCCCAGACTTGCTGGCAAGAAAGCCTGAGGGCTGGCCTCACTTTCCTCATCTGAGAAATGGGATTCCACCAAGGAGTTCCGTGAGGACTCACTCCAATTCCAGGAATAGCATCTCCAACCATTACCATTTGTGGGTGCTCGTCATTTTCACATGAGAAAACAGACTCCTTTGAGGGCTGAGTAGTTTGCTTGTGGTCAATGATTGGGAAGCCCAGTGGGGCCATTGAGGTCTGCCTGACGTCAAGGCCTTTCTCCGCCACTAGGCCGCACTGCCTCCCGGTCTAGCCAACCAACCAGGATGGCTCTGTGACCAGCAGTTTCTAACTCGAGACCTCCGGCAGCCTCCACGCCAGCCTACTCTGCAGATGGCAGGCTGTGCTTGGGCATCTGCTCTCCTTTCTTGAAACTGAGTGGGCGCTTCAACCCCCCTGTCAGTCACAGAGTCAGCCCCCCACTGTGTGTGCGCCAGGCCCCACTGCCCGGAGATCGGGGGTTGGGGGTCCTGCTCCAAGGAGGAGGAGGAAGGGAAAGCACAGGGGGCGCCTCCCCAGTAATGTCTCCTCGTCTTTTCCCACCACGCTTTCCAGGGAGAGCCGGGCCTCGAAGGTGACAGTGGTCCTGCAGGGCCGGACGGGCTGAAGGTAAGTGTCCTCGGTGCAGGGTCTGGGGAGGAGGGGGTGTCCTGGAACTGCCCCTCCCTGTCCCCCCCCCGCCCTCCCATCCAGTCCCTAAGTTTTCTCCCAGAAACACCATGTCCTCCTGAAGCCCCGAGAGCAGACCTCAGGCTGTTCCCATCGAGAGTGGGTGAGGGTGAGCCCTGCCCACTGTCCCCACCCTGCTCAGGTGGGTTTGAGGACCATCCCCACCCTCCACTCCTCCCCACTTCCCTTCTCTTGGCTAAGGGTGGTACCTGACCACCAGCAGCTCTGATATCGATTATCTTCCAAACATCCCAAAGGATCAGGGAAAACGTCATCACCACCCATGACCTATAACAGTGATGGCGAACCTATGACACGCATGTCAGAGGTGACACGCAAACTCATTTTTTTGGTTGATTTTTCTTTGTTAAATGGCATTTAAATATATAAAATAAATGTCAAAAATATAAGTCTTTGTTTTACTATGGTTGCAAATATCAAAAATTTTCTATATGTGACACGGCCCCAGAGTTAAGTTAGGGTTTTTCAAAATGCTGGCACACCGAGCTCAAAAGGTTCGCCATCACTGACCTATAAGCACCACCTATGGAGGACTAGTCACGCATGTACCAGGTACTCTGCTGAGTCCTTTACATGGATCACCTTGATCAACACTATGGGCTAAGTCCTGTATTTAGATAAACAGAGATGAAGAGAGACTCAGAGGGCTTAGCCAACTTACCCAAGCACACACAGCGGATGACTAGCACAGCCAAGACCCAAGCCTCGGCTTGCTCTCTGCACCGTGTGCCCACCCTAAAGGGGAAGAGACTGGGGCTCAGAGGGAGGTAGAGGTGCATTCGTCCAGTGTCTATTGCTGTGAGTGGAGGATCCAAAATTCAAACCCGGGGCTCATGAGCCTCAAAGCCTGAGGGCCTAACGCAGACCTGCCACATCATCTGTCAGCCGCAGGTGCTAGAACCTTAGGAGATGCTGGTGCTGCTCTCCGGTACCAGCCCTACCTCCCGCTCAGGCCTGTCTCTGGCCTCCATCCCTGACCCAAGAGTGGGCTTTCCCCGGTGCTGACCAGACCCCTACCCCCAGCCCAGGCTCGCACATGCCATATCCCGGGCTTCCCTCTGTCATCCATTTATTCTCCATGTGAGCACCCCTCTTCTCTGGGCCTGAATTACCCCCCACACACACACACCTCCACCCCCATTCCCTGCCCCCGCAGTTGCTCTGGTCCAGAGCTTCCCCCTCTCCCGGGATGCCTCCCGGACAGGCCCCTGCTGGCTTCCATCTACCTGCCCTATATTTATCTTGCAAGAGCAAGAGCGCCCCCTGTCTGCCTCTCCCAACCCGGCTGCACCGAGGATGTAAACCGGAGCATCCGACAGCCCCTCCACGCCCTGTTCCCTGTCAGTGATGTTGAAGAACATTCTGGCTAAAATGCTTTGTGTACCCACCGTGTGCTTGCACCACCTGCCTTAGGAGCTTTACTGAGTGAACACATGTAATCCCCCCAGCAGCCCTGTGGGCCAGATCCCTTAGCATCCCCAGGGCACAGGCGAGAAAACAGGCAGGACGCGGAGGCTTGCCGGGTTCTGGGCAGCCACCTTCCGCTCCTTGGAATCGTGGCTGAGGTGGGATGGGAGGGGGTCCCAGGTCTGGTGCCTCACACAGTCCTTCCAGCACCTGCCGTGGCTCCGCAGCCCGGGCTGCTTCCTCTGTCACCCCCTCCAGGGCCAGTCCTCCCCAGTCCCTGGGCCAGAGGAGTCACACCCACATGCAGTGTCTTCCCGGGTCCCCGCCTGTATCCCAGGAGAGAAGCCGTTTTCTCTATGGCGTTTGTTTGTTGACAATCACCTTCCCGGTGAAAACAACCCTTGGGAGGTGCACACACTTCACAGAGAACAGAGAGCTGACAGCCAGCCCGTCGATGGTGCTGAGGACGGTGGCGGCGACTCTTAGTCACAGCGAGCCTTTACCCAGCACGTGCTTAGTTTACAAACCAGGGGGCTTGCCCAGGGTCACACAGCTGGTGAGAAGTGGCAGCGAGATTGGAATGTGGGCAGCGTAACCCCAGAGGTGAGGGAGGTATTGTCCCCCGAGCACTGAACCTTGGCACCAGAAGGAGCCAGTGCCCTGGCGCTGACTTGCGTGTGGTGTTGGGAAGTCTCTGCCTCTCTCTCTGGGCCTCAATGTCCTCATCTGTAAGTGGAGAGAGTTGACTAGGCAACTTGCAAGCCTCTTCGGTGCATTGGCAGATGTCCTAGGACTTTGGGATTCTCAGCACCCCAGAGCCCATTCTGCATAGGATCCACAAGGACTCCCCCCGCTCCGCCCGCCCAGCTGTGTGGGAGCCCAGATGTGGGGGTGTGGGAGCTCTCTGGAGCCAGAGCCCCTGCAGGGCCTGGGCCAAGGCCCTTGGCTGAAAAGCCGCTCAGCCACCTGAGCAGGCTGCCTGCCTCTCAGAGCCGGGAGAGCGGGTGGCCAGGGACCACAGGCCAGAAGGGGAATCCTGGAGCCAGGGGCGTCTGCAAGAGTGTCATCAGGCCACCCCTGTCTCCACGCCAGGCCCTGCTTGGGATCTGAGAATCTCGATAGGAAGGAGCCTCAGACAGCAACCTGCCTCTCTTTCCTGGAGCCCAGGTCTGCTCCGCGCTGGCCCACACGATAGCTTAGAGTCTCTCTCCCTCATCTGTGTCATCTCTGGATCCCTCTCCACTGGGAAGTCCTCCCTGGCTGAGCTAGAAACTGCCCCAGCAACCCCCCACACCAGCCCCCTGCACCCAGAGCCCCAGCCCCAGCAGGAGGGGCCTGCAGTGCGTGCTCTCAGCGACCCTGTTCCCAGGCTCCGGCTTCACGCCCTCTGCACCCGCTCTTTCTCCGGGACGCACACCAGTTTATCCGAGTCCCTCGTAAAGTGTGGCGCCAGGAAACAAAACTGGCAAAGACACTGCTTCTCTAAGCCTGCTCCCCACCCACCCTTCCTACACCCATGACGTCATACCCTCTCCCTATGGTCTCTCTGATAGTCACAGTGAGCCACCTTCAGACCGGCCACAGGTCCCACCGGGCCTGCCAGCCCCAATGGAGGCAGCGTTCTGCGGCCACTGCCTAGGCTGCACCCCCCGCACCTACTCTGCCCATGGGGCCAAGGGCAACAGCCCGTGCCCAGCCTGCCTGCCAGACACAGCGGGACATGGGCGGCGCGATTCTGTACAAGTGCTAGCTGCCATCCACTCGCCAGAGGGAATGTTCTGGGGCCAGTGAGAATGAGAGCCACACAGAGCAGACAGCAATGGGAAAACGTGCTCCCAGTAGAGTAAGATATTAACAAAGGAACTATGGAACCACGCAGTCTCATTGGACGCTGCCTTTAAAGCTTAGCTCGTTGCTAGCTGGCTGTGTAACCTTGGAACCACTGTTTCGCTGCTCTGAGACTGGCTCATAGCCGTCAAAACCATCGCCTCTCATTATGAACGCTGTAAACTTTGCATGTGAGCAAAGGTCGAAAATGCAACTCAGGAAAATGGGAGAGTTCTGAGAATCAGAATTGGGTGAATTTTTTCCTTTAGAAAAATTTATTTCAGCTTCTTACGATTCTTCCCCGTGTGCCTACATTGGAGAGAGAACCCTAGTCTCCCCTTCTTGGTCCCTTCCTGTGAACTTCATGGGGGCGGTGGGTTGGGGGTGGTCAGGGTCTTCTCTTTCCTGAGCCACCCCCTCCCGGGCCCAGGTACAGACACTAGCAGTTGCCATGTCAGGGATGTTCCCTGTGCCATGGGGCTGTGCCAGCACAATCCTGTGGCAGCTCAGGGAACCGTCAGAGAATGAATGCAGAAGCTGGTCAGCTGTGGATGTCTGAGTGAGCCCTGAGGTTTGGGCTTGATGACTAATTTATTCTCTCTCTTCTCCTCACTCCCTTCCCACCCAGGGGGACAGGGGTGACCCAGGGCCTGACGGTGAGCGTGGTGAGAAGGGCCAGGAGGGACTGATGGGTGAGGATGGCCTCCCTGGCCCGCCTGGCATCACTGGCATCCGGGTGAGTGTACATGGCTGAGTGCCACATGGAGGGCTCCCGGGGGCAAATGACATTCGTGCCTATTTCAGGCAGTTGCAGGGAGGCCTTTCGGCAGCAGGCACCTCAGGGTCTTCTGCTGTGGTCCTCCCTCTCCTGCCTAAACCTCCCATGGCTCCCCAGTACCGCGAGAGTAATATCACTCTCTTTAGCATGAACCCTGCACAAACCAGCCCCCTTCTACCCCACCGACCACATCCTGCCCAACGCCCCACCAGCCACACTGAATTTAACAGGACGAGCTCAGAGGGGAGGACACTGGCCCCGACTCTCTAGCAGGAACTTGCTGTGTGACCTCCCACATACCCTTGCCCTCTTTCAGTCCTGCCCGTGGTCTGATGAAGGATTTGGAAGGAATGTGTGCTGAGATCACTTTGAGTCCCGACATTCCAGGGGCTCTTTTTTAGGGAGCTTTTGAGTATCCCAACTGTGGAAAGGGCAAAAGTGTGCGGCAGAAATAGCACCGGACCCAAAGTCCAAAGGTTAAGATCTGGCTCATGACCTTGATCTCACTCTCTGCATGACCTGGAACAGATCACTGCCTCTCTCTGAGCCTTGGTTTTCTCATTGATGAAAAGAAAACTTTGGATAGAAAGGCGTTTTCTAAAATGCAACAGAAGTATAAAAGATTGCCTTTATGAATCTGGGAAAGGAAATGACTAGAAGCTGCTGGTGGTGGTGGTGATGATGGTGGTAATGTTTATAGTGATGATGATGACGACGATGATGATGATGATAGTGGTAGTGATAGTGGTGATGGTGGTGGTGGTGGTGGTCATAGTGGTGATGATGGCGGTGATGGTGGTGGGGATTTTGGTGGTAATGATGTTTATGGTAGTGATGGTGGTGGTGATGGTGGTGGTGGTGGTCATAGTGGTGATGATGGCAGTGATGGTAGGAGTAGCAGTGGTGATGATGGATGGTGGTGGTGATGGTTATAGTGGCGACGATGATGATAGTGGTAGTGATGGTGGTGGTGGTGGTCATAGTGGTGATGATGGCGGTGATGGTGGTAGTAGTGGTGGTGATGATGGATGGTGGTGGGGATTTTGGTGGTGATGATGATTATGGTAGTGATGGTGATGGTGATGGTGATGGTGGTGGTGGTCATAGCGGTGATGGTAGGAGTAGCGGTGGTGATGATGGATGGTGGTGGGGATTTTGGTGGTGGTGATGATGATGATAGTGGCAATTGCAGTAGTGATAGTGTTGGCGATGGTGATTGCAGTGGCAGTAGTGGTAACAGTGGACATGGTGATGCTGGTGGTTTTGGTGGTGGTGATGGTGGTGGTGGTGGCAGTGTTATGTTCATATTTTGTTGTCACTGGAGCTGGAAAGAGGATCATTGAGGCCAGACTGAGTGTGTGTCGGGTGACGGAGGTGGTGAGAACCCTGTATTTGAGTCTCTTTGGCATCAGGACTGCAGGACAAGTATCTCCCACTCTGTGGCTGGAAACAGTTGAGTCTTTAAAAATAGAATTTTATGAGCCACCAGGGCTTTTCCCGAAATACATCTATATGGATGGGGGCCCAGTGAAAGTCTCCCTTCTGGCCCCGGGGCCTCCCCGCACTGGATGCGCCAGCACTTGCTCAGGGTTTCCCACACCATGGGGACGCTCCCAGCTGCCGAGGGCCGTCGGAACCAGTGGCCAGCTGCCCGCCCGCCGGGGATGACTCCGTCTCCCTGGCCCTGTACTGGACACTTTGGCACTGACTCATTTCTCCTTCGGACAAGGAGTCAGCCACTGCAGTCACCTCCGTCCACCCTTAAAGCCCAGCAACCCCTGTATCCTGATTTCACAATCCCCCAACCAGGACCAGCCTGGGCCCAGGGACACCTAGAAACGGAGGGCTCACGTCTCATTTCTAACCTGGTCCTCGTCCCACTGAGCCTGTATCTTTAGCTCTAAAGTGGGATAAGTAATCCCTTCCTCTGAGCTCTATGTTGAGAATTGAATGAGATACGAGGTGGAGTGTGGACACATTGCCTGGCCATGGTTGAGGCCGTGACCATTGCTAGGATTTTATTACTAGAGGAGCAAGAGACCTGGGCAAGTCCATGGCTGTCTGGCAGAAACAGAATACAAGCTACATGTGTGGTTTAAAATGATCTAATAGTTACATTTTTTAAAAGGTAAATAGAAATAGGTGAAATTGATGGTGGTGACATTTTATTTAGCTCCAATATATCCCACATACAAACATTTCAACATGTAATCAATATAAAAATTATTAATAAGGTATTTTGCATTTTTGATACTGTGTCTTTGAAACCCAGTGTATAGTTTATATGTATAGCACCTCTTAATTCAGATGCTAAATTATTATTGAAAAAAAACTGGGTCTGTGTTTAGGTTTCATAAAATACAAAGTTGAAAATGTAGATTCATATCCCAAGTTGTTCCTAACATACTTGAAAGTTTTCCAGTAATTTAATTGCCCATTTTTTACATTTAAATTTAAGTTCATTAAAACTTAATCAGATTAAGGATTCAGTTCTTCAGTCACAGTAGCCCCATTTCAAGTTCTCAGTGCCATACATGGACAGGGCAAGGCTAGTTCAAGACCTTTGTGGTAAAGGTGGGGAAACTGAGGCACAGAGAAGGGCAGGGGCTTGTCCAGGGTCACATGAAGACTCAAGCACTGGGATGCAGGGCCACTACTCCTTCTGGCTTGAGGTCCCCAGGATGGTGTGGCTGGCACTTCCCTTTGGCACAAAACTGTCTTCTCCAACACCCTTTGGCCACTTTGTGTCTTTGGAGCAGACATTTGTCCCTTATTCTAAATCGAAGCCGGCCTGCCTGTAAGATTCATCCTCAGGCCATCCTCAGGACAGCTGCCGAAATCTGCACCGGGAACCAAGTCCCTCTAGTTTAGCTCAGGTGTATTCTTGTTCCTCTAGGATACCCTCTTCCGACCCCTTGTCCATCACAATTAGTCCGTGCCTCCTCTGAGAAGGCAACTCCTATTCTGAGAGGGGACCATCACCTCCCTCATCCTACAACATGTGCCTCTGCTAATGCAGCCAAGGGGATCGAATCAAACCAGCTCTTCAGTGCCTGCCAAGAACATAGGTGTTCTTCAAAGTTCCCTTGGAGCGGTGGGCCTTCAAGGGACTTTCCTCTGAGGGCAGCTGGTGTCCTTTCTAAGCCAGAAGTGCTGTCTGCCTTACCCCCTATGTCCCAACCCAGTGTGGCCCAGGGTTGGGGCTCTCTTCTCCTTCTCTTGCTTTCTCATCTCTCTCACACTCATTCACCTCCCCACCCCTGCCTCGAACTGAGTTTCCAGATTGCACCCCCCCCGGCCCCCCTTGAGGCAGCGCAGGAGAGAGTAGCATTTGGGGATGCCTTGGGGGGAAGAGGCAGCGTGGCCCATTAAAGGGGTATCCTGGGTGCCCCAGTGGAAGAGTGGGAAGGGCAGCTGGCCTTCCTGGAACAGTGCCCTCCTGTGAGGACCCCTTTGAGCCCTAGCTCCTGCGAGGGGGACCCTGGCAGTGGGATGTGACCTCAGGACTTAGCAGAAGTGACGCTCAGTATCTCAGAGAGGAGGGAGGGCCTACAACATGTCTCCTGCCCGCCTGGTGTCACCAGCTGGCACCTGAGCCCTGGACAGGGAATCGCGGCCCCGCCGTGGGTCAGCAGGGGCCCTGAGCAGGTGGCTTTACCTTTGGGCACTTCGGCTGCCTCCTCTATGGGAGGGAGTCTGAATCGGGCCTCAGGCTCGGGGTCGTTAGGCAGATGGAACAATTCATGGCACATAGAGAGAGCTCAGTGCAGGAAGCAGTTTGCATTGGGACAGCCTGGGCCCCTAACAGAAACCATGACAACAGCCGTTTATCCATCACCGACTATGGACCAGGCGCCTTGTCAGCACAACACTGTGTCACCAGGTTGAATCCTCGGCTCTGTCCCCACTTTGCAGACAAATACGCCAATCACAGGAAGTTAGGTCATGCTCAAGGTCATGTGGACGTGGAGTGCAGAATCAGTGGGGAACCCACGCAGTCGGCCTCCAGAGCGAGTGCTGTGATGCTGCGTGGACCTGCCTCGTTGTCCCTCATTTCTCATCTTTTCCTCCTTTCCCTCCTTCTCCCTCAGGGTCCTGAAGGAAAACCAGGGAAGCAAGGCCCAAAGGGCCGGACCGGGGCCAAGGTAAGATCCCCCCCATCTCCTTCTGCCATGACCCACCTGTGGCCCCCTCCCTCTCCCCCTCCCTCTCCCCTCTTCTCCCCCTCCTCCCACCAGAGGCCTGGTGACGCCCTGTCTCTCCTCCCGCTGCAGGGTGCCAAGGGCTACCAAGGACAGCTGGGTGAGATGGGAGCCCCTGGAGACCCCGGACCCCCTGGCACCCCAGGCCCTAAAGGGTCCCGGGGCAGCCTGGGACCAACGGTGAGAACTCTCGGGGTGGGGTGGGTGGTGTCAGTCATGGGCAGAGGGGCCAAGGGCAGAAAGGGAGGTCTCCCCACTCCAGCTGTCGGCTGAACCCCTGTTGTCTCAGCCACTCCCTTTGCATCACGGGTCCCTTCGGGGCCTGCAGAAGCTGGAAGAGCCCACACCACACAGTCTGACGGGTCCTGGCCTCCTGAAGACCCGGATGAATGAGCCCTGTTCATCTTAATCTCATTAAACCAGGCTCTTGGGTGTGCTTTTCTTAAACAAGGAGATTCCCCCCGGTAACAGGATCACGAGGATCAGGCGAAGCTGCTGGCTCTCTGGGCGGCTCTGACGCTGTCCCAGCCATCGCTGGCCCGGGGGTGACCGCTGCAGCGGGAAGGAGACCCTAAGAGGGGCAAGAGGGGTGGCAGACGAGGGTGACACACATCTCTGAGCTGCCAGTGTGTGGTCAGCAGCCGTGCTGGCCGGGGCACTTGCCCGTGTCCTGGTGGAAATGCTGCCACCAGGGCTGAGTTCAAGCTGCCAACGCGACGTCATGGAATGCGCGGTCGGGGCAGACGCGCAGGGCGCGCTGTTAGCTAGTGTTCCCGCCACACAGACGCTAACCTCCGAGCCTAGGTAATAAACAGTAAAATGTAAACTAATTCGCGAGGAGGGGGTTTTGAATACCTGTTGCCGTTGTTTTACATATCACTGAACTGTAATTCATGTAGTTTAATTTTTTATAACCCTTCTGCTCACAGAATGGGGAAAATTGAGCCATCGGCTCTCAGGAATCCCTGGAGCTGGGAGAAGGAAGGTTCTGGGGGGAGGGGAGCCTCAGACAGAGGGGACAATGCCACTTGTTCCTCACCTTGACCTCCGGCCTGGGTTCTGGGTGAAATATCAGTGCCAGGCTGCTGGGCTAAGCTGGCTGGAGCCCGGGGGGCAGAGCGAGCCTGAATCCCTGCTGTGGGAGCCACACGCGTACCAACGCCGTCTCCTCCTCTCGTAGGGCGCTCCAGGACGGATGGGGGCCCAAGGAGAACCGGGACTGGCTGGTTACGATGTAAGGAAATCTCACCTCCCCCCTCTGCAACTCCACCTCTATCACCTCCCACCTGGGGGCCAGCCCTCGGGCCCTTGGAGAGTCCTAGTCTCCCCTGCCCCAGGGAGCACATGGGCCCACACACCAGGGGGGACCATCGGCGGCCAGTCGGGGGGCGGGGGGCTGTGGATAGAGATCCTCCCTCTGCGCCCTCTCTGAGTCCCTCCTCTGATGGTGGGTGCCCGTGTACCTCGCCTCTGCGCTCTGTGGGAGGAAAGAGCCTTGGCCCGGTTTTGCATCCAAGTTGGCATCCCTGGAGGCAGCTAAGCCAAACCCACATACACATCTGGGACACCAGGCCCCACGGCATAGGGCTTGCTCAGGGAGGGAATCAGAGGCTCGGGGAGGTGAAGGTGTGTGCAAGGCCTGGTTTGTTCAGTTATCGGTGAATGCTGTGTGTGTAAGAGGTCCACAGGGAGGGGAGGAGCAGGGAGGAGAGCAGGAGAGAGAGGAAAGGAGATGGAAACTGGAAGAGAGGGTGCTGGGGCCCATGGAGGAATCTATATGTGCGGTCTGACCACGGACTGGGCAAGCATTCTGCCCCTGCCCCAGAGGGCACACCGCTCTCCCACGGTCTCGTCCCAGGCCTGCTCCAGGGTACAGAGGTTGGAGTCCTCAACCATCCAAGCGGACCCACCCTTAGAGGTGTATCGGGGACCCACACGGCCAGTCTAGGGGCCAGGGCCCAGAGAGGCCCGGGCTTGCTCAGCTGTCACACAGCAAGTTGGGGCAGAGCCAGGGCCCGGCTGCACAGCCCAGTGTCTCCATCTCCGAGTCCCTGTCCTTCATCCAGTCCCTCTGAGTCCTTCCACCCTCATGCTCTCACCTCATGCCTCGCCTTCTTATTTCCTGCAGGGACACAAAGGCATCGCGGGACCCCTCGGGCCTCCGGGACCAAAGGGCGAAAAGGTGGGTGTTGGGTTGTGGGAAGCAGCTGCCCCCTGATACCGGGCCGGCAGGAGCAAGCCCCGGGCACTGTGGCTGGGACAGCACGGACGTTCACAGCAGGCTCACCCCTGCTCACATCACGGCGGCCAGGAGGCAGGAGCCCTCAGACCTATGCCCCACACATGCACGGGGTATGGTCTCTGTGCCCGGCGCCAGAACAAAACAGACCCAGTCCCTGCCCTCCTGGGCTTTCGGTCCAGCAAGGGAAGTAGAGAGCAGTCACGCAATGACTAAGACTATGAATTCCCTCATCCCCGGGCACAGGGGAGCTGGAGCCTTGCTGGGGAATGAGGTCGCCCGGCGGGAGCCAGGAGGGGGCTCGGGAAGGAGCGGAGGAGCACCAGCATTTACTGACCACAGGGGAGCACACGAGGCTGAGGGGAGGCACATCCATCCCCCCGCCCCTGGCTCCAGATGCCGGAAAGGAGAGGAGTTGTGCCCTGGCCGGTTTGGCTCAGTGGATAGAGTGTCGGCCCCTGGACTGAAGGGTCCTGAGTCCCATCAAGTGCACATACCTCAGTTGCAGGCTCAATTCCCGGCCCTGGTCAGGCACGGGCAGGAGGCAACCTGTCGATGTGTTTCTCTCACATTGTTGTGTCTCTCTCCCTCCCTTCCATTCAACCTAAAAAAATCAATGGAAAAAATATCCTCAGGTGAGGATTAGAAAAAAAAGGAGAGGAGTTGCTAGAAGGAACCTTGCTGGTCGTTGTGCCCTGCCCCACTGTGCAGGTGGGGCCGCCAGAGGTCCAGGGCATGGGGCCTGGGTCAGAACCCAAGGCAGCGCCACGCTGGCCCTGAGACCATCCTTGAGTCGTATGGCAGCGGCTCTAGGTTCCTTCTTCCTTTCCTCCCTCCGCTCCCGATGGCTCAGCTGGAAGGTCCGCCTGCAGGCGGCCGCGCTGTCTCCTTGCCCCGCTGCCTCCTCGGCCCTCCTTCATTTTGTCGAGTCAGCTCCCCACTAACTACATCCCGCTGTGGGTGAATCACCCTGGCCCGGCTTGCTGGCCAGCTGGCCCATTCTCCTGCTTGGAGAAGAACAGATCTGCCATCAGAGTGAGCCACAGGCTCTGACATCACTTGGGAAACCGCAGAAAGTGCCTCTCGGTTCCCAGAGTCCCTCCTGGGCCCTCACAGTCTGGTGCAGGAGGAGTTAACACAGACCCCCCAAAAGCGGGGTACCTCTCTGCTCTGGGCCATCGACAGCCCCAGAAGTAGTCCCTACGGCTGCTGAGAGTGGAACCCAAATCCCGTAAGTCCACTGGGGCCTTGGGTGGGGCCCCTGGATTCCCTGAGCCTTGATTGCCTCATCTGTTAAGTGGGCGGGTACCTTGGGGAGGCTAAGCCAGACATCACCTATATGTCAGCCAGACGCATTTCCTGACTCGCGTGGTATGATTAGTTTGGTCATGCATTGGCCGGCAATGCAACAGGCATGCATGGATTTATAATGATTGATCTAGTGTGGGAGCTGCGGAATGATGCCCTAATGAGCTCAAAAATAAAAATAGTAACATCATTGAGTAGCCAACCACAGGCTGGGAGGGAAGAGAGAGCAGGGCCCTGGGGAGACCTGCCCTTCGAAGCATAAGAGCCAAGTACAGCTCTTTCCACAAGATTTCTCCCTAATCCTCATCCTGACTTCTACCCGGAGGTATCAGAATCCCACGTGACAGGTGGAGAAACCCGGTCTCCGTGACGCCCAGGGACCAGCTCCCGGTCAGAGGGGGGTGGCGGGACCAGGATTCAGACTCTGCCTCAGGCCAGACCCAGCTTCTCTCGCCAGAGGCAGATGCTTCGATGAGCCAAGATGCTGTTCACTGGGAAGTTCCCTGTGGGATCTGTATCTACGAAGGCAGTGACAGAGGGGTTGGGGTGATGGGATGAGACCCTAGGAAGAGGGAGAAGGGTGGCAGGGGCTCCCCAGCTCTCTGCTCCATAAAATGCATCCCCAGACCACAGCCTCAAGGGGGGTAGAGGGAGAGATCACTATAGCTGGCTTTTCGCCCACACCGCCCCTTGATTTCTGTGTGCCTTTGGCTAAGACCCTTCCTTCCCTGGGCCTCAGTTTCACCATCTGTAAAGTGGGGCAACAGTGGTAGCAGCATAGGGGTGGGTTCTATGAAACAATGTATGAGGCATAGCTCATAAAATGCCTGGCACACAGAACTCACTAGGTGAATGCAGCCCCTTCCCCAAGTCCCCTGTCCAGCTGCCTCCCCCCCACCATGGCCAGCGGGACGAGCCCCAGGACAGAGCCATAGAGAGTGGACAGAGCGGAGAGGGAATCCCCACGCCCTGGGCCACCCTCCTGGGTACAACTGGTTTCAGGCCTGGGGCCAGATCCCTCCTGCCTTCCATCTCTGCCCACAGGAGCCACAGAGGCCCTGGGCCAAGGTGCAACTGCCGCCAGCCTCGGGGATTGATTCGTGCCTGGGATGGGCTCCAGCCCCAGGCCCAGCTCCCCTCTCTCCTGCCTCTCGGGCCTCCCCTTCAAATCCTGCTGACAGTGAGGGGGCTCAGAGGTGCCCTGACTTGAGTGCCCCACAGGAGGTGACCCCAGTGTTGTCTGCGGCTGGAACATTCTGAGGCCTGAGGTTGTTGTTCTGTGTACACCTTCCATGTCGCTGGCATGTGGCGTCCAGCCACCTGTCTGACAGGTGGACCAGGGCCCAGTGTGGTCTGCCATGGCCCAAGGACCTCCGCTCCAAACTCCGCTTACATTTATGCCACTCATCATCCTGCTCTTATTATAATCAGCAACAGCAATCTTACAGCCATCGACTGAGCCCTACTGTGTGCGGTAGCGTGCTGACAGCTACATGAGCCTTTCCTCCCTGGGCCCTCAGAGCAACGCTGCTAGGCATTGCAATCTCATCGACTGAGCCCTACTGTGTGCAGTAGCGTGCTGACAGCTACATGAGCCCTTCCTCCCTGGGCCCTCAGAGCAACGCTGCTAGGCATTGCAATCTCATTTGCAGACAGGACACTGTCTTATGGACAAAATCCCTAAGCTGGTCCCCTGCTGAGTGCCACCTGGGGCAGCCCAGGGCCTTCTCTGGGACCCCCACCGAGGGTAGGAGGTTCATCCTAAAGCTGGTTATTGGCCTCCTTCCTCCCAACAAAGGCGACAGAAAGGGACGCTACTATTGAGGACTGAGTCGCTCTGAGCAGCTCACATAACCTCTCTGTGCCTTCATGTGCTCATCTGTAGAATGGGATGATAACACTAGTAGTGCCTGCTTCATAGGATTGCTGGGAGGACGCAGTGAGTGCCTGTTGGAATTACTGTCACTCCCTGCTGAGCATCATGCAAGGGTTTCTGCATCATTTCACGAAATCCCACCCCCATGGGTATTTCTATTGCCCCTTCACCCCACACCCAATTCTCAGCTGGGAAGAGGAGCTCCAAGGTCCTGTGCAAAGCAGGGTGTGACCACTAGCTCGGAGCTACCTGACCACGATCAGCCGGAGGCGCTGGCTTGGGGGTGCTCAGGGGGGATGCTAACAAGCACTCTTTTGTGTGCCACAATCTTGTTCCACGCCCAGGGCTGGCTTTGACCGTACGCCTGCCCCTTCCCTCTCTGGCCTGTCTCCCACCTGTAACCCTAATAGGCTGGTCTCCATTTCTGAGGGAGACCCTTTCGGCCCCAGTGTGGGTGGAGTGTCTGGAATCGCCCAGACTCACCAAGAGCAGGTGGTTTGTCCTAAAGCTGCTTCTGTGTCCACAGGGGGAGCAGGGCGAGGATGGCAAGGCCGAGGGGCCCCCCGGGCCACCTGGAGATCCGGTAAGCGCCCCACCCCCCTCCAACTTTCATCCCCAGGACCAAGGCCAAGGTGGACCCCGGCCTCCTGCTGTGTGGGGAGGGGGAGGCTCAGCAGGGGTGAGGCTGCTTGGAGCTCCGAAGAGGGCGTGGCCAATGAGGCCCAGGTCAGGCATCCCCTGCACCTGGTGGCCCATTTTTGCTCTTGTCCTTGTCATTCAGGGCCCTGTGGGTGATCGAGGAGACCGCGGGGAGCCAGGGGACCCTGGATACCCTGTAAGTATCGGAGCGCCCCCTGCTGGCTGCAGTGGGAGTGTTACGGGGGTGTTCCTCGGCCCCAGGCCCCTCCCCTGGCACGTGCTACGGGGGATCAGAACAGCCTTCACCTGGACGCAAGCCCTTCCTCCCACCAGGAGTGCCCAGGCTTGGAGCACAGGCCCCTGAAAGGGGGCTCGGGGCGTAAGGGCAGGGTCTGGCCCGAGACCTTTCTGAGGGAGCGAGAGGGGGCCATGGGGGAGAAAGACCCCTCCCTGTGAGGGCCCCCGGGTTCCCCGTCTGTGCCGGGACCCCCAGCAGCAGCAGGGGCAGAAGCAGGAGCCCAGCCGCGGAATGAATCAGTGAGCACTGGGCCCTTAGCAGCCTCTTCACCTCCCCTCCGTCCTGCAGCGGGGAGCTGAGGCTCAGAGGGACCGTGACACAGGCTAGGGCTCCCCGGGGCTCCTCCGGGGTGAAAGTCGCCCCCTCCAGAATGGGCCCCCTCACCTGTCTCTCCTTGACTTCCAGGGACAGGAGGGTGTCCCCGGCCTCTGTGGAAATGCGGGCCAGCAGGGCCTTCCCGTGAGTGGTGTTTCCTGCCCTGTCCCCCCTCCTGCCCTGAGGGGGGTGGAGCCGCTATGGGGGAAATTAAAGAATGGGCCTTTTAAAGCTTAAAGGGACCCTCCCTGCAGGAGGGCCTGGGGCAGCCCATTCTGGTTTCTCCTGCCCTGATCCTGGGGGCACCCCCAGAGCCTGCACCCCCAAACCCCTCCCCACCCCTCCCCCTCCAGGCGGAGACTGGCCACCCTCCCCGGGAGAGAATCCTGGGGCTGCCTTGCGTCATCTCACCTTGGTTTGCAGGGGCATCCGGGACCCCGGGGGCGACCGGGACCCAAAGGATCGAAAGGGGAAGAGGTAAGAGGGCTGGTTGTCCATGGGGGAGACTGGGGCCCTGGGAACGGGAACGGGAGAGTCTGGCCCAAGCACACAGCGAGGAGGAGGCAGGGCTGGAAGGGCCACAGCAAAGGGAGAAAACCGGGCGGGGGCTGCGGGGGCGGGGGGAGGGGCGACTCAGGCTCCCACCAGGAAGCTGCCAAGGCCCAGAGCCCCTGCAGCAGGGACCAGCGAGAGACAGGCCCAGAGCAGGGTCCAAGGCCAGCTCTGCCCCTGGGCCTCCAGGCCAGGCACTCGGGCCCATTTGCAGATTCAGATGCTGAGGTCCAAGAGGTGGAGGGGCTGGGCCCATGATCCTCTCAGGGCCCTGCTTCCAGAGCTCCTGGGGTTCTGCACCTCCAGGCAACCTCCATCAGGTGCCCCTTGGTTTTTCAGGGACCAAAGGGAAAGCAAGGCAAGGCCGGGGCACCAGGACGGAGGGGGATCCAGGTGAGTGATCCACAGCCTCGCCTCTCCCACCCACCGCCCTTTCCTCCCCAGAAAGCCTCAAACACTTCTTGTGTACCCACAGGGCCTGCAGGGGCTGCCGGGGCCCCGGGGTGTGGTGGGGAGACAGGGCCCTGAAGGTGTTGCTGGACCAGATGGGCTTCCAGGCAGGGATGGTCGACCGGGACAGCAGGTGAGCAGGTCTTGGGCATCTCCATTTGAGATGAGGTGTGTGTATGGGGGTTGGGGGGGAAATGCTGCCATAGGCCATGGCCATGGAGCAGGAGGAGCAGGGCAGAACCCACATACCCAGAAGTTCCCCGTGTGAGCAATTACCTCATCCCTTGAGACCTGGGAGTGTGGCCTTCCTGACACCTCTCCTCCATGCCAGCACCCAGAAGGCATCCCCTGCCCAGTGGGTGAGCTTCTGGCCTTTAAGATCCCTCCCCTTCCCTACGCTGAAGTCCTCAGTTCCTCTAGCCCTCTGGTCCAGCCATGTTCACACAGAGGGGGTGTGACCCCCATGCTGGAGTTTGACCTCCCTGCCTCCAGCTCCGCTTTGAGTCCCCCCAGGCTTTGAGCCACCCCGCCTCCTTGGCTGCCTCTCCTGAAACATGAGGGATCTTCCTTGCCCTCTTTCTTTCCAGGGGGAGCAAGGAGCTGATGGGACGCCTGGCCCCATGGGTCCTGCTGGGAAGAGAGGAAACCCAGGTGTGGCCGGCTTGCCTGGAGCACAGGGACCCCCAGGATTCAAGGTCAGGCACTTACTAACACACTTACCCCCCCTTCACCCTTTCTGCCGTGGTTCTAACTATAACGATTTTGACTATAATGCCAACATGAGGCACTCACTCATGTCCCAGGGCCTGGGTGAGAATGGCGTGCACATTGCCGACCTTTCCCAGGGAATCCTGTCCAAGTTTCCACCTAACCTAAAGGGTAGTGTGTTCAGGCAGCTATTAACACTGCCCTCTCCCTGGCCCTGGTCCTTTAACTCAGCAGTTCTCAACCTGTGGGTCGCGACCCCTTTGGGGGTCGAACCACCCTTTCCGATGGCCTAAGACCATCGGAAAACACATATATAATTACATATTGTTTTTGTGGTTAATCACTATGCTTTAATGATGTTCAATTTGTAACAATGAAAATACATCCTGCATATCAGATATTTACATTACGATTTATAACAGTAGCAAAATTACAGTTATGAAGTAGCAACGAAAATAATTTTATGGTTGGGGGTCACCACAACATGAGGAACTGCATTAAAGGGTCGCAGCATTAGGAAGGTTGAGAACCACTGCTTTAACTGGTTGTTGAGTTGTCCATGGGCGCCCTCTTGTGGGCCTTTGTAGAACAATCGATGTTGTTTGCCACTGGGACCCTCCTCTAAGGCATCTTTTTAAAAAGCTTCCTTAAGGGATTGGGGAAGCGTTGGGGGGGTTGGGCGGAGAGGAGCCCTGAGTCAGTATGAGCCCAGGGCTAGATAGGAAGGAAGATTGCGATGGGTGAGTCAGGCATGGCTCTCGCCCTTCCTGAGCTCAAGGTTTAGTTGGGCAGAGAGGACAGCAGGCAGGGGGAGAGGTGGCCTTGGCCCAGGGAGGGTTTAAAGGAGAGGAGGGAGGTGGTTTTCAGGCAAGAGGAGAGTGTGAGTGCAGGTGTGCGGGTGGGACCTGCATGGTCTGTTGGGAAGAAACCATAAAGAGGAGAGGCCGTGTGGAGAGTGAGGGGAGCGCCAGAGTCAAGAGGCTGACTTTCCCCTTAAGGAGGCTGGAGTTCTGCGGCCCCGCCCGGCCACAGGTGAGCCCCACCATTCTGAGGTCTCAGCTTACCCCGTGGAGTCACTGTGCTGTCTCTTAGGTTCCCCCTTCCCCTCCCCTGGAACCACCTGGAACCCTTTCCCCCTGTGACTGCTCATTGTGGTCTGTTTCCTAAAGGGTGAAAGCGGACTACCTGGGCAGCTGGGTCCCCCCGGAAAGCGGGGGACAGAGGGCGGAACAGGTCTTCCTGGGAACCAGGGGGAGCCTGGATCCAAAGGCCAGCCGGTGAGTGAACCCCAGGAAATACACATGTTCGCTCGCTCACCTGCACACACAAATACTGACGCTCACACGCGCGCACACACAGACCCAGGAGCCACCTGCCTGCTCTGTGACGGGGCAGAGCAGCACACTCCCTGGGTCCCAGCTGCCACTCTCCTCCCCTGAGCGGAGCGGGTGGGAGGAGGCTGAGAGAGGAGATCTGAGTGGTCCCTTCAGAATGAGGAGAGATGGATCACAACCAGATAAAGAGCCTAACATCCAGGAAAGAAATTGAACCTGTCATTTAAAAGCTTCCCTCAAAGAAAACCCTGGGCTCAGGTGACTTCACTGGTGAGTTCTAGTAAACACTGATGGAAGAGGTGATACCAAGTCTACATAAACTCTCCCCAAAAGAGGAATACTTCCCAGTGCGTTCTGGGAGGCTAACGTTACCCTGATGTCAGACAAGAAATTACAAAGAAAGAAAGCTACAAACCAATATACCTCGTAAATAGATACAAAAATTCTCCATACAATTAAAAAACGTTTATTAATTATTTTTAGGGAGAGCGTGAGAGTGACATTGATTTATGGTTCCACTTACTTATGCATTCATTGGTTGATTCTTGTATGTGGCCTGACCGGTGATCAAACCTGCAACCTAGGCCACCCAGCCCGGGCATCTCAAATACAATTGTAGAGAAGTGAATCTAAGAATATATAAAAAAAATAGTGCATGATCCATAAAAGGAAATTTTATCAATTTGACTTCATTAAAACTTTTGCCCCTCAACGGGCACTATTTAGAGAACAAACAGGCCACGTACTAAGAGGAGCACAAATCATATGTCTGATAAAAGATTTATATCTCGAATATATAAAGAACTCTCAAAACTCAATAAAACGGAAAGAAGCAGGTCAATTAAAAAGCTGGGCAAAATATTTGAATACGCATATCAAAAGAGATACGCATACGGCAAAAAAGTACCTATGGAAAAAAAGATCAATATTGTTAATCAGGCAAATGCTCGTTAAAACCACAATGAGATGCTACTACACACCTGTGAGAATGGTGAACATTTTAAAAGACTGACCATGCCAAGTGGTGGCAAGGCTGTGGAGCAACTGGAACTCTCATAGGAATGTAAATGGGGAAACGGCTTTGGGAAACAGTTGGGCAATCTCTTTAAAAGCTAAGCAGACACCTACCAGATGCTCCAGGCCTCTGGAGTCGTTCCCACCTGACCTGGAGCCGGTGCATTCCCCAACATAATGGCTGTGTGACTTTGAACAAGTGCTTGCCCTCTCTGAGCCAGGCTGGTGTGGGACATGCATGTATGACGGTGCACGCACAGTGCCTGGCACAGAGCAGGCCCCCAGCTACTGGGATCCTTTTAGGGGATCATTCCTTGTATGGGTTGGGAATGGTGTGTGGGTCCTTCCGTTCTCTTCCTGGAAGGCCTGGGACAGGAGATGCTGGGTGTTCTGGAGAGTTCCCCGTGTAATCCCTGAGCTGGCCTCCGCTTTCTCATCTGACAGAGGGCACAGGCTCTTCCCCCCGGGAACCCAGGTTGACCTGGTTCCTAGTTTGTGAACTGTTCATACGCATCTGGTCATCTCACGATAGAGTGGCTGATGTCCCTGGGAAAAGGCAGGCCCAGGGGTCCCGGGTGACTGGCTAGGCACCCTTGTCCTGGCCCCCCTCACGCCATCTCATCCTGTTCTCCCCACAGGGTGACTCTGGCCAGATGGGCTTCCCAGGAATGGCTGGTCTCTTCGGACCCAAGGTACAGAATCCCACTCCACACTGTTCCTGTTGGGGTCCCGTCCATCTACCTACTCGTTCATGTATTCTGTCAACAAGCTTTTCTCGAGCACTTACACGGCCAGAACCAAGCATGCACATCCTGTCCCAGGGACTCATATCCCAGCCAACCTGGGTTCTGAGCCCAGTTCCACCATTTACCAGCTGTGTACCTCCGGCCAGTCACTTGGTCTCCCCGAGCCTCAGTTTCCTCATCTGAAAAATGGGCATAATAACAGTAGAGGGTTGTTGTAATAATTAAGTAAGACCAGAGACATACACCACACAGCCCTGAGCCTGCACACCGGTACCTGCTTCATAATTGTGAACTTTGTTACTTTGATAGAGAGGCCAAAGGTTGGCCAGACCCCAGGGGTTGGGGAAGCTGCTGGGGCCCCTGAGTGGCCACTGGAAACAGACAGACTTCTTCTTTCTCCCGCAGGGCCCCCCTGGAGACATCGGCTTCAAAGGCATCCAGGGGCCTCGGGGGCCTCCTGGCTTGATGGTGAGTCCCCTCCCTCTCTGACCCAGCAGGAAGAGTGGCCCCAGGTCTAAGGCTGGCCAGCTATCAGCTGGACTCCTTCAGACTTAAGCCCCTCTGCCCACAGTCTTCCTTTCCACCTCTGCACCTTTACCTATGCCGTTCCTGCCAGCTGGGCTGCCACCCTCCCCACTTTCACCCGCTCCCCTCACCCCACTTGTGTAGCCCACCCCAAGGAACATGGCTCAGGAGGTGTATGGCCTGGCCTTTGTCCAAGGAAGTCTCCATTCTGTTCCCTTGGGACACGCACAGTGTCCTTTACCCTCCTGTCGTGAGACTATTCCCCAGTCCCTGGGACAAGGACACACAAGCCTTTCTCTCTCTTTAGGGAAAAGAAGGCATCATCGGGCCCCTTGGGATCTTGGGACCTTCAGGACGCCCGGTATGTGCAGGAGGTTGGCCAAAGACTGCTGGTTCCCCTTGCCTTCCTGCTTCCAGATTGTCTCTGTTACCCAGGGCTACCTTGGGCCTCAGTTTCCCCATCTGGGAAATGGGGCTTCCCTCTGAGCCCTCTCTCATGGGGCCATTGTTTATTGCAGGGTCCGAAGGGCGACAAAGGCAGCCAAGGGAACATGGTGAGCGGATGGGCTGGGGGCTGGGCTACAGGGATGGGGGCGGGGAGATTTCCAGGGATGTGAGCACGGCTCAGCCAGGTCTCCTAACTCTCTCTCCCGCTTCTCTCTCCATCCAGGGATTGCAAGGTCCGAGGGTGAGTGGGCTGGGGTGTGCGGGCCGCTGGGTGGGGGAGTGGGACTGGGCAGGCACTCTGGGTTCCTGGGCCCCAGTCATCCCATCTGTACCCATCGATGCCAGGGTCACCATTGTCCCTGGGTCTTAGGTCGGCTCCAGGAGCCCTGGGTGGGGAAAGATGGAAGGCATTTGACCAGGGCCTCACTGTTCTCCTCTTCCTCCAGGGTCCTCCCGGCCCCAGAGGGCGACCAGGCCCACCGGTAGGTAACTGCGTGCTCTGTGCCCATTGGACTCTGGGACCGGGGGTGGGGTTCCTTTGAAGGAGACCCAAGAATTTGGTGGCAGGCGCTTGTCTTGGCTCTTACTTCATAGGACTCATGAGCTTCTTGTACTGCCCAGGCTCTAAGGGAGAACAGACCAGTCTGTGGGGCCAGGCCTCCAGGAGAGTGTAGACCAGCCCGGTGGGGCCAGGCCTCCAGGGGAGTGTAGACCAGCCCGGTGGGGCCAGGCCTCCGGGGGAGTGTAGACCAGCCCGGTGGGGCCAGGCCTCCGGGGGAGTGTAGACCAGCCCGGTGGGGCCAGGCCTCCGGGGGAGTGTAGACCAGCCCGGTGGGGCCAGGCCTCCGGGAGAGTGTAGACCAGCCCGTTGGGGCCAGGCCTCCGGGGGAGTGTAGACCAGCCCGGTGGGGCCAGGCCTCCGGGGGAGTGTAGGCCAGCCCGGTGGGTCCTCTCATGCCCTGATAGACCCTGTAATCTCCTGACAGTCCCCAGAATCTAGCCCCGAGTCCCTGTCAAATGCTGACCCGGCCTCTTCTTTTGCAGGGTCCTCCAGGGAGACCTATCCACTTTGTAAGTCAGAGCGCATTCTCTTTTGTCTTCCTGGGTAAGGCCTGGGGAAGGGTGGGTTGGCAGCTGACCCGGTTCTGGCCACAGTGGCTGGAACCCTAAGCTGGGCCTGAGGATGCCTGTGTCCTTTGGTCATTCCATATTGGACCCTGGGCCCTGAAGCCACAGAGGCAGGAAACCCAGACTTTAGCAGGGATGTGGCACTGACTGTGACCCCAAGAAGGCACTCCAGCCACCGGCTCCTGGGTCCTGGTGGTACACTTGGTACAGATCGGCTGATTGCTGAGGATCCTCCTATATCAGATTCTGAGTCCCAAGAGAGAGCAGGTCGGGGGCCCTGTGTGCCTCTCTGGTGGGGACTCGGTCTGTCTGAAAGCTTGACCCCCTCCCCAGCCCTCTCATGAGTCCTCCTCCTTTTACCGCTGTGCCGAGTGCCTGTTAGATTCAGGCCCTGACAGGACCAGGAAGGGGCCCAGGGGAAAGACTGACTGGAGCAGAACCCGGGGGCCCAGAGCCACTAGGAGCCCCTGATCTTTCTCACCTCGGCTTCCCCTTGGCCTCTCCCTGGGCCTTCCGCTAATCCGTCTCATCAATAGGAAGTCAGAGCACAGAGATCCGGGAAAACCACTTCCCTCAAAAAAAATGAGAGGATTTTGAATTTTTTAATACTTTTAATCAATTGAATGCTTGTTATATGCCAGGCACCATTAGTTAGAAGTGCTTTTCATATATTAACTCATTTATTCCTCTCAACACTTCATTATTAGTGTTCTTATCATGCCCATTTCCAAGATGAGATAACTAAGGCAGAGAGGTTAAGCAACTTGCCCTAGATTATACAGTTGATAAGTAGCAAGGCTGGGATTTGAACTTGAGAAGTACTAGCTCCAGAGTCCCTGCACCGGACCCCAATCCTGGGGGCTTCAGATTCTGCCCCTTGCTGTTTTCACAGCAAGATGGCAGCTGTGCTTCTGGCAAGCCCGGGGCGAGTGTCAGACATCCAGGTGTATGTTAGACAATTACAGTGCGAGCCAACGGAAAAACCAGGGGCTGTGGGGACATAGAGGAAGGGGTGGAAGCATTAGGAAAGCGTTCCCACTGCAGCTGACATCTGTAGGGTGAGGGTAGGGCAGGACTGCTGACATTGGGACTAGATGACTCTTTGCTGGAGTGCCTGTCCTGGGCATTGTATGATGTTTAGCAGCATCCTTGGCTTCTACTCACTAGATGCCAGTAACACCCTCCACCCTCCAATTGTGGCAGCCAAAACTGTCTCCAGGTATTGTCACTAGGGGGCATCATCGCCCCTGGCTGAGAACCACTGAAATAGGAGGGAGCCAGATGGAGCATTGGAGGGAGGAAGAGTATTCCAGGGATGGGAGCAGCATGTGCAAAGGTCCTGTGGCTAGATAAAGCATGGCATTTAGGGCTTAGAAGTTTGGTTGTGTGTTGTGCAGAGAATAGATGTGGGAGAGAGGCGGGCCAGAGGCCACAGCACTCAGGCCGGGTCTTGTAATCATGCTGAGGAGTTTGGACTTAATCCTGAGGGCGATGAGCTACAAAGTGCCTCAAGGAAGGGCATGGAAGGGCCAGACTCTGTTTGCCTGGGGAGGAAGGACAGAGTTTCACAGAGGGCCTGTGCCTTAGCCAGGACCTTGCTGGGAGGGTGGGGTAGAGAGGGGGCGCTCAGACCCTGGGGGTCCAGGATGCACACCCCGTCTTCTCCCTGCACAGCAACAAGATGACCTTGGGGCAGCTTTCCAGACGTGGATGGACACTAATGGAGCACTGAGAGCAGAGGTACCGGCAGGAGCCCTGCCACGTGGGATCCTTTCCCGGGGGAAACGGAAATAATGTCTGGTCCTTGCCCCACCCACGTGGCCTGCACCGAGCCCTTCACAGCCTCGGCGGGCATCTCGCAACCACAGGTGGGAAGGGCGTGGCTGAGGCTGGGAGTAGCTGGCGACACAGCCACGGTCACACAGCCAGTCCCGGAGCCCTTTTTCCTCCCAAGCCCTCGCGGGGTGTCGGCGTTCTTGCTGGCCCAGCAGCTTCCCACGGCTCAGGCCGCAGTCTGCCCGGAGCAGGAAGCTCGCGGCCATCCACAGGGCCCAGCCAAGCCCCGGCCTGGGGTCATCTCCACTCCGGGACTCCAGGCTGAGAAGGCGCTCGGTGCCCTCTAGTGAGACCCCCGTCAGGAGTGCCCCCTGCTGCCTTGCCTCCTTCCCAATGGGGGACTCACCCCCCGCCCGCCAGCTCAGACCTCCTACATGCATTTCCATTTGTCCTATTCTCTGGGGGCTCACAATCCAGGGCAAAGGGCAGCATGGATGAGCCCATTATTTTCCTTCCATGGTGGGTACGAGGGTCAGGGGAAAGACCTCCACCAACCCCTTCTGGAAGGATTTGAGGCCATTCCCCAGCGTTCTGCACACCTGGCTGCCTTGCTCATGGAGACCTGCCCACCGCTCCTCTCGAGCCTCTAAGCCCCCATGGCAGCACTTACCCCGCCCCCCAGTCCATCCCTGGACCCCAATTTCTTTAGCTAAGTAGAGTAGACCCAACGCCTGCTCCAACCATGCCCCTGGGGCTGTGGAGGCTCTGACCTCGGGCTGAGCCAGGACCTCAAGGGGCTGATGGCTCTCTCCTCACGGCAGGTTTCCAGCCATCCGGACCGGCTGGTGCTGGACCAGGGAGGGGAGATCTTTAAAACCTTACACTACCTCAGCCACCTCATCCAGAGCATTAAGACGCCCCTGGGCACCAAAGAGAACCCCGCCCGGGTCTGCCGGGACCTCATGGACTGCGAGCAGAAGATGGCAGATGGTACGGGGGCCTGTGGTCTGAGGAGAGCACTTCCTGCCCCGGGGTGGGGCGGGGTGGGACGGGGCAGAGGGGACCCAGGGGGAGCAGGGCCGAGTTTCTGTCCTCAGAGAGATGGCACATGGCCAGTCACTTACTCACTCAACCAGCAGTCGCTGAGCCCCGGTGCCAGGCCTTGTGCTTCAGAAGGACCTCGGGGTGAAGTGGGTCCCCCGAGGAGGGTCCCATCCTTCCGGAGCCTACAGATGTCAAGCAGGGACAGTCATGTCAGCGGGAGGCCAGAGCCTTGGCAGGAAAAGCCCCGAGGGGCTGGGACAGGCCGGGACCGGAGGGAGCTCCGCACCTCATCCAATTCCCTTCTGTCTGTGAGCTAATGTGGCCCCTGGAAGGACCATGGCTTTGGAGGCAGACAGACCTGATTCGAATGTAGGCCCTGTGAGCTGGGCAGCCACCGCCCCGCCCTGAGCACCCTTCCATTCGCTGCCCGAGAAGGCGGCCAGTGGCCGGGTGTCCCACTCTTTCGCTGCGAAACCTGTGGCTTCCTCAGATGCTCAGTGGGGGAACCCGGTGCCAGCAGAAGGGGTGGGGGCAGGTGCAGAGGGGTGGGGGCAGGTGCAGAGGGTGTGGGGGTAGGTGCAGAGGGGGTGGGGGCAGGTGCAGAGGGAGTGGAGAGCCATCAGCCCCTTGAGGTCCTGGCTCAGCCCGAGGTCTGAGCCTCCACAGCTCCAAGTTCTCAATACTTGGGAGACATCTAGGGGTCCCCCAGCCAACCTAGGAGGATCACTGGCCTCCATGGAGAAACCATTCCACTACATCAGGCGTCCTCAAACTTTTTAAACAGGGGGCCAGTTCACTGTCCCTCAGACCGTTGGAGGGCCGGACTATAGTTTCAAAAAAAAAACTATGAACAAATTCCTATGCACACAGCCGTGGCAAAAAACACCCAGCGGGCCAGATAAATGTTTTCGGCGGGCCGCATGTGGCCCGCGGGCCGTAGTTTGAGGACCCCTGACCTACATCATCCCTAAATCTCCTGGGCAAGTGGCTCAGCCTCTCTGCCTTAGTGCCCCGAGGGAAAGTGGACACTTCTCAGTAGCCACAGGCCTCGTGCTCAGCTGGGTGCCCCTCCAGGGCCTCTGCTCAGAGATCTGTGGCTCACGAATCCCTTTTCTGCTCCCCCGTTCCTGACTTCATATCCGAGTGGAGCTCAGGGGTCACAAGGTGGGGGGGCCACCTCAGAACCAAGCCCTGGGCTCCTTCCCACACACATATACCACCACCCCATTGCTCCCTGCAGGCACCTACTGGGTGGATCCGAACCTTGGCTGCTCGTCCGACACCATCGAAGTCTCCTGCAACTTCACGCATGGTGGACAGACGTGTCTCAAGCCCATCACAGCCTCCAAGGTACCCGTCTGCTGCTGCCCCGACTGGCTGCCCGGCCACAGCCCAGCCAGGTTTTGGTCTGGCTGCCCGGCCTTGGGGAAGTCATCTCCCATTTCTGAACATCAGTTCCTTCACCTATAAGTTGAGGATGAATTGTTTTAAATCCAAACCCCTTGGACTTGTCTGATGCCAATGGTTCTCTCTTCAAGTAGGACTTTTTGCCTAATACCTAAAGCAGCGTCGTTGGCCTCGCTGGCCTGGCCTGGAGAACCATGAGCCATCAGCACAAAACAAGTCAGGGTGCGGCTCCCCGGGGGACAGCCGCCAGGACTGTGCGTGCAAATATTAAATGAATGTTCGCTGCCCGCTTACCGAGTGCCCATCTCTGGGCTGAGAATTTTAGGTGGCTCAGGGCAACTCAACAATAAGCCAAGGAGGGCAGTGGCAGTGTGACCACTCCCCCACCCAGAGTTGGAGAGTCTTCAGGAGCCAGCTGGTCAACCAGTTGAGTCCCTGCCAGGTGCCAGGTGCTGGGATGCAACACGAAACACAGCAGCCTCGCCACTAGCCCCGCAGCCGGAGCTCACGATCCAGCAGGCCCTTTCCCCTCTGACTGTGACGTGGCAGAGGGGTGAGGCCGGAGTTGGCCCCTGGGTTGGCAGCGGGACTGCCCCTCTGAGTCTCCACCCCATGGGGAACAATGAGCCTCTGTGGGGTGCTGATCAGAGATGGCGCCTTTGAAGTGCGTGGGGTCAAAACTTACGTCAGGTGCTCGCATTACAGACACACAGACCCAGCTGTCAGCCCTCACACTAGAACCACTGAGGCCGTAAATCCTGTCCTGTTGTCTGTGGTCAGGTCTGGCGTTTCTACCCCATCCCACCCCTCAGGGATATGGAGACGTAGGGTAGGGAGGGCGCTGCTCATTTCCTCTTTACTCTGAGAGCCTCTCAATCTTGGGCAAGATCCTCTTCCTCTCTGGGCCTCTGGGTCCCAGCTCAGCTCCAAAGACCCCCGTCCCCTACAATGGAGAGGGGAGTGGGTAAGATTGTATTGGGCCCTTCACAGCTCCGACTCTGGCTTTGATTCTTTCTTTCCCTTCCTTGCTGCTCCCTGGCTCTGGACCAGCTCACACAGACCTCAATTCCCCTGTCTTTTAAGTGGGCACACGTCTGGGAGCGTGGTTGGGAAATGTTACCAGGAAAGCTTACCCCTGAGAGCTGACCTTCTGAGAGCTGTGGGCATCCCAGCCAGACCCGCCCCCGCCCCACGGCTGCGTCTCCTCCCCAGGTCGAGTTTGCCGTCAGCCGGGTCCAGATGAATTTTCTGCACCTGCTAAGCTCTGAGGTGACACAGCATATCACCATCCACTGCCTGAACATGACCGTGTGGCAGGAGGGCCCCGGGCAGGCCCCAGCCAAGCGGGCAGTTCGCTTCCGGGCCTGGAACGGGCAGATCTTCGAAGCTGGGGGTCAGTTCAGGCCTGAAGTGTCCATGGATGGCTGCAAGGTAACGCGGAGCCCCCACAGGCCCCTCACGCACAGACCAGTGGGAAACCATGTTTTTATTATAAAATTGTGTATAACAATTTTATACTGTACTATATTAGTATGATACATATAATTTTTACATTTGTAATAATTTTATTGCGACAGCTTTATAAAATTGCTGTTACTCACCTTCCTCTCTGGGAACCTCCTGAGGGAAGATCTGGGCTGGTAAAAACTTTACGGGCTGGTCGATATGGTACTTACTTGCAAGGCTGCTTATAGGAGGATGGACTTCTACTCTCTGCCCCCATCCTGACTGGGCTAATTTTTTCTCTTAACATTTTTGGTTATTTTCAAATGCCTAAAACAGAGTAGGTTGTTAGGGAAGAGAGAGATATAAAGTCGAACAAACCAGTGTCACAAGATTAATCAAAACTGGTAATGAGCGTGTTGGTTTCCCCACATCCTCACTAACATCTATAATAATAAAAGCGTAATACGCAAATTGACCAAATGGCCGAACAGCAGAACGACCGTCCAGACGACCACGCTATGACACCCGCTGGCGCCAGGCCAGCCAAGGCAGGTGCGATGCAATTCGTCGGGGGTCTAGCCATTGCCCCATGATCACCCAGCAGAGGGAGGCCCAGGCCACCAGCTGGCAGAGCAATCAATGGCGGGGAGTGGGGAGGGGACTCTACGATCCCACCAAAGAGGGAGGCCCAGGCCACCGACTGTTGGGCTGCGGCAAGTGACGGGGCCTCCCTCTGCTGGGTGCGATCCATCAAGGAGCCCCAGCTGGGTGGGCAGGGCCTACCTCTTTGGGGTGATCTATCATGGGGCTCCCGGACTGTGATAGGGCGCAGGCCAGGAGCCCTCGGGGGATGTCCAACTGACGTGCTTGCCAGCCATGAGCCCGGCTCAGGGGGCACATTGACCACCAGGGGGCAGCTCCTACATTGAGGCTCTGCCCCCTGGTGGTCAGTGCGCATCATAGCAAATGGTCGTTCCTCCGTTCGGTCGATTTGCATATTAGCCTTTTATTATATAGGAGGAAATATAAATCCAAAGCCTTAGAAACATACCTATCTTCTGATCCAGCAACTCTGCTTCTAGCGTTTGTGCTGTGGAAATAATGACAAGTGTGCACAAACGTTGAGTACAGTGACAGTCATTACAGCATTGCTCATAAGCATAACAGTAGCAGGAGCCATCTAAATGGACCAGTCTGGGTGGGTGCTCTGGGGAAGTACCGTGTGGCCATCAGAAACCGCGAGGAGAGATGCCGGGAATCACGTCAGATGGACGAAGAGGCCCGTGGTGGATATGTGTGTCCTCTTTTCCTTCTGCCCTCAGGTCCAGGATGGCCGCTGGCAGCAGACGCTCTTCACCTTCCGGACCCAGGACCCCCAGCAGCTGCCCATTGTCAGTGTGGACAACCTCCCTCCTGCCTCATCAGGGAAGCAGTACCGCCTGGAAGTTGGACCTGCGTGCTTCCTCTGACCTCTGACCTCCTGGCTCCTCTAGGCCTGAGGGGAGGGAAGAGGAGTAGGAGGAGGCAAAGGGAGGGTACTTAGGGGCAGGTGGGCCCAGGAGAGGCAGGTCCCCTGCCCGAGGATCCTAGGGCGGGCCCCAGATGTTGTCTGCCCAGTAGAAGGGGCTGGGGGGTAACAGGGAGTGGGGTGACCCCAGCACAGCTCCAAAGACCAACCAAAGAGCCAGCCTGAGCCAACTGGGCCTGTCTCCCAGCTCCGCGGCCACCCCTTCCTCCCCAGCTTCCTGCCCAAGCAAGAGCCCCACGTTCCAGCCAGCTTGAGGGAAGGGGGCAGCTGGTCCCCGCCAGGGAGCTTCGATGTGCAATATTAGAGAGGAGACATGAAAAAAGGAGAAAAGGAAAGAAAGAACTATATATATTTTATTTAAACAAACACAAAGGAGGTGCGTTACTATTCTTTTCACCTGGGAAAGAGGTGAGAGGGTGAGAGAGAGCCGCCAGGGGTGGGAAGCAAAGGAAGCCGAGGGAGAGGAGACCCTCCCCTCGGGGCTGGGGGCACCCACGTTTGCTACCTCCCACTGTGGAATCGCTGGTGCTCGCAATCGTCTCTTAGTGTATGTGATTTTTTTTTTTTTTTACGAAAAAAACAAACAAACCCTATTTAAGATTCTAAAGGTGCTACCATTTTTGCCACAGACGCTGAAGAAACGTTTTGATGTGGGCTCTCCTCCACATTTTTCTCTCTCCTCCAAAGGACAAAGTTTGGGGAACTTTTAAATTCTCCTAGCATCACCCATGTGCTCATCCGTAATCTGCTAAGGAGGGGGGAAGAAGAAAGGGGAAGGAAAAAAAAAAAAAAGCAAAAGCAAAAAAAACCACAACACACACACACACACACACACACACACACACACACACACACACAACCCTGCCAGAAACAGAAGCAGTGAGATTTGCCTTTTAACTTACAGACTTTGAAACGTTTGTCCTCTAAAGCAGGGGAGGCCTGAGCATGAAGGATTCTGACCTAACCCTTCATGGTCCCAGAGGGGAGTTCAGCCAAGGATGCACTTGGAGGATGCGATGTAGACGGGCGGGTCCTGGGAGAAGGCCTTGACCTTGAAGAAACGGTTACAGGAGCAACGGTGGGTAGGCTGGCCTTGGAGGTGGAAGAGAAACATGGAACCATCTCCTGAAGCCACATACCACCCACTAAGATCCTCCCTCCCAGGAGCCTGTCCTTTCAAGACGCAGCCATCACTCTTGCTTTTTTAGTCATTAAATCCCATAGGAACACAGCGTCAGTAGCTCCCCGTGTACACGTGGGCCGAGGAGAAGGAATACCTACGGGAACCTTGGGGTGCGGCATGATAGGGATATTCAGTGCCACCTGAATCGCCCACATCCGCGAACCAGCCAGCGCCCGGGCGGATCCTGAGGTTATTTTAACTGAGGAATTATTTTTATAGAAGGGGAAATTTTATGTGAAAGTCTATTTGTCTTTCTCTCAAGTTGTGTCTCTTGGGGAATTGGATTTGAGTTGCATTATTTAATACCTCACTCTGGCCCACCCTCCCCACTGGTCCTGTCCCAGCCTGCATCCCCGGCCCCGGCCCCGCCCGGAGGCCACCCGTGGAAGGGCATTCCGCAGCCGCCGGGCCTCGCTCAGCTCCGTTCCCCACGCTGCCAGTCTCAACCTGGCCCCTGTCTCGTCCTTGGGTTTTTCTGCTGTCCCCGTTTATGTCTCTGTCCACATGTCAGTGTTAAAACCCCCGTGGGTCCCGTCTCTCCTTTTCCCTTCTGGATTTTAAATAAATATTTAAAACTGAGGCAATGGAATGACTAATCTGTGGCCGTGTACTTCTTTGAAAAGCCCAGGGAAGGTGTGTGGCAGGGCTGGAGGGTGGGGGGAAGGTCCTCAGGGGGCACCCTGCTTCTGCCGCTTCCCCCAGTGGAGGGGGGCCAGGGCGAGAGCTATGGGACCCTAGCAGGAGGGCTGGTGCCGGAGTGAGAGAGCTCGGTTTCTTAGGGTGAGCATAACACTCCCCCAAACCTGGTAGCTTCAAACGGCAGGAATACATTCTCCATTCTCCCGGGGCTGGAGGCTGGAAGTTTGAAATGAAAGGACTGGCAGGGCCACCACCCCTCTGCCGCCTCTCGGGGATGGTGCCTCCCGGCCCAGCTTCTGGTGGCCCCAGGCATGTCAGCGCCTCCATCCCCATCCCCACAGCCACCAGACAGCCTCTCTCTATTCACACCTTGGTAGAAGGGCAGCAGTCCTCTGGGATGAGGGCCCACCTGGTCTTACCTGGATTCCTTCGGCAAAGGCCCGATTCCCCGGGGAGGCCACATTCACGGGTAACGTGGTTAGGATTCCAACACATCTTCTTGGGAGACACAATTCACCCTGCAACATACAGGGAGGAGGGGTGCTGAGTTTAACACGAGCAATTCCTTCTTTTATTTTTTAATCTAGTACAACCACGCAGAACATAAAACTCACCATTAATGATACTCCGGACACTCACAAGGCTGTGCAGTCACCACACTGGGACACACCTATCCCTGTTGGGCCCCATGTGCCCTGACCGGTTCAGAGTTTTCTTCCTTCGCGTGTTTCTCCTTCTCCGGGACCTGGGAGGGAACAGAACTTTTCAATGCTTATTTAAGAGAAAGGACAAATTACAAGCAGTTGAGTTCTATGTGGGATTTTATGTTTTAAAAACTAGCGATAGCACTAGCTGGTTTGGCTCAGTGGATAGAGCATCGGCCTGCAGAATAAAAGGTCCCGGGTTCAATTCCGGTCAAGGGCACATGCCAGGGTTGTGGGCTCAATCCCCAGTAGGGGGCGTGCAGGAGGCAGCCGATCAACGATTCTCTCATCATTGATGTTTCCATCTCTCCCTCTCCCTTCCTCTCTGAAATCAATAAAAATATATTTTAAAAAAACAACAACAACCTAGCTGTAAGTTTCCAGGTCATCCGTTTACTTGCAGGGGGGTCTTCTTACCCTCCTCACCCGCGTCCTTCCCCCAGGCAGTGAGCCCTGGGAGCTGCGCCGTGGCTCCTCCGTGGCTCCGAGAGTACCATCCCCGAAGCCCAGGATTCCTGGTCCGGAAGGGCGTGGAGACTCCCACATGCAGGTGCACCCTCCCATTGTGCGGAGAGGGCAACAGACCCCAGAGCAGGGCCTGGAGTCGCCTGGTGAAGTCGAGGCAAAGCTGCAATTCAAGCCCACGAGGGCTGATGGCGCTGCTGAGTGCCTTGGCCCAGTGGTTCTTGCATTGGCCACACCAGCAGCACCTGGGTGCCTGTTGCCTCTTTTCAGCCGCTTCCCAACCCTCCTGAGTCACAGACCCTGAGGGTAGGGGCAGCGATCTGAAAGCTCCCCTTGGAGATTCGAGTCCCAAACATCACGGCCCTGCCCTGTTTCCTGAATCTGGAAAATGCTTTTCCAACATCGGGGGGAAACATACTTGAAAATGAGATAACAATATTTTCATTTCTTTGACAATATCACAGATGAAGCAGAGACAGAATGGCCATTTCCTGAGACCTGTCCACTCTCACGGAGTTTGCCCGGCTGTCCGGTCACACTTCCCGTTTGCAGAGGGAACTTCAGTCGCTTGAATGTCTGTTTTTCCCACGGCCACCCCCACCCCCGGAAGCTCTGTGAGGGCAGGCACGCACCTGGCCCTCTGCTGTAGCCACAGGTGACGGCACGCCCCTTCCTCAGCAGCACCATCCCCGTGTTGAGCTGCATGTGGGCACGAGAGTAACAGAGATGGGTCTGGCCGTGTGTCTGGGGGGCTCTGAGTCTGGTGGAGGCAGAGGGAGGGGTTGGAACTTGTGTGGAGCTGGCGGGGGTGGGGGGAGCGTGAAAAGGGGGCAACAGCTGATGCAATCTCAGCAGGGGGAGGTAGTGAGGAGGTGACACTATGAATCAGGGTCTTCAGAGAAACAGAACCAATAGGATGCATGTGCTTAAAGAAATGTATTAGAAGGAGTTGGTGATTATGGTGGTTGGCAAGTCCCAAGATCTGCTCAGTGAGTTGGAAGCTGGGGACCCAGGAGAGCCGATGGGATCGTTCTAGTGACTAGTCTAAAGGCTGGCAGGCTGGAGACCCAGCAAAAAACTGATGTTTCCGTTCATGTCCAAAGGCAAGAAAAGGCTGATGCCCATCTCAAGCAGTTTAGTTAAATATCTGGGTACCCCATGGCTCAATTAAGTTGACACATAAAGTTATCACCCAAGTTGAGTTGAGAGGAAATGAATAGAGGTTAGCCCAGTGGTTCTCAACCTTCTGGCCCTTTAAATACAGTTCCTCGTGTTGTGGTGACCCCCAACCATAAAATTATTTTCGTTGGTACCTCATAACTGTAATGTTGCTACTGTTATGAATTGTAACGTAAATATCTGATATGCAGGATGGTCTCAGGCGACCCCTGTGAAAGGGTCGTTCCACCGCCAAAGGGGTCGCGACCCACAGGTTGAGAACCGCTGGGTTAGCCAGATGGGGAAGGTCATTGGGGGGAGAGGGAACAGCACCTGATAGTAAAGGTGTCATGCATATGTGGGGAACAGTGAGAGGTCCAAATGGTGCTGAGGGTGTAGGAGGGCCTGGGGTGCTGGGCTGGGAATAGGAAAGCCACAGGCTCGCCCAGGAGAGCAGGGTTGGCCAAGTTGGGTTTGGGCTGCTATGGGTGCTGGAGCAGGGCTGTCCAGGAGGCAGCTGGCCGAGCTGGGAAGACAGGAAAGAGGTCTGAGCCCCTGCCTGTCCATCAGAGCTCCAGAACCATCGGATCAGCAGCAGCTGTGTGGCTTTGAAGACATGAGAGGGGAAGAGAGTCAGGAAGAAGGGCCAGAGGGAGAAGGTGGCGGGGGCTATGTTAAAAGGGCAGCATGCAAGTCTCAGCTGGTCCAGATTCCAGGAGGGCCCCCCGTGACCTGGCCAGTGAACGCCAGCCCATTCCCAGCAGGGGCAGGTATGCCTGGACATGGTTGGGGAAAGAAGGCAGATCTCCCGGGTGGGCAGCACCAGCTGTTTCCAATCTCTAATTGTACAACCGAGTGTCAGGAAACAGCCAGAGTGGATCTCCCAGGCCCGGTCAACTCCAAGGGAAAGCCCAGGCCAGCACCCGTGTTTGCTCTGTCCACACGAGCCCTAGCCATGGACAGTCACACTGTCCAGTGGTTCTCAACCTTCTGGCCCTTTAAATACACCCCATAGTGACCAGCAGCCTGGTGCTGGGAAAGTCAGAGAAGGGCAGGCCACAGGGGAGAGGTTGGCCGGTGATTCCCAGCTTCCTGATCACTCCCAATATCTAGGCCTCAGTTTCTCCCTCTCACATCCCTTTCACAATCCAGGACCGCTGGCTCCTAACTGCTCACCTGCCTGCCTGCCTGCCTGCCTGATTGCCCCCTAACCACTCCCCTGCCGGCCTGATCGCCCACAGCTGCCTCTGCAAAATGGGGATGATATGCACTTCACTGCTTGCCAATCACAGACGGGGCTGTTGCTTCATAACAGTAGGGTGAACCATATGAAATGGAATGATATTCAACAGCTTTCTGACCTATAAAATCCTCAGCGTCACATGGTGCAACCCAATGACAGCACCGTTCAAAATAACAGCAGCTGCGTTTCTCGCCCACTGTGAACCCAGAGCCGTGCGGATGGGCCGTGTGCAGCTCATGCGTGACCCTCTGAGACACATGTTATTACCTTGGCTCTTTGGATGAGGGAGCAGAAGTCCAAAGCGGTTACATAAGGTGCCCCAAACCACGAAACAGGTCTTGAACTTAAGCAAATCTTCTTTTTGGGTATTTCCTCCGCTGAACACAAAGTTCCTAATTAGAACAGCTTGCTCTACCAATGTGTTCTTCCTGGCTGTTCAGGCAG